CACCTGACCTGATCTTCATGAACTCCTTGGTCTCTTTTCACAGTAACACCCCAGTTCTGGGACAGGTAGAATCTCCTCATCGAAGGCCAGATACAGAATATTTCTGTCAGTCGAGGAAACACTAGAGTCCAGGCTCAGGTTAATGCAGCTGGCAGGCTAAGGAATACCTGACCGACCAGCTGTTGGAGCATACTAAGATCTATCAACAGAGGCCTATCGGTTACAGACTGCGATCTCCAACATCAGTATGAGGAGCCATTATCTATGGGAAGTCTGATGCAATCTCGAATTAATCCCCATCGATGTGATGATATTGGAGAGCTGACTACCTATCACAATCTTCCAGCAGCTGATAAAGGACACTTACTACCTGCCTCTTCATGATAACCTGCTTAATAACTTGCAGATGTGAGGACTTGAAAAGGTTGCATCGAGTTCCTGGGACCTGGGATGCCCTCCCAAAAAGCCTTCATGTTTCCAGCACAGCTGAGGATCTCGATCAACTTTTCAGAACTTACAACACACGTACTGTACGGACTGTATAAGGTGTTAGTTTGGCCCACAGGAAAGACAGAGAAATCGGTGAGTTCTCCAAAGCAGGCATGGGCTGTATAGAAGCCAACAAGGTTGGAATCATACTGTCTAGCAGATATGCTGTTTGCCAATCTCCATTGCTGGATTGAAGATCTCCAGCAAGCCAGGGACCAGATGGAGATGGAGTTATCTGACGAGGACGCCACGGTCTCGTTGCCGGTCTTGGGATAGTGTCTTCTAGCCCAGGGATTGCGAACAAGGGCTGGACTATATGTCCACCTTAACTCATGCCTTACCTTTCGACACAAGCCAAGGCTGACATCTCCTCCATAGGTCAGAGCATGCGCCGCAGCGTATTCGGTTCTTTCACTTCCACAGACACGACCCGGATGACAGAAACAGGTCGCCGTTCAGGTAAGTATTTCCCAGACCGGTTGTCGTGTTGGTCCAGGTTGCATGACGCACCACGAGTGCCGGAAGGGTTCCGGGGCCGCGAAAAGGCTGGGTCGGGAGCTTCCCGCCCTTCGGTATGGGCTTACAGGACAGGTTGGGTAAGGGGTAATTGGCGACATTGGATTGGCTGATGCCGGATGGCTCAGCTTTCACCGGTTCCAATGCCAGGTCGTAATTGATAAGGCTTTGTCGTACACTTTGGGTCGATATTGGCATGTATTGGATTCCTACAACCGAATTTTTTCAGCTGTAAGTTGGATACCTGCCTTTCCTCGATCGCAAACTACGTAGCAAGGCGTTGTTTTCGATCAACGGCGGCCAGCACAATAGGGAAGTCACGCCGGCGCTAAAGTGTTAGCCCCTGGTCTAGAAGAGCTTCTAGAAGTGCTGAGGGTGGTCTTGGGAGATGGCGCTAGCGAGGAGGTGAGGGGCAACGACGCCGATCACCAAGCGGAGTCTGGTCCGCTATGGTTGTCACCAACAAGCCATTTGGCGAACATTAGGGCGATAACGCGGTGGCTGATAGAAGCAGCGGGTTTGTTGAACATAGCGAAAGAAAGACAGGGGACGGTAGGTGTAAGTTGGGCACTGTGTGGCAATCATAATGCTTTCCGCACTTTCTGCTGCCCAGACAAGGGAACGGTGTCTTTTTTTCATCAATTTCGGGCGCTTGTCAAGATACTAAGAATAACCATCTGATGTCTGAAAGTTAGGACCTGCAGAAGAAATCGGTTACCACAGCCAACAATTCCGTGGAACGCTAAACTGGACGCGCGAAACTGTGGAGGAATGCCGCCGTCTCTGCATCATGGCTGCCGAAGCGTTCAAGGGTGCCTGGGCATCCCATGATGCACATACATCATACGTACTTGTTACGTGGTGCAGTTGTCTTGGATTGGGGTCTCGAACAGCTTTGCCCCAGTGCCAACGAGCAATCCCCCAGTTCAAGGCAGGTCCTGATGATGCTTGGCTAGGAGTAGTAATCCAGGATGTCCCACAACTCGTACCTCGCCTGGAGGGAGATGCAGCGTGGCTGGGGATGGTGTCGACGTAGTTAGACGCCAGCATCAGCCAAATGTTTTCCTTGAGAATCATTTTCTCTTTTTTCGAACGACGAACGGCCCGAACCCCTTCGGCAGGATCGCAGAGAGGGAGGGCGTGGGCAACCTGACAACGGTCAATCTGAAGATCGGAGATTTTTCCTTTCTTTTTCTTTTAGGAGATAGCTTCACATCTCCTTCAGCCCGGCAAGGAGGAGGAGGAAGAGAGCTGGAAGCCATGACACGATCGCTCTCGCAGCGAAGTAACATTGTGCAAATAGCTTCGCTGGCCTTTTACCCAAGAGGCTTGCCCGCATTTTGTCACAGGGCCACCGCGCCTTGGTTCAAGGGACAGTGTATGTCCACAGGCGGAAAGGTGCGGGGGGCTTGAAAGTTTGGTTCTTCCAATCAGCTTTAACTCTTAGCTCGAACTTGTAGCAGGGTTGGGCAGAAAGTCGGAAGCCCCAACCTGAGAGGGTTAGGGTTTGGTCTTTCAAAAAGGCCGATCCAGCCCTCCCATTTGTCTATAGTTCAAAAGTGACGTTATTGTCAGACAGGGTTCCCTTCTCTAGTCAGCCAGACAAGTGGCTGTCAAGCGCGCTGCTGGAAAGCCTTTTAGGAAAGCAATCAAGGCTTCTGGAACCGCTAGAAAGCAGACTATCGTGTTCTGGGCTTGGTCTAGAGGAGGCGAAGAAGCCCTGTGAAGCAGCTGGAAACCTTGCAGCTCCCACACTCATTCATGTGCCAAAACCTGCCAAGAATGTCTGTGCGCAGAGAGCGGCGCCCCCGAGCAGCTGCGGACCTAAGGCAAGTACATGAAAAAGCGGGGTGGGGTGGGCTTTCAAGACTGCTGCTCACATCCTCCCCTCACAGGGCAAAGACAGGGCCCCTCGTCTAGACATCACAGCTCAACTTTCATCTGTTTCCTGAATCGGATATCGTCACAGTCAGTTGACTTTGCTGGAAACCCGACTAAAGACACTGGTGTACCTTAAGCAGTGGCGTTTTACTTCATGAGTCAAATTCTCTGTGTCGGACTTGTAACTATAAATTGCTTTGAACGCCGGTTAAACCTTAGTCGCTGGGTAACTTACCGTATGTAAATATCCTTTCGAAACTTGGCGCCTGGGAATCGCCTAGTGGTGCCCTCCCTGATTGGCAATCATACTGCAGAATAGCCTCAAGGAGACTGCCAAGCGCCTGAAAAGGCGCTAACTTCGCTGGGTTGATGTGCTTTTTCTTGGTATTCCTCGCCCAAATGACAGGATCGCTGCTTATAGAAAGAGAGAAGTGGGCGTTAGTCTCGGGGCTTTTGTGGGGTAGGAAACCTAAGCGGCAGACATTGAACGAGGACTCAGGAACTTGTGTTTGCTGGAGCCTGGGGCATCGTTGCTTGCAGTGGTCTTGGGAGAGCAGCAGCAGACAATATTTGGTAGGCTACTGCGTGGGCTGCGTTAGCTAGGTAGCTGGCTGGTCTCTGACGTGCTCGGATCCGGCACCGTCAGGAACAGCTGCGTCAGAAAGGTTCTTGAGTCCACGTCCTCAATGGCATGCTGCTTGAATGCTGTCAGCAACATCTTGCCACAGTTAAATGGGATCTTCTCACGCGAATTCCAACTGGTTGTTTACCGGTATCTCCCACGCCCTGTCAACCGCCCGTAACTCGGGCAAAAGGCACCACGAATGCCCGGCCGCACCGTGCTGTTCTTACCTCTCAGCCGCGGCCCGGGCCGGCGATGGGCGGGGATGGCGTCGGCATTTCGGCCCTGTAAGCCCAGTGGCGTCTTTAGAGGCGCAGCTTCTGCCCAGAAGCAGTCCTCTCAGCTCCAGAACTAAGTTCCTGTTTGGGTAGGCGGTGTTGGTCATCGTGGCCCAAAATGGTGCAGGAATCAGAGTCGCGGGATCCAATCGCAAGCGTGGATCTGGACAAGGAGTAGAAAAACCGGCAGAATTTGTCGTGGGTTTTGCTGATGTTGAGATGTGCACAAAGAATTGGGCACGGAAGCCGTTCAATAGTTTGCGCATACGCGTGCAGTGTATGCTAGCCGTAGCTGCAGGTTTGGGCTGGGGATAACTTTGGTTTGTGTAGTGTAACGCTGTGTGATGACGCTGCCCATCTTGCTTTCTTGGCTGCAGCAGCCCCTTGCAGACGTTCGCTGTTTCAACGCTCTTCTTATGGCATAGTGGGCTTGGGTAAGGGTTCAGACAGCTTCGTGGGCTGGGTTGTTAGGCACAGCTCAGCCGTGTCTTGCTCCTTTGACATCCTCGATGGCTTCCACACTGGTGTCTGTCTTTGTAGGTGGCTGCGTGATCGGCCTTTCTCGATTGCATCTTAATGGTTTTTCTCCTCGAATTTCCAAGTTCGGGCCAGATGGCTGGACAGCGCCATTGAGCCTCGCGTAGAAAGGGAAAGTAGAGTTGTTCGGAACTCCTGGAAGCTGTCAGAGAAGGGTACGGACATCGTTTAGCAAACTGTCGCGGAGTTCAAAATGAGATGAACGTGTCCTCGATAGTTAGGCGGCCAAGCAACCTCCTGCAATTCGACTGTCTCGGGCTGTTTGGAGCCGTTGGTTGGTATCTGGTCCATAAGGGGTATGCACAGCGCCGTAGAATGAAGAGTATTGCTCCGGCATGTCTGGCAATGGGGAGAAAGGATGGGAAGAAGCCTGATGCTCTGCTGAGGATCGATGGATTGCGCCGAACCTCTGGTACCAATGATATCGAATCCTGATTTTGTTGTAAGCCGTTGGATAACCATTTTGGGGAACTTTCTTCAGGAGAGCTCTCCTATTTCGGTCCTCCAAAGCCTGGTTACCACAGGAAATTTGACCAAGGTCGAAGGGACTTTGTCTTCGAGCCTTGCTGCTTTGGAGATGACGTGATGATCTGGTTGTTTCTCGTTAGCGAGAGTACCATCCATCCTTCCTCATCTCTTCGACGGGCGTATCGCAATATATACCACACAGACGTTGCCTAGGAAGTCCCCTTCGGCTCCAAAGCCTAAGATTATATAGCAAATCCTCATCTCCATCGACCAAGCTTGGAGAACTGGATCTCACCTGCAAGAGTTCGTCTGAACTCTCAACTGCCGATAACCGGTTATTCATGCGCATATCCCGCTCGTACATGGTGGCATATCCTTGTGGCTCCCGGATTCCGGATCCGCCGGCATCCAGGAACGGGACCTTGCAGACTGGAGGTGTGTGAACAAAAGGATGAGTCCAACAGACATCCAGCACAGAGCCTCCGGTGATGGCGTGGGGGCTGTGTAGTAACCTTGGATAGGGGGAATGATGTGGGATGCATCGAAGCGAGTCTTATGGCTGCTGCTGGCTTGCATGGTAAGCTATAATAGCCCATATTATTGCCAGGGGTTGTTAGGTAGCAAGTGAAACATCACCGCCGATTGGAGCGCCTACAGAGTCACCTTCACACTTCACACCCACCGTTGGAGAGAGCATGTGAAGATGGAGAAAACAATCTTCTCGATGAACGCGATTCCAAACGGTTCTGTTCTTCTGACAGAGTGCGGAAGCCTTGCCAAGTGCTTTAGGCAAGGTGTCCTGGCTAAAACATCTCGTTCCATCATCTAAGAATACCTGTTTTATCTCAATGCAGTCTCTTATGAACAAAAAAAAGCCTGTATCGTTAGAGATAGAAACGTTGATAGCTCTTCTCCAGGTATAACCTCACGGCTGTTGTCCCCCGGATGGGAGAATGAGGTCCAACGGCTCTCCAGGTTTTGGCGTGTGCGAGCAATGTCTCATTCATACAACAAACGATTAACCTCACCAAGCCGTCAGCTTTATATAGCCCGAGTCTATGATGTTCGTATCCTGGAATCATATTTCAAAGTGTTGTTCGCTCTCAAGTATCGCTGCTCAATGCTATGTACAAGTGCTGAAGCTCGTTTACACGATGTCCCCTGCCTCATCAACATGTTCATTCCCTTCCTTTCCATTTCCAACTTCTTTATTTCCCAAACTACTGTGTAGTTGTCCAATTGTCTCTCCAGTTCCTCCACTCTTCCCCGTCATACCCCCGTGTGGTATGCTTCCTGCAACTGATCTCATGTGTCGCGGCCTGCTGGCTGGCTCTGGGGCGTGAGTAGCGGCCTCTAAGCTCCTGTTCATCTTTCCCCTCTGCCATTTGGCGAACGCCCGAATCGGAGGCAGACACGGAACGATGATGCTCACAGCTACCTCGATTCCGGTCCATATCGCGGCATCCGTGTAGTCCCAAGTTGGATTTGGCGAGTTTCCAAAGGGATGCATAGCCCTCAACCGGATGCAACTGGTAACAGTGACGAAGAAACCGATGGAGAACATGGCAATTGCACTAGCCTTGTCCCGCCATGAGATTCGGAGCTTCCAGAGTAGGGGAAGGGGCATGATGAGGATGACAACGTCCTGCGCGATGCTTGACAGGGCGGCGGCGTAGCTAGCTTTGTTGATATCGAGACAACGGTGCTGACCAAAAGGCCCACGCTTCCATTCCTCCCATATGTAGTTGATAGGGACACACTGGAAGAGTTGGAGGAAGACAAAGATGATGCCAGAGAGGGCTATCCAGCCCATGACCGCCATGGTTAGAATGCGGAAGCGGTGCTGTGGAAAGACCCTCAAGTAGAAGCAGAGTATAGATAGCTTGGTGAGGGCGAGGATTGCGAGATAGAGCGTTTCGGCAATGTAGATGAACTGTTGGTCAGTTGAAGGTTTTCAGTTGGTGATAGGAAGGAGATCTCAATTACCATCATGGTGCGAGTCATGGACGAGGCCTCGACGGTCCAGATGTCAACTCCAATGCCCCTATGTGCCGCTGGTGTCGTCATTATAAGTTGAGTTGAGAAAAGCGAAGAGACCCTCCAAGACGTACCAAAGGATCCAACAATTTCGAATGGTACATAAAGAATCTGCCACATGGGACAACAAAGTGTAAGAGATGTCCTATTTTCGACTTTGGAGGCATATACTTACCATGGCAAGGCCCATGATCCAGTCGTCTAGTTCGAGCCTGGAAGCCATCTTCCAGCGAGCCCATAATCTCAAGAGTGCACATACAATTGCTGGTCCTTCGATTACTAGCGGCGCTAGAAGATCTCGTTTCCGTGAGCGCAGTGGCGTAGAATAGACGCCCCAGGCTCCTCGAGCCGTCTCTGCGGAATGATACAGTTAGCGTCAGTCTGCGAATACACATTTGGAGTGATGGGAGAGGAGTATTCTCGCTGAGTGGTGGCAACTTTCCCGCAAATCAGGGGACGGGGGTGAGGTCGAAGTAGGCTGAGATAACAGGCTGGGATGACGATGCAGAGTACAACGGATATGCAAGACGAATTGAGAAAACAAAAGAAACTGCGAGACCAACCAATAGCCTCCTCCAAACTACACATCTCCCACCCACTCAACTCCCTCTCCTTACTTCCTCCATCCTCCCCCCTGATACAAGCCATCACTGCAAAGAAATACTCAACCTCCGTCCCATTTCCACAAAGACACTCCCTCGCCGCAGCGTCGATACCCGGCTCACTTGCTTCATCAACATCGTCACTGCGCCCCAATACCCCTACGCCTCTCAAAACCTCGCCATCCCCCTTACCCCTCCCGCCGCAAACATCCCAATCTCGATCAGCCGTACGGCTACCGTAAACAGCGTCCACATCGTCCAGACTAGAAACATGCACGTAAGGATGTTTGCTATTATCAAACAAGTCACGAGTATCATCGTGGCTATCACTGAAGGCGGGCGCCCTGCGAGGAGCAAGGTTATTGCCTGTACTTGGGGTCGAACAGGCCACTTTGGCGCCCTCGCGCTGAAGAGTGATCTCGATTACGCAGCGGCGGGCGCAAGGGGGAAGGGTATCTGCGACGGCTTCGAGGACGGTTTTGGTATGCTTGGCGTGGCGAGGTTTCCAAGAGGCACTGGGGGGCGCTGGACGGGGAAGCAAGAGGGAGGTTGAGGATTCCGTCGCGGGGGTTAGGTCGAGGGAAGTTGTGCTGTCGGCGGTTGTTGAGTATTTTGTCGATGGGTATACCTGTTTAGGGAAGATCAAGAGAAAGAGGAGCAGCAAAGAGGGTATACGGGCGACGAGAGTGATAAAGAGGCAGAGAAGTTGGTAGGAGAAGGCGAGGGAAAAGCAAAAGGACATGTCACCAACTCATGTGCGAGTTGTCAAGTGACGAGGAAGAACAACATCAAGTATAGGAGTTCTTACTAGGTTGTCGGCATGGAAGTTAAATCTGATGTTGAAGCAAACTGCAGATTATGACCAAACTTGAAGGGCGTACGTCAACTTCAAAAACGGCTCGGTAAAGGAGAACATGCCTCTATGGTGATGTCAAGATCAGGAGCACCTGCCTCAACCTCCATACCATGTCTGGAAAGCATCTTGGGGGATGAATTGCATACCTACTAGATTCTCGACTTAGAGAGCAAGGAAGACCAAGGGCTGGGCGGCAGGAGCTCCTGAAGAGCCTCTAAAGGAGGTAAACAACAGGTGAACTCATACTTAATACTGAAGGACAAATAAAGACAATCAGAGCAGCATAAAACAGCCAGGAGATTCTAAAAAGGACTTTCAATTGGCCAGTATGAGTTAAGACAAAACACTTAAAATAAAAAAAGGGGGGGGGGGGGTGAGGAAGGGAGTGATATTGATCGAAACTGGTTCAGATTCACGATTATTTTCATTTCTGTCTATCATCTCGTCAACCCATTCCCATGCCCATGGATAAAATCCGACAAACAAGCTGAGAAACATCCACATAAAAGTAGAACAAAACCTGGTATCATAGCGCCACAAACCTCAAAACACATTCTTCCTTAATCACTTCACCTTACTCATAATCGTCTCCGGGCCCCTCACTACATCCATCTGAGCGGCTCTCGATTTAACCGCATTTAGCATGGCCCGATCAAAATCATCCCTCGCTCTAAGCACCGCTTCAACCCAGCTAATCTGCAGATCCCAGTACGCCGTCTTAAACGCGGCAAAAGTATCTGGCACAGCCTCCTTCTCGACCGACAACAGCTGCAAGAACGGCTCGGTAACGCGCCACGTCTCCTTGATAGAGTTCGCCAGCGCCGGGTTGGGTAGCGCGTTGAAAAAGTCGAAGGCCGTCTTAAGATCGTCGTAGATCTTGTCCTGGAACTGGTCTGTTCGGCGGAACTTGGCGCCTTTGTTGCGGACTGCGCTGAGGTAGCGGACGAGTAACTCGTCCGCCAGGATCTCGACGAAGATATCCACCAGGGAGTGGTGCAGCACTTGCCGGTAATCGGCGATGTACTCGTCCAGCGTGGCCGCCATGCGCGCCATGTGCGTGGTGGTGTACCAGCGCGGGGTGAAGAAGTCGGGCATGACAGACTTGAAATCGACAACGAATATGAGCTGTGCGAACTTGGTCATGCACCAGGTGGCTAGGTCGAGGTAGCCATCGCGAAGGGCAGCGACTTCGGCCTCGGCGCGGTCCATGTATGCTGGCGAGACGAGCGGCGCGAACTTGCGCCGGAAATCGGTCAGGTATGCTACCCGGCCGCCGCCCGCACCCTCGGGGTCTCCCTCATCCGCATCGTCGATGCAAGCAATCTGGTCGTTGGCCGTCGCCACAAGCCAATCCTGCAAGGGACCAAACCCGTCCAGCTCGGTAACCTTCCCGCTCTCATACTTCGCCGCTTCCTCCTCAAGCATCTTCTGCCAGTTCTGCTGTCTCTGCCTGAGGCGCTGGAACATAGCATCTACCACACCCTCGGCAACATCAGCGCGTTTCGAGTTAGCAGCGGCATCCAGTTGACCACGCAGCATGCGCCACAAATCGACAAGATTCTTCGTCCGGAAGTAGCCATACTCGTCCTGGTCGAGGTTGGCACCCTCGACGGTGCGGTCGGCAAAGTCCTTGCGCTCCTGGGCCTGGATGCGGCCGATCCATTCGTCAAGGAACTTGATGATGAGCTGGCGGAAGTCGCGGACAAGTTCAGTCTCGCGGTTGTCGATGACGTGGGGGGTGAGTTCATCTTGTTTGAAGCCGAGCTTGCCCATCTTGCGGTAGTACTTTTCGGGCCAGCCGACGATTTCGAGGGTGTGGCTGGATGTTGTTTGCGGGTCGTCGATGAGACCGATCAGGAAGTCGTGCATCATGGTGTGATAGATGTTCGTCCATGTCTTGAAGATCTTCCATTTCTTAGGCATGAGCTGTACCATGCCTAGGCGGACCGTGTTGAGGTCGTTGAAGTACCAACGTAGGCTCTTCTCGAGAGCGCCTGGGTCGTCCATGAACTCGGCACGCGTCTGCTCGAACTGGCTCTCACCAATTTTGCGGATGGCACCGAGGAAGCGGTCCTTGTAGCCACGGACGGTCTTTGCCCCATCAGTGATGCTCTGGAAGCGCACTGCCATCTCCTTGTGGTCCTTGAGCGCCTCCTGTAGGGCCAGCACGCGCTGGTCGCTGCGTTCTTCGGCTTCGATGACGAGAGCGAAGCGAACGACTAAGCTCGTATTGTCGGCTATAACCAAGTTGATCAGACTGCGGGCGATCAGATCGATATGGTCGTCGAACCAAGCAATAGCCTCATCCAGCCGAGAAAAGTAATCCTCCAGTGTAGCCTGCAAACCGGGGTCATCAGCACGCTGTATCTGCTCCATCGCATCATCCCTTATGTTCCTCAGCTGTGTCAACTCATAGTGCACAGCCAACAAGTTAGGCATATTCTCCGCATCCTCGTCATCCTGCCTCAACATATCATTAATCGCCGCTAACCGATCATTAAACGTCTCAAGATTCCTCCTCATCGTCTCAACCGCACCAAAATTCCGATGCGCCTGCGACACAAGGTTGATGGTAGCGAAATCGGCAATCATGTTCTGCGACTCGGAGCACAGCCGGTCGATCTTGATCATCTCTTCCTTTATCTGCTGCACCGTCTTTTGCCCGTCGACGAGTCCGTTCATGCCGGCCTGCGCGGTCTCGAGCTGCTCGCGCAGGCCGGCGCGTAGTTGCGAGTCGACCGCGGCCTTCTTGCGAGAAAATTCAGCTTTTAATCCCGCGATCTTGTCCAGGTCGTCGGGGTGCCGTAGAAGCTCTGATAGCTTGACCGGCGGCACGTCCATGTTGACGTCGGTGACGGCGTCAGCGTGGTTGGTTTTTTTTGGCTGTTCCCGGGGTTAATGATTCAGACCATTTCTTGGTCGGGCCAGTTCCAGGGCCCGTATTTTGGCAAACTGCACGGCAGCTGGGTAAGCACGGGAATGGCGGTGGTGTAGATTTGTTGTCGACGTTGAGGTTGAAGATGCCCCTCCAAGGCCTTGCAGTTCAGCCAGCAGCCGGCGTCCTGGCTGCTCGGCAGGGGTCTGTGGCCTGTGCGCTGACCATGAACCCACTTTGCCAAGCTTCAGCAGAGCTTGAGCTCTAGCTTCTGAGGGGCCGAAGATCACTTGCGTCTGCGCCGTCATCAGTTGAGCTTTGTCAGGTTGGAGCATGATGAACTGCCAGTATTGAGTACATTTAAGCTGAATTTTGTGATGGAGTTTCTAGGAAATCTCAAATAGCCTCCTGGACACCCAGCAGGCAACTAGACATTTTAGTACCTTCATTAGTTTCAAGCTATCATCTCATGGTTCAAGGGCTTCATGACACATGAAGATTCGAATCTATTGTCCAAAATTTAGCTTCCCGAGATTGTTCGATATTATAACAGACAAGTAGTGTGTACGGACTTCATGTTTTTTTTTGGCCCCGTGAAGCAAAAGTAACGGCTTACTATCGGAAAGAAAGCTTCTGAGGTAAAGGGTTTGAGATGTCTTTCCTGGTCCCCCAGAAGAGGGATATCTTCAGTGATGAGAAGAGTTGGCTGGTCTTTTTGCTGATATCGTGTGCCATAGAGGGAACTTACCAGGCTTCGACGACGTTGTTTCGCCAGTATTTCTCCTGAGACACATTTAAACCGCCAAACTGTTCCCCCTCCCCTCCCCTCCCCCCCCCCCCTTTCTCTCCCCCCAAAACAAAATCAAATGACATCACTCCCCCTCCCTTCACAGCACACACAGCACATGCACAGTCTGGCCAAGGAAACACCACATCTTGTCTACTCTATCGGCGGTATACCAATATACACACCACCAGCAGCCTCCGTCTATTAGGACGGCAGCAGCATTTCTTCTTCTTCCCTTTCCCCTCTAATAAAAAAAACACACTTCCCTCTCTCCCTCTAACCTAAACGCCGAGAGAGCAGCACCCCACACACTTGATTGACTCTAGACGCAAAATGCATCACCTCCCACTTAACCACGGGGGCTAGGTCAGTGAGCAGACCACCTCTCATGCTGCTCCAGCCATTAACCCTCTTCCATCGCCAGACCGAGCCGAAGGATATCGAACGAGACGGCGACGATGAAGTCGAGTTACGACGGATTTTAGTTCTTGGCGGGGTGGTTGAGCTGGAAGACTGTTATATTCAACTCCGTCAGCATTTCCCCTGCAAAATAATACTCTTTCACATCCTCTCGATCTAGTAAAAGAGTAGCAAGCAAAGAATGAGAACAAGGCAACGCACAGGCAATGCCGAAAGGCGTAAAGAACCCAACGAAGCAGAAGGTCCAATACTTCCAGGCGAAGCCCTTCTTGCGGGGGTCGAAGGGCAAGTTGGAGTAGGGGCCCTCGGGGTAGTGGTAGGGCGAGGAGAGGCGAACGCGCGTGGTGGTGAAGGCGCGGCGGGCCACGACGGCCTGGGTGGTGGAACGGACGGCGGCGCGGGCGGCGATCATCTTTTGCAGAGGCAAGAAAAAAATATCCAGTCAGCGATTTGCTCGGGTTATCTTCTATGCTCGAGTGTGTGGTGGTAATATGCGGCAGCAGGTATTCCAGATCCCAAAACTCTTCCTGTTCTGTCCGTCCGTGGCAAACCAATCGAGTCTGATCCAATTGAGCCAATTCCCCCTCCCCCCTCCAAGCAAACGCAAACAACAATTGGAGACCTTTCTCAAGCTCTCAAATACGGGAAGAAGCGTACTTTTTCTTTCTGTTCTTTAGTTGTCGTAGCCCACAACGGGTCTTGTCTATGCTGGGGTCGACGGTGGTAGTGGTGGTGGTGGTGGTGGTGGTGGTGGTGGTGGTGGTGGTGGTGGTGGTGAGCAGTGAGGTGAATTCTTGAGAGGAGCTTCCGGGTTGTGACGCTAGCAATCGGGAAACCTGGTGCTCGGATTGGAGGGAGCTCGGCTGAGGTGGTGTGATTTTTGTCTTCCTGGGCGCTGTTTTCGCCGACCGTAGAGGTGGGTATGAAAGCTCGGCTGATTATGTAAGCATATTCCCTTCGTCAAGTGACATCCACATGAAGATTGAAAAAGATCACAGGAGGAAACAACACACATCAGATTGAAGGGTGTCGAAACCTAAGACTTCATGCTTATGTACAGCTGCTGTCCGTCTACTCTACGCTAGGGATATCTGGCCCAAACACACTACCTATGCATACCCGCATACCCAAGAAGCCTGCCTGCCCCTTACACTCTACTCAAATACAAGCTCATCCCCTTTTCTTCTTTACCGCATCGTCACCAACTCCTCAGCGCTGGTCGGGTGAATGGCAACGCAGTTATCAAAGTCCGCCTTCGTCGCGCCCATCTTGATCGCGACGCCAAAGCCCTGCAGGATCTCAGCACTGCCCAAGCCCATAATGTGCAGACCAACCACGCGCTCCTCCGGCCCAACACAGACAAGCTTGTAGCTGGTAGGCGCCTTCTGCTCGGGCTCCATCATGGCGTAGTACATGGCGATGAAGTTGCTCTTGTACACCTTGACGTTCTCCTTGCCATACTTCTCAATCGCCTGCGGCTCGGTAAGGCCGATGGCGCCGACCTCCGGGTGTGCAAAAACGACAGAGGGAACATTCTCGTAGTCTAGCTTAGCAGTACGGAACTGCTCGGGGCCATACAGGCGCGCAGCAAGCTTGCGACCGGCGGCGATGGCCACGGGTGTGAGCTCAACCCGACCGGTCACGTCGCCCAGCGCATAGATGTTCTCGACGCTCGTATTCTGGTACTCATCCACCACGATGTAGCCCTTCTCGTCTGTCTTGACACCGGCAGCCTCAAGACCGAGGCCCTGCGTTGCCGGCTTACGACCAATCGCCCAAATGAGATGGTCGACGTCGCCGATGACGCCCTCGCCGTCGCCCTCCTTGTAGTGGATGGTTAGCTGGCCGGTAGTCGCGTCCTTGTCAACGCGGGTCAGCGCGCTGCGCTTGTGCAGCTTGACGCCCAGCCGCTCGTACTCCTTGGTCACGCCCTCCTGGATCATGGGGTCGAAGGCGCGCAGGAAGTGGTCGTGCCGGATGAAGAGGTGTGTCTCGACGCCCAGCGCATTAAACATGCCCGCGAACTCGACCGCGATGTAGCCGGCGCCAACGAGTGCGACCTTCTTGGGCAGCTTGTCGATGTCGAAGAAGCCGTCGCTGTTGGTGCCGTACTCGGCGCCCGGGATGGCCGGCGGCGGGCTCGGGTAGCCGCCGACGGCGATCAGAATCTTCTTCGCGCTGACGACAGTCTTGCTGCCGTCCTCCAGCGTCACTTCGACCTGGTTGGGCGAGATTAGCTTGGCCCAGCCGTGGACATATTCGACCTTATCGTTGGCGAGGTTGCGCTCGTAGATGCCGTTCAGACGCTTGACGTAGGCGTCACGCTTGGCCTTGAACGTGGCCCAGTCAAAAGGAGCAGTCTCCTGGACATTGAAGCCGTAGGCTTTGGAGTGATGGATGGTCTCGGCGATGGCGGCGGCATTGAAGGTAACCTTCTTGGGGACGCAGCTACAACACCGTCAGCAAAAGCAAAGACGAAGAGAAGCAACTAAGACTTACCCCACGTTGACACAGGTACCTCCCAACCGTTTACCCTCAATGATCATGGCCCTGGCGCCGTAGCGGCCACTAGCAGCGCGAGCGGCGCCGAGGCCACCACTGCCGCCGCCGATGACGAGGAAGTCTGTCTCCTTGGAGATTGGCGCCATCGCGAAAGCGGATGCGGAAAATTGGCGGTTTATGGTCTGAAGTCGTCCTGCAGCAGCACTTGACGAAAGCAGTGGGCGTCTCGCCAGCAAGAAGACGGATTGCATGGAAAGGAGGTTACTTGGGGTAAGATCACGGGGTATCGCGGGGTACTAATTATACCTATGCGGTATGCGGGCAACCGAAGGCCAAAAGAGGGGAGGAGGAACCTCAAATCTGCCAGGCGAGATGCAGATGTGACGACTGACAAATCCAATCCGAGCGAACGGAAAAGGGAAACTCGACAAACGAATGCAAAGTCGATGGATGGCGCAACCTCGCTGCTGTTGTGCGTCACAAGGAAAGAGGCTTACACAGGAAACCTTCTCCAGGCTTGGGAACTTCTGCTTACAAAACACACTACCGGAGACCAGATGCTCAGTCAGCAGCACACCACCACGAACACTTGGCACCTCTTCGGCTGCTGGTCACCGACTCGCCGATGTCTTAGATTTGGAATCTCGGATTTACAAACGGTGCCCCACCTTGCGCTCGCGCGATGGACGGCGAACTCGAACCTGAGATGCCCCACCATTTCAAAACTAGGTTTGGGGAATCGCCGATCCAGGGCCCGATTATGTAATCAGCGACAGTCTTCTAGAAACCCTAACCCTCTTCTGACATCATCTTGCAGTGAGCCGAGCCAGCCTGCTGGGAGCTGACTCCTCAGCAATATCCAGAGCCATCAGCGCTTGTGGATAAGTTTGTCCAATTGACAATTTGGTCGAGGGCAAGTTTGAAGAGAGTGGGAGGCGAGAGTCTTGGGTTGTTAATTCGGAGGTGACGACCCCGAAGAGGGTCACAATCTCGGAGTCTGTTCCTAGGCTGAGTTTTGATCCATGAATAGCGGATGAATGGAAACTTCAGGGTCCTGAATAATTCCATCTTGACCACTCCTCAATGTATACCAGTGCTGGGCCTAGGGGCAACTTATAATCCTCGACTTGAGGAACCAAATTAAGATATCGTTTTGTTTTCTTCTCTCGCGAGACTCAAGTCAAGTTATTTTCCCTCCTCAACCTCGATAAGGTTGAGCTCGATCATCATGCCCCGACCCAGCACTCCTCCTCGACTCCTTGACGAAACAGCCGTCTACATCCGGGCGCTCTGCAGCTCCTGCGGTCTAACCCAGTCTGGTCCGAAAACCCTACTCGTCCAGCGCCTGCGTCACGCAGCCAGGCGGCACAAACCACTGACATCCTCCTCCCGCATCCTCAGCATCGACCTCGGCCTCAAGAACTTCGCCTTCTGCCTGCTCAGCCCAGCACGATCAACAAAAGAAAACAAAAACCATTCTATGGGTGCGCTGTTGAATACGCCGGTGCATCTTCATGCGTGGAATAGGCTGGATTTGACGGCTGCGGTGCAGAGTTTTGGGGCTAGGTCATCGCCGTTGAGGCCGGAGCCGTCATCATCACCACTGGAGGACATCATCGCTGAGACGCAGCCCTCGAAAAAGGATCAGCAGGAAGACACGCTTCCTGACGACATGTTCTCACCTGCCCGACTATCCCTCGTCACGGCCCATCTCGTCCGGACGCTTCTTCTGCCTCTACGCCCAACACATGTCCTGATTGAGAGGCAACGTTTTCGCACAGGTGGTAATGCAGCAGTATCTGAATGGACGCTGCGTGTGGGAGCTCTGGAAGCCATGATCCATGCCACATTGGGGACGTATCGAGACATTCTGAAGGATAATCAAGCGCTCTCGACAGCAGGGTCGGGTAAGGGGTTGCCGACTGCTCAGGGGTCGGTCACCGGAGGCGAGTCAGCTCTATCGTTGGCTGCCGGATTAGAGAGTGTCAGCTCTGTCGTGCCGAAGCAGGTAGCTGCATATGTGTTTCCAGTTGCAGGCGAAAACACTGCTTCTGCTGTTGAAGAAGACGTGGATGAAGAAGGCGATGAGACGAAGAAGAAAAAAAGATTTCGACTTATGCAGCTCTCAAAAAAGAAAAGATCAACATGCTAGGAAGCTTGTTGGCTCCGGAAGCCGGGATGGTGACGCCTGTAACTAAACAAGCTGAAGAGATGATCGAGGGCTATTTGGGTGGCTGGGAGTGGAGGAAGATGTCGAGGAAAGAGAAGGCAAAGAAGAGGAAAGATGGGGAAGTTGGAGAGAATGAGGAGAAGTGGACGCAGGAAAAGTTGGATGACTTGTCCGATGCAGTGCTCCAAGGTCTGGTGTGGCTACAATGGCAGCGGAACTTGGAAGAGATCGTCAGGGACTGGCCAGAGTTGACGGAAGGGCAAGACACCACCGATGTATAGACGACGGATGGCATGAGATGGGATAACAAGAGCATATTAGACCTAGACTAAGATAGACACCGTATATAGAAGATCCTAGTAAGTCAGGGTATCTCATTCACTCCAGTACTCGTAATCATCGAACCTGCCCTCTTCCCTCTGCGTGCTCACCCACTCTTCGCTTGCCAAACCGGCCATCATCCTCCTCTTCAGCCCTTGAGGATCTTTATGCCAGTCGCAGGCATAGTCACACTCTGGCACCTTCTCTTCGCCGAAATACTTGCAAATAAACGCATGGCGACACGTATCCGTGCTCTCGCAATATTCAACCAGACGACTTAGACTCCGCATCCTTGCCTCCCGGTTCGTGTCATTCGGTCCTCCATCCCGCATCACCATATTGCATACCCGATCCCTGTCCTCACGAGCATAGTACAAGAAGCAATAACTCGCATTCCCATCTCTCCCGGCTCTCCCAGCCTCCTGATAATACCCCTCAAAGCTCTTCGGCAGCCGCCAATGCACGACAAATCGAACATTCTCCTTGTCGATCCCCATACCAAACGCGGTGGTGGCAACGATGATATCGTACCCCGGCTCATTCGCGATCCATCTGGCCAGCGTCTCCTCCTTCACCTCTTTCGGCAGCTTCGCATGGAACGGCCTGGCCCCAATCTCCTCTTGCCTGAGTGCCGCGGCCAACATCTCACACTCATCCCTTGACAGCGTGTATATAATCCCCGGTACGTTTTGTACCCTCTCCCCCACCGCATCTAACTCCGCTTTCCTCTCCGGCTGCGACCGACGCGCATAAACACCCTTCAACCACGTCACAAAATCATCAAACCGATCATTCGCCTGATCACTCGTAAACCTTACCTCCAAATGCAGATTTGGCCTGTGCGCAGTCATGGTGAAATTCTTCAGTCTCTCCGGCGTCCTGTCCAGGCCCAACGTAGTCAAAATATCCCGCCTAACCTGTTCATTGGCCGTCGCTGTCAAACACATGATCGGCACATCAGGAAACATTTCTCGAAACCAGGACAGCCGTTTGAAGTCCTTTCGGAAATCGTGGCCCCATTCGGAGATGCAGTGCGCCTCGTCGATGGCGATACGGGCTAGCTCGCGCTGCTCGTGGACGAGGCGGAGCTGCCGGCGGAAGTGCTCGGAGGAGCAGAGCTCGGGGGTGACGTAGAGAAGCCGTGTGCGCGGATGGCCTGTGGCGAGGTCCTGGTAGATGTAATCGCGCTCAGAGGGCGGCGTGTTACTGTTGAGGGTTCGTGCGTCGACGTTGGCTGAGCGGAGAGATTCGACTTGGTTAATCTACGTAGTGAGCATTGAGCCTGTTGACCGTTGAGAGATAGAGATAGAGATAGAGAGAGAGAGCTTACCATAAGACTTAAGAGAGGTGAGACGACGATTGTAACTCAAAAAGGTGTTAGTCTTCAAGAGCCCTGAAAGACTCAGGGGCTGCATGGTCACTCACTTCCCCGGTTGATAACAGCCGGTAGCTGGAAACATAGGCTCTTGCCAAATGAGGTGGCTGCCTGAACGAAGACATCTTTGCCTTCCAATGCTGCTAGGATGATCTCGCGTTGATATGGTCTAGCCAAATCAGTAACCAAAACTTTATGTTGACTCTTTACCAGGACAGGAAGTTGAGGACTCAGGGGTACCTGAAGGACGTTTTGCCAAACTGTTGCCGCAAGGTAAAGTCGATGTCATGAAATGAGTCGTTCCTCCTTGCGAGAGGCATGATGGATAAGGATATGGTCTCTGGGAAATTTCAACTCTGTCATGTACCCGACGTTCTGAGATCTTTTCGTTAAAAGTGAGAGTGTAGGTACGTAGTTGTTGCCTGAGGCTAAGGAGTTGAAAGAATGGACGGACGTGGACGAGGACGAGTCCCTGCCAATGAGTTTCCTGACAAAATAGAAGACTCAACTCAAGTCTTCAGTTCGCTCAACTTCGACAAGACAACATTAAGGACAGTTAAAAGACTCAAGATAGCCAACTTGGACTTAATTTGAGAGGCCTCATAAAAGATTTGGAAACCAAACGTTGAGATCGTTGTTGACTGTCGAGTCGGAGCGGCGATTGGTTGCCGGGCCGCGGACAAACCGAAGCCATAGGTTTGACATCAGGGTTAGGGTTTGCATATGTTCCCGGCATGATGAGCCTCAGGTCCTGAAATCTGGACATGTAAGTTGGCAAGCGACCAAGACGCAAACTACGAGGATACACAGTTCACATAGCTGTCGCTCGTCTGTCAGATCTGTCCTCTAGAATGCGTAGATCTGACAACAGATACACCCAAGAGATTACATGTTTCGGCCCCTTGCCAAGGCTGCTCGTTGGCCGAGAGCAGCAGAGCTGAAGTCACTCCGGCATGCTGCCGTCTTACACCGGACTCGGGAAGTCCATGCCATTGCAATAGGCAGCTTGCCATCTTACTTGCTGAACGCGACAGACGGCACAGCTGCAGTGTAAGAAGCCAATTCATATCGAGCCGCCCGCAATGTGGCGCTGATTTGAGCGGATTCCAGACGCGCTCACGGCCAAGGACATTGTGCTTCGGCAGCACACTTGGAGTCTTACTCAACTCCGCACAGCAGCCGATGCCTTGGCTGCGCGGGCAGCGTTTCGTTTCAAATGCTGGAGAGAGTTGGAGGTTTTGCAGGTTGTCCATCTGACAGTGGCATCCATCTGTGCGGTGGCCCATCTGGGTAGCCGCCGATGCATCGCTTGGACCCAGCTAATGAGGTTGATTCCGAAGGAGGCAGCGGGCGGCCGTTGCGCTGCAGTTGCGAGTTGGTTGCTCTCAATGATCGATTGGGCGTTGCGAGGCCAGCTCACATTCCCAAATGCCCTGCAGAACGCCCAGAGATACCCAGAGAATTGTCCAGTCTTTGCTTGTCCCTTGCAGTTGTGCGGTACGCTGGCCCGTCCCGCTGTGTGCACGCCCCGGGCGTGGAGCCAGGGCTCGCGGGCTTCACGTCCTCGACGCGACCTGACAGGCTGGGGAGGAAAAGCGGGGGCTCCACCCGAAGACCAGGCCTGAGGTCAATGCCCCACTACCCCCTGTATGTTTCTGGATGCACCCCAAAACAGTTGCTGTGGAGTCACTCGATGAACCCCTATCGAAGCGCAGGGCGGGCGCTTTGTGCTTGTGGTCTCTTGGAACCTTTGGAACCTCTGGAACGCCGAACTGACTGGACCCGAGACGGGATCGCAGCAGCCGCTGTTCAGACGAGGCAGCCTCTGCCAGTGGCTCCCTCGAAGCCAGCAAACGCACCTATTCAAACACTGCGAGACGACGGCAGCGCACAAAGTTGGACCAGCAACATTTTCCCCCTCACGACATCGACGCCAATTTGCACAATCGCACAACCGAACAGTCCATCATCAGTTCATTCACCGCCTGCAACACCGTTCCAAGTCCCTTGGCAGGCGGCCCCATTTCTAGAAATAAGGAACGGGAAAAGGAAAACGAACCTGGACTGAATCGGGACCAGCCCCTGGGCCCTGTCGACCCGGCGACCCCAAACTGCTCGAGGTTGGTCTCGCAATGACTTTGTCCGACCGGCTGCCACCATCGACAACTCTCGCCTAAAAAACAAAAAAAAAATTCCCATTGATCCGTCCGCGAACGGTTCAAGCGGTTGAGCGACTCGGGACAAATAATCCGCTTCCTTCGGTCGACAAATTCCCTTTCTCCCATCCCAATCTTCCCAATTTCCCCTCCCTCCCCCCTTCCTCCTTTTTTCCCNGAAAAAAAAAAAACGGGCCTCGACCCCCGACAACGACAACCCGGCCACAGCGACGACAACGGCGATCGATCCAATCCGATTGATCGACTGGGGGACCGACAGGACCGACAGAGAGCGGCCGACGACCCGCCTCCATCTCGATGGACTTCCCTCGGGGACTGCCCGACAACCCGGCCCAGGCCCGTCGAGCCATCGCTGCTGCAGCCCTCGCGAACCCAACGCCGCCGCCGCCCGTCCCGGCCGTCCCCAAGGATGTGCCGGCCTCGTCGCTCTCGGCGGGGCAGCCACTGTCGCCCAGCCAGGTGCTGGCTCTGGCCCGCGATGCCATGCGCGCTGCCCGTGAGGTAGAGGCCAATGCTGTTGCTGTCGAGGGCAGCGGCTTGATGCCCGGCCTGACCATCGATCTGAGCCGGAAGCGCATCCACACGTTGCCCGAGGAGATCGTGGATGTTATAAAGGACGAGCTGGAGAGGTATGATTGTCGCTGTCGTTGTGTGACCGACTGCCTTGGTCAGGGGATTCTAACGGATTCTAGATTTGCCCTCTCGCACAACTACCTAACCACCTTCCCCTCTCGGTTCTCTGAGTGCACGATGTTGCGCTACCTCAATGTCAGACAGAACAGGATAAAGGAGTTCCCGCTGGTGGTGAGTAATTGCCTGAATCCCCGTGGCGCCGAGAAGTCTCAGCTGACCAAGCCAGCTCTGCGAACTCAAATCCCTCGAGATCCTTGACCTCGGCCGCAACTTGTTGAAGACTCTGCCGAACGAAATCGTCAAGATGTCCTCGCTCAAGGTGTTGTCTGTGTTTAAGAACCAGATCACCCACTTGCCGGTTTGCTTAGCCGATATGCCGTCCCTGCACTGGATCAAGCTGGCAGGAAACCCTCTGGTATATCCCGATCCCTACAAGATCGATATTCCTGGCACGGGTCCCAATCCCCCTGTGGACGACAAGGAGATCAATGATCATCGCGAGACTGATGCCACGGCAGCCATCAAGAAGTTTCTCAAGGAGGAGCGATATGGTGCTGCCGGCACCGGCTCAGGCGCTTCGTCGGTTACGGCCGAATCCCCTACCGAGTCCGTGGAAGGAGGAGAGACGCCACGCCCAACGATGAAGAGAGTCTTCAGTGGTCGGTTTCCTGTGAAGGTAAACGGCAACGAAGTGCCCGACCTACGCTCGCCCGCCGCTCCACGGCCACCCCCCATCCCGATGCGCTCACACTATCGCGGATTGTCGCAGCAGAACGCAGCCCACCGCAAGCCTGGCGTGGCGCCGTTGGTCATGGGCAATCTCAACGAGCGCGTGCGCAGCAACTCGGAGACGGCATATCAGCCGTCGAGCAGGGAACGGTCAGAAAGTCGATCGCGGCGCATGGGCATGGTTAGCAAGCGGTCGGAGCTCAGCACGCTGGAGGAGATCGAGGTCAATCCCAACCGGTTCAGCCATTATCGCGGCCTCAGCCATGGCTCGGCGATGCAGGGCCATGGACCCGGGTTGCAAGTTAAGAGTCCTAATCTGGGGAGCCCCGCTGAGCCGCCGGCATTGCAGAGGCCTGTGTACGTCCGGCGGCTTTCGGTGCTGCCCGAGAGACGGAGAGAGTCTAAGATATTCGACCCCGTGCTCGAGGCGGCTAAGGGGGTGCTGTATTCGATCTTCCAGATCCATCCTATGATTCAGACGCTGGTTGGCTTGACCAACAACGGGTCGGCGGGGAGGTCCAACCTCGAGATTGTGTTTTACAACACGAACGACCATGTCGAGCAGTTGGAGATGGAGATCCAGAAGCAGGACCAGGCGATCAACGAGGGCCACGGCCAGCGCGAGAACGAGAACGTTCAGCGGGCTTGCCTCACGCTGATCAATGCCTACACGCACGTCTGCTCGCTGCTGATGGCCAACGTCGATGTGTTTTTAGAGTATGGCGACCCGCGGTACATCCGGACACTGCTGCTGCAGCTCTATAACAGTGTCATGGAGCTGCGCGTGACGTGTAACCAGGTTGCCCCCCCTCCGGAGGACATTTCGCGGCCGCCAACAGCGATGTCGAGACATGAGCTTGGCGAGAATACCATCCGGCCCTATAACCGCGATGTGGTTACGCCAACACCAGGCGACCGGTCTGTCATCAATGGCCGGCCCCGGAACGGCAACTGTCCCCCTCAGCCGAGCAATCTGCGCGTTGCCACAGACGTCCCTTCGTATATCAACGGCGGCGGAAGGAACAACTACGCGGCAGCGAGCGCAGCCACGCCCCAATCGGGCGAGTCGTTCGCATCAACCAGCACCATAGGCACCCGCAACCTCTCGGCCGACTTCACTGAAGAAGACCGGGCCTTCGAACGCATCTTCCTCGCCCTCCAAAAGACAACCGAACTCGTCATGCGCACGCTGCCCGGCATGAACGCGCAATTCATGTCCTCGATGCGCGCCGCCGCCGCCCAACGGTCTCCCGAACACGTCATCCAATGCTGGCGGGCGCTGATTGTCAAGTGCAACACGACGATCCAGCAGACGGAAGGACTCAAGGCGCGCCTGTCGACTATCAAGCTCAAGGAGCCGGGCATCCGCACGCAGATTACGTTTTGGAGATTGTGCAACGCCTTCATTGACTCGTGGTATGTCCTGGTCAAGAAGATCATGCAGTTCCAGAATGATGTGGCTTTGCCGGCAGATACAAAGGCCAGGTTGAGACCGATTCAGCAGGCTATGAAGGAGACGCTCGATCTCATGATGTCTTCGCCTTGGGGGTATTATCTGCGCCAGTCGGCCGGGCCGGAACATCCAGCCGGTCCTGGAGCTGCGGCTGGTGCGGCGGGTGTGTCTAGCCCGTCGGCACCAGCCCCCCCGCCCCCAACACCGCTGCCCATGACCCCCCAAAGTGCGGCCCTTGGCCCAGCCGTTCAGGCGACCGTTCCTAGCACCCCGCAAAGCGCATCCTTTAATATCCATCACCCCTCTCACCACATAAACGGCCTTAACGGTCATCACCCTGTTGCTGCCCATGCCCAGCCGCACTACGCGATGTCAGACCGCACCGAGACGGCATCGATTAGCAGCGGGTTTAGCAGCGCTAGTACCGTCGTTGAAACCTCCCGTGACTTCCGGGAACAGGCCCCGTCGCGCAGGGGGGAGTATCCCCCTCCTCCGGTTGGGCCTGTCGGGCCGATGGGGGGCAGGAGGACACCGACGTTGGGGAATATGGGGAATGCGCCAGGAGGGTTGTATGCTGGGACTGGGCAGGGTGATGTTGTTGGTATGGGGGTTGTGAGCCCGGGCCCTGGGCCCATGGGGGCGATGGGAGGGTTTGGGGCGAGAGTAGGCCTGAGCAGGGAGGGGAAGGTTGGGGGTTATTAAGCTGAGGACGGTTTTGGTGAAGATTGTCAAGAGGAGAGGGGATGAGGGGGATATAATTGGGGTTATTATGATGGGGAGAGACGAATGCATTGCAGGCAAGCATTGAGTACAGCAGTTTTGAGGACGACAAAAAAAGCAAGAAGCAAGCAAAAACAAAGCGCGGGCGTTTGGGAAATGAGGATGGATGGATGGATGGATGGATGGAAGGGATGGATGGATACCTAGGGCTCATATGATACCTATTGATGGCATATGTGCATGGTTTTTGTTTTTTTTTTTTTTACAACTACATTTTGCTTTTTCGTTCTCTCGTTTACTGGTGCTGCTGCTGCTGCTGCGTAGCAATGGATGATGGATGGATGGATGGATGGATGGATGGATGGATGGATGGATGGATATCCTTTGACTGGATGAATGGATATGTTTGGGATTGGGTATGTGCTGCACTATTGTACTTATATTAAGATTTTGCATTGTAAGGGGAGAGGGATAAGAGGAAGATGCCGTAGTGGATAGAAATTAGACGGTTGGCTGGAGACTGGATTGTCCCGCTTGACAGTTTGAAAGTGATACTCTTGACAAACTAAACAAGCCCCCTCTGCTTTCAACGATTTCATAAGGGGTTGGAGCGCGGTGTAGCTGTTCTCAAGATACAACAACATGAGAGAGTATAGGGACAGAGACATATCGTTACACTTCGGCCTCTTGGCCTGCATATGCAAGTGTTCGATATTCTGCGAACATCCGTAAGTATCTAGCAAATCAGAACACATGCAGCGTTCACGCACGACGACGTCTCGTACGTCTCCAACGTTACACAAACTCCAACTTCAAGTTCCTGCCTCTCCTTCCACATCCATCTCCATTATCTGACTCTCCGTTAGGACCCCGACGAGTCCAATATAACACTCGTGACCGCTCACTCATCATCAGCCACATCTCTTGGATAGGACTAACCACAGTTGACTATCCTGCCCAAACATCAAGTCGAACAGGCATCTGTCGATCCCGGATATGTCGGCATCAACATCAACGTCAGCAGCCCCGCCAGCTCGTCTCATCCTCCCCTCTCTCAAGAGGGCACAGCCCTCTGCTCCAACCGTCACTCTCACAACGATGACCGCTACAGCATCGACAACGACCGTGACGAGAGCAAGAAGCACAGCCGGCAGCACCGCCTGCAGTAGCAAATCTTCTTCTGTCCAACAGCCAGCTCAGCAATCCATCACGGGGCTATCCTCGTCTGTCTCCGTTCAACAAGAGCCAAATTACACGCTCTCTTCAGGCCCTTCGTCTGAGCGGGGGACTCGAACTACGACAGCCTTACAACCATCATCGTCAACAACAGGATCTGCCGTAGCCCCTACATCAAGCAGCTCCATTACCGGAACGGCCACGCCAACCCCCTCAACCCAAACCCCCGCCCGTACCCCTTCCACAGCCCCAACCACAGTGACAGCCCCTGCCCCTCGTACCCAGGCACCCCAGCCCCAGACACGACCCACTCCCGACCCTCAAGCCTTCCACCACGCCAGGCTCTACCTAACCACAACGCTCTCGCACATCTTCTCCTCCAGCCACCTTCCCTCACTAGCAACCGACCTTCACGCCAACGACAAAGCCTTGCGCAGCCAACTCCGTTCTCTGGAGCAGGCAACCGAGGGATTGCGAAGGGAAAACGATAAGTTGGAAAGATTAGTGGGGGAGTATGAGGGGAAACTAAAAGAGGTGGGGATGCGCAGTGGTTCGCGCAGGTTTGCTGGAGTGGCCTGGAGAGGGTTGCGGAGGTGGTAAGGTTGGTGAAGGAGGGGGAGGATGGTTCTGATGAAGAGGGCAGTTGGAGTGGAAGTGACGGGAGCTGGGAGAGTGATGGGGAGGGGGATGATCAGGAAGAGGAGAACAAGATGCAGAGGGAGAGGGGAGATGAGAGAGGAGAGAGCAGTCGGCTGAGGGATGAAGAAGACGGGGATACTAGGATGGAAGACATCGACACTGGCAAAGGGAAAGGAAAAGCAGTTGATCTGCCGCAGGAGACGATATGACGAGAAAGCAAGTAACTTTTTTTTTTTTTTTTATGAAATTATGTCGTGCTACATCGTACACCACACTGGTCATCCAGGATAGCTCTTCCTGGCTTCATTCCCAACCCTCTCTACACATTATCAACCCCCCTATCATACACCATACATCACCACATGCCTAGATGAGGCCCGGGAGCATGGTGTAGCGCTTCTTCTTGTAGCGGTCGCCAAACTCCTTGCGTAGGGCCTTCTCCTTGTCGCGCGACCAGGCACGCATGTAGATGATGCCGGTGCAGATGAAGACGACCACGGCCCAGCTGCGGCTGACCAGGATCACGCCAACCCAAGCAAGCACCTCAAACATGTAATTCGGACTGGTGACCCAGTTGCTGCCGATGCAGTTGGGGATGCCACGCTCGGTACCGCCGGGTTTGCGCAGGCTGGCCAGGTGCTGGTGGACGATCCAGTTGCAGGTCTCGCCAATGGCGAAGATAGCAATGCCGGCGTAGTCGAGCAGGCCGAGCTCGTTGCGGTCGGCCAGGTTACCAGGGGCGTAGATGTCGACGGCGCAGAGGAGACCAGCCAGGAACCAGTAGAAGGCAGAGTTGCGGAAGATGTTGCGGGCGGGCATGGTGTTGGCGGAGAACTTGTGCACGAAGATTGTCTCGTACTCGCGCTTGAGGAAGTGGATGTGGAAGAGGGCGAACAGTAGCCACTGCACCTGGCTCATGGGCGTCTCGGCTTCGCTCTTGTAGACGAAGGGCTCAACCCGGTAGATGTATGGACGCACCAGGGGAACCAGGACGTGGAACAGGATCGGCCCGAAGTACTCGATGACGAAGACGGTGCGCCAGGCGACCTGGGGGCCTGAAAGCCGTTAGCAATGACAGAGAAGCACCGTAGAGAGGAACGTACCAAGATCCTTCACCAGCAGCTCGCCAGCGGCCATGACGCCCTGCTCATCGCGCACCAGAGCCTTGCGGTTCTTGAGCGTCTTCTTGGACTCGGGGTCGAACAGGCCGACGCGGTTGAAGTCCTTGACGCCGCTGGCGGCTGCGATGGCCTTCTTCGCATCCTCGACTGTGGCGTCGGCGGACAGCTCGATCTGGGAGGGCAGGTTGCGGAAGCCCTTTTTGGGAGCACGGTTGGTGAGCTTGAGCGAGATCTTGGCCGCCATTGCGTCTGCTTTCCTACTCGTCTGCTTCGTCTGCTTTCGTAGAGGACGGGGTTGACGAGAGAGGTGGACTGCGGAAGGGCCGGAATTGAGTTTTCTATGGGGAATTTATGGAATTTATTGGGAGGGAATGGGCGTCGGGGACCGCGGACGCCAGCGCTCCTGCACGCCAGCAGTTGTTGCTGCTGTTCCTGACCACAACCGCTCTCCAATCGAGCACTTTTTGGCGGGTCCACTGCTTATCTTATCAGAGGTTGAAAGTGGTGAAAGCTTTGGCCACCACTCACCGCCCGGCGTGCAGCGATCTGCACCGGCAGAACGTGGGGCTCCAGCCTTTGGCCGACTTTTTTTTTTTTGATCTTCAACAGCCAGAGCAAGACATCTTGACAGCGTTCCGTCGGGCATTCATTCCTCTGCGAACAAATAATAATTGCCCGCTATTTCGGATAGACGAGACGAATTTAAACTTTCAAACCTGCTTGAGTGAGCAGCGCACAAGCTCTCTGACTTATATATCTACCCGACCAGTTTCTTTTTTTTTTCCTCTCCTCCAACCATTACCATAAATCGGATCGGACAACGCATGCCATGGATGACCTCTTTGCCGTCTTCGAGGAGCAGCCTCGAGCGCCAAAAAAGCGCAAGGCTGACGACACTCCCGACGTCGAAATGACCGACGGCGCCAACGGTGGTGCCAATGGTGATGCCAATGGTGATGCCAATGGCGCCGCTGCGCCCGCCAAAGAAGAGGCCGTCGCGAACGGCAACGAAGAGATCCCCTCGACTGACGAACCGACCACGCCCGCAAACGGCGATGATTCGAATAACAGCTTCTTGAAGCGCCCCAAAATGCAAGATGAGGCCGAGCCCATCATCACCGATACCTTCCAGACGGCCGAGTCGCGCGAGGTCACCGCGGCTCAGGGCTTCGCGCCAACCGTTGAGTCTGAACCGCTCGTGCTGTCGCACAACATCCAGCATCAGGTTGCCCTACCGCCAGATCTCGACTACGAGTACATACCGCTTTCCGAGCACAAGCCGCCCGCCGAGCCGGCGCGCACGTATCCCTTCAAGCTTGATCCCTTCCAGGCCATGTCGGTCGCGTCCATCGAGCGTGACGAGAGTGTACTTGTTTCTGCCCATACCTCTGCCGGCAAGACAGTCGTTGCCGAGTATGCCATCGCCCAGTGCCTGAAGCGCAACCAGCGCGTCATCTACACCTCGCCTATCAAGGCTCTTAGCAACCAAAAGTTCCGCGATTTCCAGGCCGAGTTCGGCGATGTTGGTCTCATGACGGGTGATGTTACCATCAACCCTACGGCGAGTTGTTTGGTCATGACTACCGAAATTCTGCGATCCATGCTGTACCGCGGTTCCGAAATCATGCGCGAAGTCGCGTGGGTCATCTTTGATGAGATTCACTATATGCGTGACAAAACCCGCGGTGTGGTCTGGGAAGAGACCATCATCCTGCTGCCCGACAAGGTTCGCTATGTCTTTCTGTCGGCCACGATTCCGAACGCCTACCAGTTTGCCGAGTGGATTGCCAAAATTCATCGCCAGGCCTGCCACGTCGTTTATACCGACTTCCGGCCGACGCCCCTGCAGAACTACTTCTTCCCCGCCGGCGGCAAAGGTATTTACTTGATTGTCGACGAGAAGGGCAATTTTAAGGAGCACAACTTCAACCAAGCCATGTCGGCCATCGAGCAGAGCAAGGGCGCTGACTCGGCCGACCCCAACGCGCGCATGAAGGGCCGCGGCAAGAACAAGCGCATCCACACGGGCGAGGCCACGGATGGAAAGTCAGACATTGCCAAGATTATCAAGCTGATCATCAAGAAGAACTTCCAGCCCGTTATCGTCTTCAACTTCAGCAAGCGCGAATGCGAGCAGTTGGCGCTGGCCACCTCCAGCTTAAAGTTCAACTCGCCCCAAGAGGAGGAGCTTGTCAATTCGGTCTTCGGTAACGCCATCGGGCAGCTGTCGGAAGATGACCGCCAACTACCGCAGATTTCTAACATCCTGCCGCTGTTACGCAAGGGCATCGGTGTCCACCACTCCGGTCTGCTGCCCATTCTCAAGGAGACCATCGAGATCTTGTTCCAGGAGGGCCTTATTAAGGTGCTCTTTGCGACCGAGACTTTCTCGATTGGTCTCAACATGCCCGCGCGTACCGTCGTGTTCAGCCAGGTTACCAAGTGGGACGGCAAGACGCGTCGTCCGCTGACCCCCTCCGAGTACATTCAGATGGCCGGTCGTGCCGGTCGTCGTGGTCTCGATGACCGCGGTATTGTCATCATGATGGTCGACGAGAAGCTCGAGCCCGAGGTGGCGCGCAGCGTGGTTGTCGGCCAGCAGGACCGCCTCAACTCGGCCTTCCACTTGGGCTACAACATGATCCTCAACCTGCTGCGTATCGAGGCCATCTCGCCCGAGTACATGCTCGAGCGCTGCTTCTTCCAGTTCCAGACGGCCCACAGCATCCCCCAGCTAGAGCGCGAGCTGGCTGCCCTTCAACAGGAACGCGACTCTATGATCATCCCCGACGAGGCGCTCATCAAGGACTACCACTCGATTCGCGAGCAGATCGACCAGTACACCAAGGACATGGTGCTGGTCATGCAGCACCCGACCAACTGCGTCAAGTATATCAATCCCGGCCGACTCATGCACGTCGTCACGTCGGACGGCACCGACTTCGGCTGGGGCGTCATCATCAACTTCTACGAGCGCAGGCCCGAGCGGAATAACCCCAATCCCGGCTGGTCGCCCCAGGAGAGCTACGTCGTCGAGGTACTCCTCCGCCTATCCTCCGACAGCGGCTCCGTCGACAGCAAGCTCAAGGACAACCAATGCATCCCGGCCGGCATTGCCCCTGTCACCCAGAAAAACGACCCCGGCCGCTGGGAGGTCGTGCCCTGTCTGCTCTCCTGCATGCACGGTCTCAGCCAGATCAAGCTGCACGTGCCGGACAAGAAGTCAGGCGGGTCGATGGACGACCCCGAAACCCGCCGCCGCGTGGGCAAGTCCCTGCTGGAAGTGCAGCGCCGCTTCGAGGACGGCATCCCGCACATGGACCCGATCGAGAACATGCACATCCGGGATGTTGAGTTTAAGAAGCTGCTGCGTAAGATCGAGGTGCTCGAGTCGCGCCTTGTGGCCAACCCGCTGCACAACTCGCCTCTCTTAGCCGAGCTGTGGGAGAAGCTGCAGTACAAGCTCTCCCTGCAGGACAAGATCAAGGAGAAGAAGAAGGAGATCTCGCGTGCGCACTCCATCGCGCAGATGGACGAGCTCAAGTCGCGCAAGCGGGTGCTGCGCCGGCTGGGGTTCATCAATGACGCTGAGGTGGTGCAGATGAAGGCTAGGGTGGCGTGCGAGATTTCGTCGACCGAGGGGCACGAGCTGTTGTTGGCGGAGTTGTTGTTCAACCGGTTCTTTAACGAGCTCTCGCCGGAGGTGATTGCCGCTGTGTTGAGCGTGTTTATCTTTGATGAGAAAGTTGAGACGACGGCCGCGCTGAAGGAGGATCTCGCCAAGCCGTACCGCGAGATCCAGGCGCAGGCAAGGATTATTGCCAAGGTTAGCGCCGAGAGCAAGCTGGATGTCAATGAGGACGAGTACGTGAATAGCCTCAAGTGGCAGCTAATGGAGACGGTACTGGCGTGGGCGAATGGGCAGCCATTTTCGGAAGTTTGGTAGGTCTTTTTCTCCTCTCCTCTTAGGTGATACTGGCCTGGTTACTGACGTCGAACAGTAAAATGTCCAACGCCTACGAGGGCTCGCTCATCCGTCTCTTCCGCCGTTTGGAGGAGCTGCTGCGCCAGATGGCCGAGGCGGCCAAGGTCATGGGCAGCGACGAGCTGCGCGAGAAGTTCGAGACCAGCCTCGCCAAGATCCGCCGCGACATTGTCTCGTTCAACAGCTTGTATCTGTAAACGACTCTTTCCATCAATCTTGCAATGTTTTTTTTTTTCCGGTCCCAACAAAAGAACATGGCGTACTTTTATGGCATGACACGGCACGGCACCGACATGATGTTACCTACCTACTATGTGCATTCGACGGTACAGGGCTGGGATATTTGGCGTTTGCTTTTTGACTCGGTTGTTTTACTTTTTTTTTATTATTATTATTTTTCTCTATCATAACAGGGACTGCTTTCAGTGGGATGGGTTCACCTAATAAAAGGAGGATACCATGACGTGGGCGGCCGAGAGGGCTTTTCTTTGACGACCTTTTCTCTCTTGAATGGCTAGCTAGTTACATCATGTATGTGGAGAGAGATGGCATAGCGTAGGTAGGGTAGGTAGATGACGACCCAGCTGCCTGGCGTAGGTTTTGAAGAAGACGAGGGAGGGGAGAAAGGTTAGCTTAGTCTGTAGCTTGCCTTTGGGCGTGGCAAGTCCAGGTTGGCTAACTTGGACTCTCTCCCGAGTCTGCTATGTCGTATGCCCTGAATGAAAGGGGGGGGAAGCAGGGGGGTAGGGCGGGGCGAGTTAGATGATGATGGGCTGCTGCTCCGAGTAGCGCCCTGGATTACCGAGGAGATTTCCCATTTTCTGAGCTGCTTCTTGCTTGCTGTGTGTACGACGGACCTACGGTCAGGTTCGTTTCTCGTCTTTCATCCATTCCATTAGGATTACTGTTGTTGTTGTTGTTGTTGGTGGTGGTGGTGGTGGTTGTTTTCTATCGGGTATCATTTGGTTATGTCATGTCCACACATCCATCCAGATCACTTCCTATACCATCCCAGCTTTTACGCAATCCTCGGCCCTTCATCTCATCCTTTGTACACTCCCGTTTGTACATCGCTTTCTCCAATCAGTCACATCTTGTATCCCATCTCATGTCTTACAATTCCCATTCCTCGTCGAAGGCCCTTCCCCTCTGGCCTCATAGGTTCCTTTTTTTTTTTAAAAAAAAAAAACCCAACACTAACCCCCAGGACATCCCTCGAACATCTCGGAACGACCTCCTCATCCCCCTCCTGCCCCTCTATCCTCTCCTAGATACTATGTCTTCCAGTGTTATCCCTCCCCCGTCAACCCCCTAACAACCCCTACCGACAAACTCAACACCACCCCCAAGCCCGCAAACACCTGCATCCGTCTCGACCACACCCCGTCTTCTTTCCCAAGCCATCCAATTACCCCCAGCGGCCACACAAATCCCATTAGCATCCCCTGTATTAACGATCCTGCTATGGCACTCAACCCATAAGCATCCTCTATCCCGATATTAGTTCCTTCTTCCCCGTCATCTATATAGCCGCCACCTGCGGTGTTCGAGCTGGCGAGGAGGGACCCAGAGGGGGCAGATGAGGAGGAGTTGTTATCTAGCCAGGCGTCTTCCATCGCCCGTAAGGTATCCGGACTGGGCATGGTGTCCGGGGTGAAGCGGGCGGTATGGATCGCGCGGAAGTGTGAGCGGAGGGTCGCTATCTCAGAGGGGGTGAAGCCAGACTGGAGCAGTCTGTCGAAGCCCTGCGGTCTTGTTGGTCGCGCCCCCTCCCCCCCTTCTTGGGGGTGCCGATGCGGGGAGGTGCTGGTAGTGTCCAGCTTTAGGGGGGTTCTCCCCCCTGTGGTGGAGGTAGAGGGGGGAGAGGAAGGGAGGGGGGATATGGCGGCTTCGCGTTCAGCGTCGAGTTCTTCGGAGGTGAGAGGGTCGCCGATGCTGCAGTTGATAAAGATGCGGATGGGGCGGAGGACGGCTTTGCCTTTGCCTTTCGGGTCGGAGGCGGGGGGAGGGGGAGGGGGCATCTTCAGGACCGAAGATAGCACGGCTGTATCTGGAAGCACCCTACCATTGTGTATAAGTCGTAGGCGTGCCTTGGCGGGCCCCTGACTGCCCAGTAAGGGGGCTTTGTCCTTGGATATCCTCTTCTCGCTTCTCGTGTCATGCCTATCATGGTCACTGTAATCGTCGTCGTCGTCATGCTCGGGGGATGTGGCCTGACTAGCCAGCTTCTCCCGAATCATGTATCGTAACGCAACGACGGTTGTTTGGTGTGGCTCTGGTACGTCGAGATGGAGATCGGGGAGGGAGGTGCTGAAGCGGATTGTGATGAGTAGAGGCAACGGAGAATTTGGGGGAGCAGCAGATGGTAGCGGTCGAGGAGGGGGTTTGGATTGGGAGGGGCCGGCGTGGGAGGACATTGCTATGAAGTGAGAGGATCGCGAAGGCTGGTTCTTTGGGGGTACAGAAGTAGAATCGAGCTTTCGGGAATGGCAACGTGGTACGAGGTTGTTTGGGAGGATCCTCAGTCAGGACGGAAGAGATTCGTTTGATTATTGATTACAGGAGTTTCTAATTGCATTAGAATGTGCTTGACACGTCACTGTAATGGAGTGCGCACCGGGCGCGATAGTAAGTGCTGTCTCCAATGGTGTGGTGAATAAGGGCGTAGTTTGTTGATGCAGCTCACAGAAAGATACATCAAAGCCGAGGCTGAGCCCAGCCCAGCGCCAAGGCGGGTTCAGCCGCAGGCCCGCAGCGTCTCCAGTTCCCCCGCGCCCCACCCTTGGGATGTATGGTGAAAGGACTTGAGGATTGCCTCGATTACTGAATTTCATTCAGTGTGTAATCCGCAAGTGAAATTTCATATATCCGTACATTGGACGGCCTTCCTTCTATTCTACATCCAGCCCCGAAGCAAATATGGCCTTGACTGCTATCCTAAATTCCAGATATCCTCCAAATATTACCATATGACCATCAGTTATGGCAGTTTGACTTCGCAGTCAGTCCTAAGACTCTAGCTCTTAACGTAACCTCCCAACGACGAAGAAAGACTACCAAACAGAAAAGCAGAATCCCTCTCTCACCCCTCGAAAGCAGAAGCCCGACGAACAACGGTCATTAAAGTCATAACGTAATCATCAGTCATAACGAGTGGTCGAATCATGACGGTGGAACCGAAGAAGTGGGTTGAGTGAGTGTGTCGAATCATGAGTGAAGCCAAACAAAGTCGAGTAAAACGTGTCGAATGGAGCGGCATAGAACCGGATCAGTAAGTTGAGTAAGTCGTATTCGGTCGAGTTGCGGCACTGAGGGAGATATCACTTTTTCCCAAAGCCGAACTTAAACGCCTTAGACAGCGTCTCCTTGGCCCTATTGCCGAGGCTCTGCTCCGCCCTGCGCTTGCGCTCGCGCTCATCGTGCATGTCACACACTTGGTGGACAATGGCTTCGACGATCCAGGCTGTATCGTTACCCTCTTTAGCCGAGCACTCAAAGTAAGCTTCGGCGCCGATCTTTTTTGCTACTTCGTGGCCCTGGAAGTTTGTTAGTGATCGAGTCGAATGGAGAAAAAGGAGCATCAGAGAGGGAAAGGGGTAAGGTACCATCTCCTTCGTGACAGGCTTCTTATCCGGCAAAAACTCGAGCTCTAAGCGAGGATACTCGGGCCTCAGGTCTTTCTTCATGCCGATGAGGTAGATCGAGCCGTCGTGGAGGGAATGGTCGAGCTTCGGCTTCCACTGAGAACTGTCAGCCCTGTCATACCATCCATCCAGGGGTACTCAAATAGTTACAATTTCAGTAATGTTATTAACATTCTCCGCGTCCTCCAAGCTGAAGCAGATGATGGCAACATCAAAGAAAGTCGACAACTGCGATCCCGGGCTCCCGCTGGTCACTAGGCCGGGGAAATCCCAGATCTCAACGCCAATCACGTCGCCATTGTCGCCGTCGATCTCGCAGAAGCGCAGGTCGGGAACTTGAGTGGGAGTTGTCTGGCTGGTAAGTATATGAGCATAAAATAAATCATCGGGATAAAGCTTACCTCATTATACACTCCAGTAATGACGCGGCTGCGTTAAACCGTCAGCATCCAAAACCCCCCTCCCCCCTCTCACCTCGGATTGATGATAACTCACTTCAAAAAAGCTGTCTTCCCCGAACCCACATCCCCCAATAAACAAATCTTGATCTTCCTCTTATACCGTCCCGCCAACGCGAGTGCAGCCCCCGGTTCAGGCGTCCTGTCTCTGAACGGTGTATCCTGCCGCCGCAAGTGCGGCTGAGTCTCAAGTATCGCAGAACTACAACCACCACCACCACCACCACCACCACCACTACCACTACCAAAAACCCTCCTAACCCTCTCCTTCACACTCCCCGCCGTAACCACCGTCGCAGCAGCAGCCCCTAAGAAGATACTCGCCGCGCCGGCACTCGCAGCCCTTCTCCTCCCAGTCTTTCCTTCCGAACCATCAAATTTTGCAAGTGTGTTTGCAGTCAGTGCAGCTGATTGTGCTTGACCACCTGCAAGGGCAGTATTCGCCCGGCGATGATGCTTCCTTGAACTAACTCCAATGGTACCAATCGTGTTCTGGCCCACACGGGAGACGGCACGCCGGATGGAGTCGGCGAAAGACGAAGCGGCGGCAGTAGTGCGGGAGCGCTTGGCGGCGGGGGCGCCGGCAGCAGGCTCGGAGGACGGAGGGAGCATGGCGGCATCGGCGACGTCGGCGGAGGCGGAGGCGGCGCCGGTGGGGACGGGTTCATCTTCGGTCGGCTGCAGGTGATAGAGAGGTCAGCAGGAACAACATCATGATCTTTGCTGGCATCGTGCAGTAGTCTATGTGTTCGTTTGGGCGATGTGCAGGGGGTGAGGGAAGTAGCGGTGAGGCTGTGGAGATTCGTTCGGGAAGCGAAGGGAATGGGAGACGAGGCTTGAGCTCAGACCGGGCTGAACGGGATGAGATTTCTTTTTTCCACCCGGCCAGCCGGCGAAGCCGATGAGGCTGAGCGATGACAATGGGAAAGAAAAAAAAACGACGGTGATGAGTGAAAAACGATTCGAACTTACCAAACCTCTCTTCTCCCCTCGCTGCTCCATCTCCCCGGCCAGGGCCGGGGCAGAAACATCCACACCCTCCTCCATATTGACATATTGTTGCTGTCTCTGCACTCCTTCCTGTCCTTGGGCTTGAGGCTCCCTATCCTCCAATGTCAGCTCTTCCAACCCCCTCAACCACGCCTCCATCCTAAACGTCGGCTGAAACCTCCATCCTCCACCCCAACGGTGCAGTTGTGGGCGCCCATATAGCGACCCAGCAATCTCTTCCACGGGCGGAGGAACATCCACCGCCGCGGGACCAAAAACACCAGAACCAGCGCCAGAACCACGAGCAAGATCTCCCAGACAAGGATCAAGACCAGGACCACCGCCGGGAGAAGAAGACGAAGCGGAACTGGGCGGCGGCGCAGAAGGGAACCCAGGTGGAGCAGCAGCCGACTGAGAGGCCGGAGCCGAGGGGGCAGACGTGAACTGACGCGTTCGATGTGAGCGTCCGGAGACGGAACCGACACCACCACTGACGAAACCAAGCTCGGACTGCTGCTGATGATGCGAGGAAGCCATTGGGGCGCCAAACCCAGACACAGAATGATGATGGCCCCAAGCACCACCCGAGTTAGGAGCCGGGCCAAAAGCGAGCGCAGACGGGGCCGGGCCAGAGACGAAGGATGGGGCGGCCAGCGAAAACGAAAAGTTGAACTCAAACCCGCCCAGCCGGATAAGCTGGCGGGCCGAGTTAAGGGCCGCTGAAGACGAAGGGGGAGCATCTAAACCACGGCCGAAGCGACCGCCGCAGGTATCACGAGAGTCGGAGGGGCCGCCGGAAGCAAAAAAACCTCCCGCGCGGGAAGAGCCGGAGCCGAAGCGGCACGCAGCACCCAAAGGTGAGGGCGAACCGAACAAATTTAGCGGAGGAGGAGGTGGGGGAGCGAAGCCAGCGCCAAACCCGGACGCAAAACGGGACGAGGGGACGGGCGAGGGCGAGCCAAAGCGCGTGGTGCTACTGCCTGGGGCGGCCGGGACCAAGGAATGGGGCACCAAGGGACCGAGAATAAAGGCAGAACGGGCCGAGGCGGGCTGCGGCCGGCCGCCGTGCATGGTTAACGGGATGGCTGGCGGTTGAGGAGGGGGCGGCTGTTGGGGCGGTCCGTTGGGGCCATTCGGGGGCGTGGACATTTGTGATTCCTTTGTGTCGAAAAAAAGGAAGAAAAAGAAGTTGTCGGTGCCGGGCTCAGGGGTAACGGCGGCGTGCTGGGTGCTGGACACTGCGTCAGGCGAGGACGGCAAGTTATTTGGCCTGTCTTTTCCCCCCTTTCTCCTTTATTTTCTTCTCGTTTTTATTCTTCGTGGCAGCGGCGGCACTGTGGAAGACGAAAAACCTTTTTCTCGTCGGTAGGCGGGTGCCGGAGGAGACCTTGAGTGTGACTTCACAATCTTGACAAGCTGAGAAGGGGGAAAAAAAAGACAAAAAGCATAAAAGGCAGCCGAGGAAATAGGCGCTTGAGCCAACCGCTTGGTTGGCCAGACGAGAGGGCGGATCGTGGAGGCCAGACACTTGTCGGGACCGAAAAAAAATACAACTGGTTGACGTGCTCTGATGTTGCGTTATCGGTTACTTTGGGCAGTTCAGAAAAAAAAAAAGAGGGCTTTGCTCACTGAAGGGGCCGAGCCAAAAGGCAGAGACTTGGCTTGAAAAAAAAGGACTTGATCTCGTTTGTTGGTCCGAAAAGTTTGCCACGAAGAAAACCGTCTAGGTCTCGAAAAGTTGGTGGTTTGGGAAGAAACTCGATTCTTGGGAGAAATGGTCTAGGGAGAAAAATTGTTAGTGCAAGAAAAGTGTGGGCCAACCAGGAGGAAAATAGGAATATCTTTTTCTTTGTTGGTGTGGCACAATAAGAAAGGGAGGAGCATCATGGGGCTTTCTTGTCAGGGCTGAACGTGTCCTGTTCGTGTTCTCTCATAGAGATGCGAAAGATGAGATGAAAGCAGCGACGGTGAGCCCATCGATAGGGCAGTATTATCGGTCCTTTATCAGGGGAAGTGTGGTTAGGTAGATGGACTGGTGCCTTCGACTGGAGGCTACGGTTGTTTGAGTGAGTAATCAGCACGAACGAGCCCTCGGTCGGGTTGGGCAGAAGTCCTTGGTTGATGATTCTTGGGAGATCCAACCAACGGCTAACTTGTCGTCTGCCAGAGCCCTGGGGTACCTCAAGGGTCAATTGTCCTCCACAATGAACATGAAATCGATCATTGTGTGGATACGATAGTGCTTATCCAGTCGAGACGCACCATTTGCTAACATTCTCGTTCTCTCTTCGATAGAATAAATGCCTTGGACACTTGTCGAACTTTTGGTAGGTCCCCCCTTGATTGACAAAACCATGGATTAGACTAGTCAGTCAGTCGCCTGAGGGGAGTTCCCCCAAGATCAAGACATTACGGAGTGATTCTGATGAGAAAAGTTGGTGAGTAAGACAGATATCAGATGTGCAGTCCGGGGAGAGAGCAAGCATAGATTCGTTTCCCTTATGATGTCAGAGGAAACTCTGGCGTTGCCAGCACAATTCATTTTACACCATGCCGTATAACTGCCTTTTTTTGGTCGAGTTACCATGGGTTGCTGCAATATCTTCACCTGGTGAGGGTTGTCCCTTCTGGGGTTTGTGATTCAGGGTTTGATAAGGATGTTGTCCTGAGTCTCTTGTGCAAGATGTGAGAATCCATCACCAACACGTTGTAAGCCCTGATCCCTCATGCGAACTCACAATTGAGTGCTGCATAATGTTTTTCCACCCGAAGACTCATCAAATCATGTTTTGGAATGATTGGACAGCTAGAAAATGGTCTCTTGTTTTCAACATTGTTGTGGTCGAGCCTTCCGATATTTGTTATTCGGCAGTTGGCATCAATGTCTTGCAAAATATCTCGCTGCTGAATCTTTTTTTCTTTCTTTTTTTTGGATGATCGGACGACAATTGGTTTGGCCAACACTTTATGCCCTGGTAGGTAGTGTTGAGATGTGGTTGCCTTCAGGAGTCCATGTCAACATCGTCACCATCCCCTGTTTCACCAACCTTTGAGCTGATCTTCACAGGAATGTAAATATTGACATCCCCTCCCGGCTACCCAGCAACCCCTCTGGTCTTCCCGATACATGCATATAAGCCGCCTTACCCACTTTCTGCAACTTCAACACCACCCAACCAATCAGCGTAGAAGAAAAACAGGATCGGGGACGAGAGCGATTGCGCCATCGGCGTGCCCCACCCTAACGGTGTTGCACTTCAGCCAGGAAGATCCGATGACGGACCGCGGGGTCCGGGCGGGCGCAGGGTAGTTCACTCCTCGGGTTGTGACGGGAGGTGAGACAAGGCAAGGAAGCGAAGGAGAGCAAATTGATAGTGAGGGAGATTGCGGATGAGCAATTGAGATAGGCAGATGTGTGACGTTGTGATATCGAGCCGAGTTAGTGTGCCAGCGGGATTTTGGTTGACGCCATTGTTGTTGTTTGGTTGAAAGTTTGAGTAGATTCGATTGATTTATGAGCGAAAAGAGGAAGTGGGATTTTGCTGGTTCCCTTTTTTTTTTATTTTAGCTGAAGAGCTTTGAAGTGAGACGGTCCTTCTTGGTGACTCCATCGTCTTGAGACCTTCAACATTTGCAGCGGCGCCTTTTCTTTTTAATTTCAATTTCTTTCTTTTTTTTTTTTCGAACCTCGAAAGAGTGCGCTCACTCTCATGAACCCCCGAGCGCCTGGTCAATTCGCCCAGCTCCTCCGTCGCAACGGATTGTCCTCTGCAGCTCCGAAGAGAAACTTCCACACCTCAGCCATCAACATGAGCGAGAAACTGAAGCCAGCTGCCCGCGTGGCGGGTCAGCGCCAGGATGTATGGTGAGTGTTTGTCCCCATCTCATGAGTTGAAAGGTTGAAGGTTGAAAAATTGAAAACCCGCAAAAAGACTGACACAGTAGCAGGTCCATCATCAACGAGGCAGCCGCCGCATCGCCCAAGCAGCCCGTCGTCAACATGGGCCAAGGCTTCTTCGGTTACAACCCTCCTGACTTCATCCTCAACGCCGCCAAGGAGGCCCTCAATCGCGTCGACTGCAACCAGTATGCGCCGACGCGCGGCCGCCCACGCTTGCTCAAGGCCTTGTCGGAAGCGTATGCCCCGCACTGGGGGCGCAAGCTGGATCCCAATAAGGAGATCACTATCACGACGGGCGCTAATGAGGGTGAGTCTCGTCCTGCCCCTGAACGTCATCTGTTGGACCTAATTGACAGTGGTCAAGGCATGCTCTCCGCCTTCATGGCCTTCATCGAGCCCGGCGACGAGGTCATCGTCTTTGAGCCTTTTTTTGACCAATACATCAGCAATATCGAGATGCCCGGCGGCAAGGTCGTCTACGTGCCGATGCACCCGCCGAAGGACGGCGCAACCAAGACGCTGTCCGCAGCGGAATGGACGATCGACTTCGACGAGCTGGAGCGCGCCATCACCCCACGCACCAAAATGCTTGTCATCAATACGCCGCACAACCCCGTCGGCAAGGTTTTCTCGAGGGAAGAGCTGCAGAAGATTGCGGATCTGTGTCTGAAGAATAAAATCATTATTCTGAGTGATGAGGTCTATGATCGGTTGTTTTATGTGCCGTTTACTAGGATTGCGACGTTGAGCCCAGAGGTTGAGCAGATTACTCTGACGGTTGGGTCGGCGGGCAAGAATTTTTATGCCACCGGCTGGCGTGTCGGTAGGCTTTCTGTTATGGTCTTAGAAAACGTTTTCGTGGACGAAGTTGGAGCTAACTTGACCCAGGCTGGTTGATGGGCCCTCCACACCTAATCCAGTACGTCTCGGCGGCGCACACGCGCATCTGCTATTCATCGGTCTCACCTCTACAAGAAGCCTGCGCGATTGGTAAGTTAACCCCTTCGCCATGTTTCATACGAAACACAATCCCTTCCCCCCTAAACATACCCACTCATCATGCCCTCCAGGCTTCGAACAAGCCGACGCGCACAACTTCTGGACGACCTGCATCAATGATATGCAAGCCAAAATGAAGCGCTTCAACGCCATCTGGGATGAACTCAACATCCCCTACTCGATCCCCGAAGGTGGATACTTCGTCATGGTGAATCTCGCCAAGGTCCAGATCCCAGAGGACTATTCCTTCCCCCCGCACGTGGCGAGTCGGCCACGGGACTTCAAGCTGGCGTGGTTCCTAATCCAGGAGCTGGGTGTGGCGGCTATCCCGCCGAGTGAGTTCTATACGGATGCGAACGCTCATATCGTGGAGGATTATCTGCGGTTTGCGGTGTGCAAGCCGGATGAGGTGTTGGAAGAGGCGAAGGAGAGGCTGAGAGGGTTGAAGAAGTTTTTGAAGCAGTGAGAAAATTGCATGGAGGGAAGAGACAGTGCGAAAGATGGAGGAGTTTGAGGGAGGTTGGTTGTTTGGAGGAAGAAGGAGGTTGCGAGAAGTTAGGGCATTGAAGTGGTTTTTATAGGAATGAGAGGTTGTTGAGATGAAAGGCGTGCTGTGGACTTTGTTCACCCAAGATTGGTTGTTGAGAGGGAGTTGAAATTGCGATGGGTTAGGGGAAGCGGCTGAAGAGTTTTTATTTTTTTTTTTTTGTAGGAATGACAGGTCGATGGGAAGAAGGGAGTGTTGCGAAAGACGTTCAGGTGAGGTTGCTTGCGATGGAAGAAAATAAAGCTGCGAAACACATGTGGGAGGAGAAGAGGTTACAGGAGATTTGAAGGTGTGACAGAAAAGGGGAGGCTGCGAAAGATGGAAAGAAGGCTGAGGGATGGTCGGTTGATGGTTGGGAAGGAGTAGAGAAGTTCCGAAAGATTTAAGAAGGAAGAAGCTCCAGACGTACTCAGATATGGAAAAGTGAGATATTAAGGAGGAAGAAATGGGGGCGGCTGCGAAAGATGGAAAGAAGGCTGAGGGATGGTCGGTTGATGGTTGGGAAGGAGTAGAGAAGTTCCGAAAGATTTAAGAAGGAAGAAGCTCCAGACGTACTCAGATATGGAAAAGTGAGATATTAAGGAGGAAGAAATGGGGGCGGCTGCGAAAGATTTGAAGGGCTTACTGGAAGGAGGGGTTGTGAAAGACTTGCGCGGCAGACCGAGATTGAAGAGGTCCAAGAGGCAAGGGAGTGACGAGTTGAAGGGGGAGAACGGGAGGCTACGAAAAATGGGAAGATGTTGAGAAGAGGCTGGCCGCTGAGGGGGAGAGGCTTGGAGAAACTTAAAAGCTTTACGGCCATGGAGTTATAGATGGGATAGAACGGGGGTCTGAGCCGGCGTCCGTTATAACCGGACGGGTCCCCCAGCGATGTCTTTAGATCGCTTTGCTGTTAGATGTGGGATAGAAAAGATTGTCTTTAGGTCTAACGCATTCGAAGTCGGGCCATATCCCATGCCTTTCGTAGAATATCGATAAGATGTGTCGGTCATCCGACTTTACGAAGTTGGGGTATACTTTCTGAGTCGGTTGTAGATGTCGGTCATATAGACTGTCTCCCATCCGACTTTCTTCATGAAACCGACCTCGACCAACTGATCAAGCTTCAGGGGAGACATAGCAGTCGCCAAGTCACCACAGCCATTTTCCAACTGAGCCGGCGTCCAAGTTCACAGAATTCAGTCAAATTATATCCCAACCCAGAACAAAACCACGCTTAGCAGCCAGCCAACCCAAAACGCGATCGAGAACTCAACGCAAAGTCCCTCCCATAGTCTATCAACCACGACCCCCTCATACATCATCAACTCTTCCCCCATCAATTCCCAGATAATTCTATTGAGTTGGTCTACTCAGCAGGTACTTCAACACTCTGCTCAACACCATCCGCCTTCCCGGCGGTAACCTTCTTCCCCGTCTTGGCGATCGTGCGCAGCACCTTCTCGTAGGGGAGCGACTCGTCTGCGACAACGACAGCGGTCTGGGAGTCGAGCGACACCTCGTAGCTCTTGACGCCTGCACACAGCCACTCCATGTCAGCTCCAACTCCGGGAATATTTCCTAGGGAAGGAGATAGAGAGATAGGGGTTGAAGAGAGGGAGAGAGACATACCCTCCAGCTTCTTCAGCACACGCTCTACGGCGCCGGAGCAGCCGCTGCAGGACATAGTGACGGAGAACTCGTACTTGTGCTCGGACATTCTGGTGGTTCGGAGGAGAGCCGTACCGTATCAAGAGCGTTGTTGGCAGCTGTTGGGAGGTGTAGGTGTCGGAGCGATGGAAATGTCAGGGAGCACGGTTTACGTAAGCTGTCTTCGACTGGCAAGAGATCACAAAAACCGGGAGGATAGAGTCCAAGTCTTCAGAGTTCAAGCTGGACGAAAGAAGCGCTTTATAATCCCGTCAAGTCGGCTTACTCCCAATCAACAATCCCCCTGTTGGCCGTTAAATCAACCGTTGCGGATCGAGGGTCACAAAGGTGAGCGGATAGGTGGCCCCTCCCAGGACCCTGGGCGCCAAAATGGCGGGGGAGGGGCCCTTAAATGACGCCAGCCGAGCCTGTCCACTACAGGGCCCAGGAACCTGCTTGACCCATCCTCCGCCGCAATGAGTGAGACATTTGTGCCGTTGTATCGGAGCACAAGTGCCGTTGCACCAACAATGGGGTTTCCTTAGGAGTCATGGTGTTTTGTCAGGTGTGGTTACAAAAAGTGAGGGTTAATTTAAATATGTGCTCGATGACGCATTCGGTAGGACACCAGTGGATTCGTCTGGATAAAGAGAAGTTTGCACTCGACACCTCCCAAGAGATGGGGGAAGGCTTTATGACTATCGATGTCAAGATTCAAAGACACCAAAATCTCCAATAGATACTGACCAACAATCACTGACTGTATGAAACACTCAGCACTTCAACTTCAATCCCAAGCAATCCCCATGAAAAAAAAAAATGACGACATCCTGGCCTGCCGACCTCAAGCTGAAACGTGCTCAAAGTGTGAATGACTCCATCCATTTGACCCGCGTCCGAGGGTACGGGAGCTTGCCATACCTACCACACCCCGGACAGCCAGGTTCCGTTATTGAGTACTCAGGAAGTTGGAAGTTGCCTGTTTTAGTAACTCTCCGTTATATCGAGGAGTTCATGGTTTTGCCCCAAGGATTCACCTCCAGCATGGCGATATTTCGCTGTTGCGCAATGTAGCAATCCTATACACAACTATACTTCTACAAAACATACACATTATTGCCCCCATTCAAGCTATACATCAAATATGGCATCCCGTTATACTCTTTAAACGCGACAACCAACGATACCCCCACAGAGTCCAACGGGCTACGCCTTACCTACCGCGGTTCTGCTCCTCCTCCTCCTCTTCCTCATCATCATACTCTCCATAGAAATCATCTTCTCCCTCAAACTCATCAACCCCCTCGAAATCATCATCCCAGTCCTCTACCCATGCCCCAGGCACGCCCATCATCACATCAGCCGGCAACCCTCTATTCTCCGTAGGCGCCGGCCGGGGAACAATAAGATCAACCAAGGGCTCAATCCACTGCTCCCACCTCGTCCTCGCCTGCTGCTGCTCTTGAGCCTCCTCGCTCTCTGCCCTAGTCCCAGTCTCCTCAGCAGGCGCTGCCTCTGCCCTACTCTGCTCAGCTTCCCGGGCTCCAGCCTCTCTTCCTTCTCGAGGCGCCTGCTGCTCCCCCCCAAACCTCTCCACCTCCCTCGCAACTTCCCAGAACACAATCGCCGCCTCCGGCTGTCCTAACCTCAATCTCTGATCGCCCCTACGCCTCATATTTCTCGCCAGAATCTCCCTCTCCCGCGGCCACAGCCTTGCCAACTGTCCCCCCAAATTAAATTCTGCCATCGCACGCTCCGCCATCTGCCTGACCCTGTCAGCGCGAGGGGTATTCTCAATCTGGCGGTAGACTTCCTGTCTGCGTGACTCAGGGAGTTCTTCGATGTCGTCGAGGGTTGTGGAGTTGGTGATGGTGGCGCCATACTCTGCCCAGGGGAGGTGTTGGGCCGGAGAAGAAAATATATTTTGTTCGCGCGGGGGAGGCAAAGGGTCGAAGTCGAAGTTGGGGGTGTCGGGGGAGTGCAGGATGGACGGGGGGAGGAGAGCCATGAGGGAGGGTGTGTTATCCAGGTAGATAAAGCGGGCTGTGGAGAGGGAGATGGGAGGGAGGAGGGGAGGGAGGAAATCGAGGATGGGGGGTTGGCGGATGCAGCGGCCGATTTGAGGAGGGCGAGGGCTGGTTTCGTGTTCCAGAGGTCTTTTGCGGTGTGGATGTAGAGGCGCGTGTAAAGAGATTCATCTTCATTGCGGGGTTGGATGCCCCAGATGGAGCGCGGCGCGTCGAGGTTGAGTTCGCTGAAGAGGGAGCAGTAGAGCCATGGATAGGACTCGATGTTGCGCGTGAGGATGGATTTCGCAGTGTCTTCGTCGCCGAGCTGGAGGTATGCCAGGGGCTCGGTGTGCTTGGTGTAGCAGCCTGTGAAGGGGGCGTCCAGCAGGCCCGACTTGCACAGGTCAATGAACCAGTCGGCTTCGCGAGCCCGGATGGCTAGGACGTGCAGTACATTAGCGATGCCGTAGGGATCGTCATGGTTGATGCTCAGCAGCAGCTTGGCCCACTCGAGAGCTGTACGGTAGGTGCCCTTGAGCGCAAGTTTTTGAATCAGGTTAAAGCCGGCCAGGTAGAACTGCCGGTTCTCTGGACGATAGAAGCTCATACGAGCCTGACCCTTCTCCAACTTCTTGCGGAACTCGCTCAAGCTCACACGGCCGAAGGTAAACAGCGCGCGCTCGATCAGATCGGCTGCCAGAGCCTCATTCTGGTCCTGCCGCGCGACCTTGCTGCACTGGATCAGTGACGACACGTGGTAGGGATACCGGTGCAGGAAGTATACGATCTGCATCGGGTCGTACATCTGCACTAGCCCGAAGAAGCTGGCTTCCAATTCGTCATAGGTCTTATCATGAGCGAACGAGAACTCATTGTTGCCTCCCTCAATTCGTATCATCTTCAGACCCAGCGCAGATCCCCGTGGCCACGTCCGCTTGCCCTCGATGAAGGGGTTCGTCCGTAGCACTGTCTCGAACATGCCCTGCTTGGCCTGGCGGCCCGGCGCATAGTAGCCCTGCTGCCCCCGAATGCTCAGGAAGGTCTCCAAGTCCACGTTCTGCGGGAGAGTTCGCTGCTGGCGGGCCTGCTCCGTCCGTTCTTCACTCTCAGCCACGTCCATGGCCTTACCGAACAAACGGCGCATCTCGTTCGCCGCCTTCAAGTGCTGGAAGTTGATGCTGAGGAGCTGGTTGATCTTCTCGGTCGGGTCGGCCGCAGGGATGGCTCCAGGGATCTCAGCACCTTTCTGCTGAGCCTCCAGTTTGAGCTCCTCTAGCACCCGGTCGATCTCATCCACGTCTCCTTGAGGTTGCTCCTCTGTGGCCGCGGGTGACTCGGTCTGCTTGGCCTTCTTCTTCTTCTTCTTCTTCTTGGACTTCTTGCTCTTCTTGGCCGGCACGGCCTGCTCAACGGGCTTTTCCGCAGGCATTTGCTCCTCCTCCTCTTCGTTGCGTTCCTCCTCATCTTCATCATCGTCGCCGCCCATGTCACCTAGAGCAGCAAACCCAGCAAACTTGCTCCCCCGTGGCCGTTCGACGATCGGTTCATCGTCACTTTCCTCGGCCGCCTCGTTCTGGAGGCTGAGCAGCTCCTGCCTCTTACGCAACTTTCGCAATTGACGAGTCGCCATAATGCTTTAAGACCGAGCTTCGGAAAAGAAAAGAGGACAAGCGTGACTGCTTGCTTCTGGCCTGGTTGTCGTTCAAAGCCTCTTTCAAAGAGATGGTTTGGTGGGGCAAAGCTGGCAGACACGTTTGGAGGGGCAACAAGCTTCTCAGAGGTGTAACCGTCAATTGAAATGAATGCCCTGCGCAGCAAGGCTACAGGTCGAAGAGGGGTTTAGATACTTCGGATACGGTAAAATGCATGAGAACTGGTTTATCAGGACTTCATCCAGGGGCTCGACTGAGGACAAGCTCGCCGGTAGACTCACTTCCGGTCGCCCCTCGTTGTGGCGCTGTGGCTGTATGGCGGTGCACGACCTACGCACAAGCCCTCGCGGGGCTGAAGTCACGCGTGGATGCCCAAAAAGCGGCAAGCAGGCGGCTCCGCTAATAACAGCTCAGTAGCCAGTGGCAGACCTCCACTGATGGCAGCCGTGGGGACCCGGAAGGTCAGGCTGCTGAATTTTCAATGGCCTGTGCGCCTTTTGCAACTGGTTGACCTCTCCGCTGTTTGCTGCTCTTTTTCCTCTGCCAACCTCCACAAACCTTCCATCATCAATCTCACGACATCTTTTGTCGCTCCGACCATGCTGCGCAGCGCGCCCGTCAATACTACCTCCTAGTTCGTTCTATTCGCCTGCGAGCACTTAATTCCCGAGTTACGCATAATATTTTGTTGTTTCTGATTTTCTTCGATACCCGCCACACTTCCTTCAGACTACCATCTACCCTACCACCTTCACCTACCAACGACCTCGCGACTTTTACCTGCCGCCTAAGGTACTTTTGGTTGCCGGCCACGTTTTTATCGCCCGCTTCCTGATTTCAGACAACATCCGACATGTCTGAATTTCTCGGGTTCGTTGGCCTGTCGACCGGCTGCTTCTGGCTTTGCATCCGCTGATGGTCCCTCCCTGCTACAGATGCAGAATATCCCTGATATCGCGAAGCGATATCCGGTATGTCCTCTCTTGTTTCCCTCGTTCGTGGTGCTCCCGCTAACATTTCACAGCTATGTCGGCACCCTGCATAGCATCAACTCGGACGACTCGACCGTCTCGCTCGAGAATGTGAGGTCGTACGGCACCGAGGGCCGGAAGGGCAACCCCGACGAGGAAGTCCCGCCCTCTGACCAGATCTACGAGTACATTGTCTTCCGCGGTACCGACGTCAAGGATCTGCGCATCGAAGAGGGCCCGGCTCCGAAAGAGACCAAGCCACCTGCCATGCCCAATGACCCCGCCATCGTTGGTGTAAGTTGACTCCCTTTTTCTACGGCTCGTTGGGCTTCATGATGAACCATTGCGGATGTAAAACTTTGTCACGTCTGAACTGCGCAAACAATCTTATGTTGAGATTTCCGTTGCCTTCCTTCTGATCAATCGCCCACAAACCCGCGCATAAAAAATCAAAACTCTCATTTGAGTGGAGCCCGTGCTGACGAACCCCGCTCATTTCAGGCACGGCCTCGGCCCACGGATTTGCCCCCCGGGCCGCCCGGCCCCCCTGGTCCCCCGGGTCCCCAAGGTTTCCAGGGCCCTCAAGGCCCGTTAGGCCAGCTTGGTCCGCAGGGTGCCGGTAACCAGCAAGGTCCTCCTCCTGGCGCCCCTGGTTTTGGCTACTATCCTCCCCCCACGGGCGGCTGGGGGCGCGGACCTGGTCCGGCTCCCGGTCCATTTGGCGGCATGCCATATCCTCACCCCGGCTGGATCCCTCCCGGCCAGGACTTCGGGCCTGTGAACCCTGGTCCCTGGGGCCCTTATCCCTACCAGCCCGGCTTTGGTGGCCACCCCGGTGCTCCCAGTGCTCCTGGCGCCCCCGGCACTCCGGGTGCTCCTGGCCAGGGTCGCCAGTCGGCCAACCAAACCCCGAGCACTCAGGGCCCGACTCAAAAGCCCGCTCCTATTGGGCCTTCCAGCGACAAGAAGTCCGTGACATCACCCCCTGCTCATGCTGAGCTTCCTTCTGAGCCCGCCCAAAGGCAGCCAGCGGCAGCCCCTGGTTCTGCTCCTATCGAGCCGCCTAAGCCGGCCGCTGTGGAAAAGAAGCCGGCTGCTCCGTCTACCTCGAGTCCTGCTCCTGGTGCTACCACCTCTCCAACTCAACAAGCTGATAACAAGGGCATTCCTACCGGCCCCAAGAGCAGCCGCCCTAGCCAGATCCTGCCTGCTGTTCCTCTGCCAGCTGCTCTAACCCAGAAGATCGCTCAGAAGTCTCAAACCCCCGCTGCCCCAACAGTTCCTGAACCAACCAGCGCTGCTGCCGCGGCTGCGGCTCTGCGTGATGCTACTCAGGCGGCCAAGGAAGCCGTGGCAGTTGCCATGGCCAAGCTCGATTCAGCTACCCAGCAGCAGACTGCTGCTGCCAATGGCGTGGACAACCTGACCAAGAAGGTCGGCGAGATGCACATTAACAACAATGCCCAACGTTCGGGTCAGCATAACCGTGGCGGTCGTGGCCGTGGTGGGCGTCCTCACCATGCTCCCAAGCCCGAGGTACCGGACACCGAGTTCGACTTCGAGTCTGCCAACGCCAAGTTCAACAAGCAAGATGTGGCTAAAGAAGCCATTGCTGGCTCGTCTATCAGTGAAGGTACTAACGGTCAGGCTGTTACCTCTGATACGGCGGCTGACGCCCCGACTTCAGTGGAGCCGGCCTATAACAAGGCCAAATCCTTCTTTGATAACATCTCCAGCGAGTCTCGTGATCGCGAGAGGACCCGTGAGTGGCGCGGTGAAGAGCAACGCAAGAACCTCGAGACCTTTGGCGCGACGAGCATCGACGGCGGTTATCGTACCAACTATCGTGGAAACCGCGGCCACGGCCGTGGTCGTGGCGGTCGCGGTGGCCGTGGTGGCTACCACCGTGGCGGCCGTGGCGGCAGCGGCGGTTATCGTCCCCGCGACAACCAGCAGCAGACGGCTGCTCAGTGAATGCATTCCCGATACGGATGACGAATGTTTTGCACGAAATGACATACGACGGAGATGACGATTTTTTGTACCACTAGTTAGCGATCTGGATCTGCGATTGCCATTTCATGGGTGACGGTGGTGACCTTTGCATCACCGGCCCTAATTTCTTTCTGGACCTCTGGGGACATTTGACCGAGGAATGGAGTGATGCTAACGAAGAAATCGAAAGCTAAACTGGCTATTATGCACGATGATGACGAAGGTAGTAGGGCTTTTTTCATTCGCAGTCTCTTCTCGGCATGATCATCGGTCTGGACTGGATGGGAACTTACTACTACTATTACTACTACTACTACTACTGGTGGGGAGGGGGGGCGGTTTGTTTTGCCAGAACAGGAAGGACAGTGAAGGGAAAAGGAAAGGCTGCTGGGCAAGAAATGGATGGGGGGTGGGTAATGGCAGCGATCGGTCTGGTCTGTTTCTGTTCAACTATGGCACCGATGGACGGTCTGGCTGGGTAAGGGCACTTGCGGACATGAAATTGTCCACCAATGATGGATTGGAAGGATCAACGGAAAGGGTTGATGCTTCTTTGGTGGGCATCGAAGGGATGGTTTACGATACCTAACGAAACCTCACCTGCTCTACGTATTAAGGACAGTTATCTACCTCCTTGTTTTTCGTCGGATATAGCACGCGGTTTGGCGGTGATGGATCTAGCAAGAGTTTTCTTGCTTGGTTCATTCCTGTCAGCTGCGATGAGCTAATATGACAAGATTCTGACGATTTGCTGTGTCTTGTTGTGGTTGACCACTGTTTGACATGGTATCTAACAGTCTTCCGAGTGCAGCTTTGGCTGACAAGTTGAATATTTAGGCACATTGTAGATGTCAAACTCTCAAAAGCTTTCAAGCAACCGCGCCGTGTCCCAGGAGCGGCTATGGAACGGCTGCTTGCGTGATGGGAGAAGATACTGCCTCCAAATGGAATTATCTTGAGTGTGTAAGATGAGAAAGGTGTAGTGTATGTCATGAGTATTGCCCCTTCCCAAATCACTAAGTGGTAGACTTCACCTCTAGATCGATAAGCCGCTTCACTAGCTCCTAAAATCAGGGGTATCCTAAGCACAGAGAGCTACATTAAGTCAGCGCTAAGCATGGTGCCGCAGAAATCTATTCCTTGCTAATTTCGCATCGGAAAACGTGTTCCCCGGGGTAGGTTGAGATTTTGAAGAATCAAGGAAAATATTGCAGTGTTCTCCAAAGTCTTTGAGTCCGCTTCAACTGACCTACCTATTAAAGCCATGCACCGTGACCTGTCCTGGTCTCAACGATCGGCTCTTTAAATCCAGGCGGGAGCAAGGGTGCATTTCTAAAACATTTTACTGACCAAGATACTGCACTGGCAGTCTTGATGGAGAAAGAAAGCGTCTATTGTTGTCATGACTCGAAGTTGTGAAGGACTTTTCCTTTTTTTTTTTTCACTTAAGCGCCTGAGCATCTATCTCCCTATGGTAAGCGTCGTCCGTCGTTTGATGAAACTTTCAGTTTGTGTCTAAAGCAAAGAAATTATGCGCGCATCTCTAACCGCTGCTTCTCCGCCTGTCTAGTTTGGCTGTGGCATGCGCTCAACAGTGGTGAGAATAGCGGACAAGAAAAACTTCCTTACTGGTTATGAATTACGGTGCATGTTTACCGACGTGGTTGATTAGTTGGCGGTATCCAATCTTGATTCTTTTGATCCTCAACTACTGTATTCTGCTTTGAAGACATAGGACAGGTGCTTAATTCAGAGGACTGAAAAGCCCGGGGAGCTGTGCTCTCCCTCTTTCGCAAAGTATCAGAAGGGTTGTGGGCCGCCTTGCTCTGGAAGTACTTGTGAGGATGCTCAACTAGAAGAAATATAATATGTGGAGCATATATGGTGCTGAAGTTGGAAGATACGCTGTAATCTCTTGCCATCAGATGCTTTCTTCTAGTTCTGCGGCTTAACCCTCATCCGGTATAGGTCAACGAAATCCCTGGGCTATAACTTCATGACATGGGGCAGTCATAAGACATTTGTCCGAAGGGTATATATATATATATATAAGAAGATACCTTCTCTAGGAGGACACTCTGTCTTCGACAGTTAGCTAATCTAAAAAGAAATCAGGGGGTTCCGCAAAAGCCCACAGTAGAGAGTGTACCTCCGGGGTGCGTATGGTGTGAAAACTTGAATTTTAGTTGCTGACGTCGTCAATTGACTCTTCTGAAATGTTTTTTTCTTGATCCTGAGCAGTGAGTTACCTACCGTAGCATAGGACATATGATTTCATGGGTAAATATCAGAGACGTGGTTCAGTGTTTGTTGTAAGCGCCGAAGTATTGACTTGGGTGGGAAGGGTTACCTTTCAAGAAGGGGGACTGATGTTGCAGAGATGACATTCATGACATTGAAATACGAGAGACAGGCCAGAGGGTTGGATTTATTCCACGAGCTTTTCTACGCTTGGTATCTAGATGATCTAGGATCTTAATGCTCGAATCAGGAGGGCAGATAAGGATTTGGGTGTTCGTAGAGCTCAGATGCTTATCCCCCCCCCTTCACGACCCTTCGCGGGAGTGGAAGCTTAAATGTTCTTATCCCCCTCATAAAGAAAAGAGAGGCCTCTTAGGGGCTTAATCTTCTAGCCCCTCTCCTCCTCACTTGTTTCCCCCATCCATTAATGCCCCAGTTATTGCCTAACAAGACTGCTCCGAAGCATGCAACAGTCTCACCACTGCGTACACCATACATCTATGGGCCTTCCAGCCGGCCGGGTCCTATCCCCTCTTCAACCGGCAGTTTGCCATTGCCGGCACACATCATGCCGACGCAGGAACCGTTTCACCCATATCTGTATCCTTATGTATCACAGCCGCCACGCAATGCAGATTGGAGTCCGGGGCATACCGGCAGACTCATGCGTCGACTGGCGTACCTACATCTGACAGCGTACCATCGCCATCGTGGTCCTGCATACCGTCGGTCTATGACTCTGTTCAACCAACCGGTCTATCTATCTGCTCATGTGGTCAACCGGGAACTGTGCGTGACTAAATGGTAAGCTGCAGTGCTTCTTGCTTGCTGCGTCCTGTGAGTGAGAGTTGCATCACGGATCTTTTGAATCCATATCGCTGGGAGGAGCAGATGTGCCTACCTAGCCGAAGACCCGCAGTGTGGATGGACGATCTGATCTGCAAAGGGGATTACATCTCACATTATGACACCGTCTTGCGTCGTTCACGTCATTGTCCTGAGCCACAGTGTGACGGCTGTCCTGGCTGTTGGTTCTTAACGCCTCGTTCAGCCGGAGGTTGGGTGGAAGGATGAGACATCTATAAGGAAGATATATCGCTAAAAGATGTGTGAGGCTCAAGTGAACTCCATGTCAGCGACAACATACTCTCACAGGATCTTTTGGGAGTGTGGTTGAGCAGTCAACTTAAGACAAGAATACCCAGAAGCTGTACGTCCTCTCTCTCTCTCTCTCTCTCTCTCTCACACACACACACACACACACATACACACATACACACATACACACATACACACATACACACAGCAAAACACTGACCAGAATCCTAGTCCCCAAGACCAACCTCTCATAGAAGAGGATACCAAAGCGAAGCAGCCGCATCGTATGAGCCAAGAGACATTATGCGCCCAAAAATGTGACATCCTCCAATGCTATCCCCTCGACAGCATGATAAGTAAACCCTCGGTATCTCATTTTACTCTCATCGGACGTGCGGCTGCTTGCTCAAACACGGTAACATCTTACCCTTCGTACCCTTGTTGATGCCCAACAAGCCAACAAGCCAGTGGATTCACGTCTCATTCACACCTTGATCTATCCCCGGACTATGTCAACATCCAAGCTCCACAAGACCTCGGTTGTTTCTCTCAGCAGATGTGGATCTCCCAGGATGAGTAAGAATGTGGGGGGGTAACAGAGACAAAGGCTCCTCTCTCACTCTTTTCTCTAGGGAACATGCGCATGCCAGACACCAAACACTCGCCGTTCGGTCGGTGTGGAGAGTGGAGAGTAAGGTGACACCAGGAACGGGGACTAGGGATGGGGATGGGGTCTTGCAACGGTGTCGGGCAGCCAGTGAACGTTAGGATACACCACACAAAGGCACCAACGACCAGCAAGCTTCCAGTCACTCAGGTGTTGTTCACAAGCGTTAGCACAAAACTGCAGAAGCATAGGAAGAGGATGGGACTGAGTTCCCCAGGAAGGAGAGAGGATGCGTGTGGCGAACTGCCCTGCCCGTTTAAGAAAATGCTTACTTCCCACCCCCCCCCCCGGAAACAAGAAGCGAAGCGAAGACGACAACAGTGTACGTACATTTCCCTGCGCGCAAGAAAAGCAGCAGGCGAAAGTCTTTTGCAGATGTTCTCAAACCCAAAGTCCTTCCACATGCATGTCGAGATCGCGGAATCGGGTTTGGGCAGACCAGGGTAGCTAAACCTCCTTCCTTTTTTAACCTTGGGGTATCGATGCAGGACGGGGGAACATGGCCATGGGTATTAGATCTCTTTCTTGGGGGACTGCGTAACATTCGACTTCTCATGACACGCGCCCCCCACGGAGGCAATGGAAGCACCCGGCGGACCTGAGCATCATGCACCCATGACCCCAGGATGAGGTGTTGATTGCACAAAACGCAAGAGTTGAAACTTTCTAACCCAGAGTGCACTTTCACCAATAGATCAAGGACCCAGGTGACACGCCGTCATTCCCAGGCGATGGAGTCTGCCATAATAGCGATCAGGAGAGGCCGGCAGCTAGTATCCGAAGGATTCGGTACTAGGACTAGCGTTTGGGAGATGCATCAAAAACCCACTGCATCAGCCTGCGCGATCTCACCAGCGAAACTCCCATGATGCATTTCGGAACTCGGCGACGCTGTAGAAAAAGGGTTCGGTGAAGCCGCCCTAGAAACAAAAGCTGTGGAGAAGCTCCACGACGCTGAACTGTCGTGGTGGGTTGTCGCGTGCCCAATCTGCTGATGGATGCTTACATGCTTGACCCTTCTCAGCCAGGCGTCGGGATCCAAGGCAATGGCACGAAGGGAATACCGCACAGAGAACAGCTCTAGTGTCTGGTTGATATCGACATGTGTAACGAGCTTCATGACAGCCGCAATAGGGCTTCACCAGTTTACCAACCCGGAAGGGCTGCTTCATCGCCTGGCTATGGGCTGACCCGGGCATCTGAACGCCACTTGGTAGCGCTGGGCTGCAGACTTCGGTGTCTGTTTGAGCATCGTGAGCGAGGGTTTGCTCGGTGTGGCGCTCTCGCGGTCAACGGTGGCGGCCGGGTTCCCCAAGTCAGATCAGAGGGGCTAGCTTCCGTGGCTCCTTCCCCACGCTCCCAACTTGGACATCGTCGCTGACAACCCTCACCGGCACGTGCAGGTTCACGAATGAGCATTCCTGGCTGTTGCCTTGGAAGTTCGAACCTCGCACTGCCTATCGCCGCCACAGTCGGCGACAGCGACGGACCAACCAACAGCCCTAAGAAGTTGCTGAGCCTCGGACGAGACGAGGAGGATCGTGAGACTGATAACGGAGGCAAGCCGGCGTATGGATCTATCGTCCTCGATAACAGGACTCGTCCTATCCATCCCGCACGATGGTGGAGTCGAGATTAGCATCTCTGCAGTCTCTGGAGCCCGAGAACCCACACACCAGGGAGGGCGGCCTCGCCGAGGCTGATAAGCTTCAGCAAAAATCCCTATGTAAGACAACAAAAATTAGCATGTCTGTGACACCTTGAAATCCTGCAAGAATCATGTCGTCGCCGACTTGCTGGGGGCCAACTCCCCCCCGCCAGAGCGTCAGACCAGAAGGCCGACCAGGGGATCGTCGGAGAGCCAAGCTTTTCCCGGACGGGAAGCTGGTTAAGCAAACACCCCAGCATGCAACGCCAAGACGTTCTCTTGCAGGGAGGGGCTTGGCTTCCGTGGTCGTCGTCCGGCAAATCAGTGATAGCGACGGGGCCGGGGTGCCGGATGTCAATCCTGCCCTTCTACCGTTTTGTCCCTCTCCTCCAATGATAGGCATCCTTCTTTTCGGCCCATTGTCCCCAGGCGGAAAGGGACGCGCCACGATAGGGGACGTTGCTCGGTCGCCCTGACGGGAAAATGCCCGGCTTGGCTCTCGGTGTGGTGTTTGCGTGCCGAACCTCCTGTTCTTTGGCGACTTTTGAGAAACGCTGCTGGTGTGTTGCAGAGGTTCACTGTGGTCGCCAGCTGAGCATCATGAAGCCTCGAAGTGCGGATGACAGATTGGTTGTCTTGCTGAAAACCATGATATGGAGGTGGCAGATCGAGACTGATAGAAACGAATAAGCTTGAAGCTTGTTCTGTGCCAGTATCTCCCGGCCGGCTGGTGGTGTACACCCTACTACGTCACTGCCCCACCACCAAACACAGGCATGCACACCATTGGCTAGTGGCTCCAGATCGACCAATAGTAGGCCGGGCAGATCTGGAGAACGTGCTTGGCAACGAGGCTTGGCATTGACTTGCACGTCCCTTTTTCCCTGAGCGACAATCCATTCTCGATGGGCTGCCATTGGCCGCGCTTGGGTCTTTGGCCACCCGTCCATCGCTGCGAGGCGACGATCACAGCGTCGAGAGCTCCTATACTTGTTAATTTCTCTTTGTACTCGCGTTGCTTCGGTGTCACAGTACGGCAGAACTTTACTCGTGGCTTACGGTCTGTCCGCAATTGCCAATGCCCTCGCGAGGGAGGTCTCAGCTGCGGGTATGCGTTCGCTGCTTATACTTTCCTCCCTTTCTCGTGGCTGCAACCTCCAACGGCGTCCTGCCTGTCCTGATTATTCCCTGCCTGCCCCTTCTGTTTCGTTCCCATGCTGGCGAATGGGCGTCCCTTCCCAAAATTCTACTACGTGCCTTCCCCCCTGGGCCTCCCCGGCTCGCATACACTATCGACTTATTGACTCGATTGCTTGGCTCCTGCTCTTTTCAGACGATCTCCCATCTGAACCCCTCGCCCTCATCGCTTTCCTGCTGCCATCTCGTTGCATCTCTGCCGCCAGCGATTGGCTGCCCCGGGCTGTTGGCTCAGGCAGACGCTAGGGTTCCATCGTAGTTTCCTTCTTCGCGGCTTCTAAACAGCTTCTAGGCCATTTCTGTGCATTGCCCGCTTTGATAGCAGCCCAGCGGGGTGGACCTCTTGATCCATCATCTGCCCAACATCGACAGGTGCTCACACTTGCTCACGCTGCACTTTGCCTCTAACACCCCCTCCCCCCTCTCGCCAAAAACATCCAATACCCATCCCCCATAGCTTGATCCTGGTCGTGACCTCATCAGCCAACAAGCACGCGCTAGGGTCACAGTTGCGACCACGGAAACCTACCATCCATCGCCGTCAAGTGTCAAGCTGACTGCGATCCGAGGCTCCAGCTCTCTCAGGCCGGGCCATCTCATTCTCCCGTGTCCAGTCTTTATAACTGCCCCGTCCTCCCCGTCCTACCCTTCCCGTCCTCCCTCTTCTCACCACCGCTTATTTACTTCCCGCTTTACAGCGGCCTCCTTCAACACTACCAATACTGCATCGTCGTCGTCGTCGTCGTCGTCGTCGTCGTCGTTGTTGTTGTTGTCGACGTCACCACACATACCCGTCTGTATAGACACCTCCCTTTAGCACAACACCCAGCCGCCATGTCGGACGCTGAGAAAGGCCTGGCCGGCGTTGGCTCATCAACGCCGGACAAAGAGGCTCCCCCGACCTTCGCCTCCGCCGCCACCGAAACCTCCGTCCGGGCTCGCGATAAGGAAGACTTTTGGACGCGCAATGGTCTCAATCTGCGGTCGTTCCAGATGCGTGACATTGGTGAGAGCTCGATTGACTCGCTCGACCGTACCATGAAGAAGCGCCACATGCACATGATCGCCATTGGCGGTTCCATTGGTGCTGGTTTCTTCGTCGGTTCTGGTAACGCTCTGCGCACTGGCGGCCCCGGGACGCTTCTGATCGATTTTGCCATTATCGGTGTCATGATGTTCAACGTCGTCTACGCTCTCGGTGAACTCGCTGTTATGTACCCTGTCTCTGGTGGCTTCTACACGTATTCGACCCGCTTCATCGACCCGTCCTGGGGTTTCGCCATGGGCTGGAACTACGTCATGCAGTGGGCTGTCGTGCTGCCACTCGAACTCACGGTGTGCAGTCTTACTATTGGTTATTGGAACTCGGAGATCAGCGTCGGTAAGTGCGGGCTCCGGGGTAACTGATCCGGCATCAGGAATGGGTTATGCTAACATCGGGGGGTTGGGGGGGTGGAAATAGCTGTCTGGATTACCATCTTCTGGCTCGCTATCGTGCTTATCAACATCTTCGGTACTCTGGGCTATGCTGAGGAAGAGTTTTGGTCTTCGTGCCTTAAGCTTGGCGCCATCGTTGTCTTCATGATCATTGCTCTGGTCATGGTCTGCGGTGGTGGCCCTAAGGGCAGCAGGTACGATGAATACTGGGGTGCCCGTCTCTGGCACAACCCTGGTGCCTTCGCCAATGGCTTCCGTGGCTTTTGCTCTGTCTTTGTCACTGCCGCCTTCTCCTTCTCCGGTACTGAGCTGGTCGGTCTCGCTGCTGCTGAGGCTCGCAACCCGGTCAAGTCCCTGCCCGGTGCCATTAAGCAGGTTTTTTGGCGTATCACCCTCTTCTACATTCTGGGTCTCTTCTTCATCGGCCTGCTCATCGCCTACGACGACGAGAACCTCCTGGGCGCCAACCCTTACGTCAACGTCAACGCTTCTCCCTTCGTCCTGGTTGGAAAGTACGGAAACCTTAAGGGCTATGATGATTTCATGAATGTCATTATCCTTGTCTCCGTCCTGTCCATCGGTGTCTCGTCCGTCTACGGCGGCTCTCGCTGTCTCACAGCCCTTGCTCAGCAGGGCTATGCTCCCAAGATCTTCTCGTACATCGACCGCTCTGGACGTCCGCTCGTATCGGTCCTCTTCATCATTGCCTTCGGTCCTCTCGCGTACATCAACCTGTCGGCTGACGGTCCTACTGTCTTCGACTGGCTGCTTGCCTTGTCTGGTCTCGCTGCCCTCTTTACTTGGGGTTCCATTTGCTTGGCCCATATCCGCTTCCGCCGCGCCTGGAAGTACCACGGCCACAGCGAGGACGAGATTCCTTTCAAGGCTGTCGGTGGCGTCTACGGCTCGTATCTTGGTCTGGCCCTCAACATCCTGTGCCTGATTGCTCAGGTAAGCTTTGGAGCCCTGCCGTTGAATGTTAATGAATAGATGCTAACTTCTCACAGCTCTACGTCGCTATCTGCCCCGTTGGTGGCGGCTACAACAATGCCGAGGGCTTCTTCAAGTCCTACCTGGCTCTCCCTGTCGTCATCGTCTTCTGGATTGGTGGCTTCTTCTGGAAGCGCACTGGCTGGCTCCGCACCGAACAGATCGATGTCGACTCCGGCCGTCGCGAGATCGACTGGGATGAGATCAACGCTTACCGTGCTAAGCTGGCTGCCATGCCTAGTTGGAAGCGTTGGTTCCACACTCTGTTCATTTAAACACTATCACTTAATGTTGGATTCGGGGGCCTGGAATGCCGCTTGCGTTTTGCTGCGCTGGCGCAGGCGATAGATTTTGGGCTACTTGGTACATCGAAAATCAAAAAAAAAGGCATTATGTTAATGTATGGAATCTGGGGAGGGTCCGGATCAGAGTGAGCAGCGGATTAGGGTGTTGGTTTTTGTTCTTGTTTGATACCACATATACCTGAGGGGTTTGAGTGCTTATGAATGAGATCGTTTATCTGTGCTCGAGTGGCATTGTGAACTGCAAGATGTGTGAATGGTCTGGGCGAGGCCAAGATAGAGAGGAGGCAGATTTGCTCATGGTTATGAAGGATATTTGAGGCATGGGTGGATCTTGGCTGAATCGAATGTGTTAATACATGATAGAGGAAAGCATTTCGACACAGCTAGAGCAATATACGTTCTAGTTATTGATGAGAAAATGCTTGAGTACTCAAGATTTCTTTTCTGGAATCAGGGCCATGGCTTATTGCCAACTAGGCCAGATCCATGCTGCCACTGGCTGAGCAAAGATGCATTGGACTTTAGCGAGCTTTATGCCATTGATAAGGTAATGAAAACTTTAGTTCACGTTTATCAAATATCGACACTTACTATTCCTTTGGTTAGGAGCGGTCTGAGCTGGGTTGAGATGAGGTGGGATCGATTATCAGACTTCCTCAAGCACCAACAAAATTGGTCTTCAATAAGATAATACGTTTGGGAACACCGGGAGAAAAAAGACTAAGCGCCTAGTTAAAAGGTATATATACCCCCCTCCCCCCTCACAGCACTTGGGGGGTTCAGTACAGTAGTTAGTCTGAACTGATCAGAATATCATCAGTCGTAACCCACCAATGAGATAGAAGGGATTTCCAACCCCCCCCCCCAAAACAAAAAAAAAAAAAAAAACGTTAGATCACACTCATATTACCTTCTATTCGTTCATTAGTTAAAACTACCTAACACTCCCTGCCAAAACTACCACTTATTTACTAATCCGGATAAACCATGGGCATAATAAGCCATAAAACCATACAAAAACATAACCGCTCCTGAATCGCCTCGGTACCACTATCCTTCCCCCCAAGTACCAGCCGCCACACATCCGTACCCGGTGCCACACGTCCGTACCCGGTAAACCGCCGTACCTTTTGGTTTGCATCGCAATCAAAGATATCGAAGTAAGAAAAGAAAACTATTTCGGGGGGAGGGGGGAATCTGTACCCCATATGTACCCCATCCGATGTCTGTCCTGTCCTGTTGATCATAAAGTGGGAGGAAAGTAGGGTACAGTCATATACCAGAGGACTGACTGGCTTCCTGGCATGGAGGGAGAGGCGAACCGCATGCCTCTCTGCCTATACTTTGCTCTGCCACTCCTCTGTGTCGTAAGAAGGCGTAAGAAGGGGAGGTGAAGGCTCAGTCCGGGGGCTCGGTGACGCGTACCCCGGCCCGTTACTGCCGCTCTCCCTCTCACTGTTGCATCAGCATCTAACTCGACGCCGCATCCTCAGCACCAGAGCCGATAGCAGAAACCTGACCATCAGCTTCCTCGACGAGACTCAGACTCGCCCTCCGCAAATTAATCATCATCTTCTGTACCAGGGCCTGGCTATCCTCTTGTGCAAGTTGCCGCCCCTGAACCTGGCCCTCTTGTTTCTGCTCAACCTCGATTCCGGACGCTGCTGTTAGCTCCATTGTGGATACAGACCGAGACTTGTCAACATCTGTATCCCTTTGTCCCTGTTGTCCCGGCTCCTTGCTCTCCGGCGGACTGGGGTACGCTTGAGGGTGAGTCTGAGGAGGCGTATTCTGCGTTGCAGCGGCAGCAGACGAAGAAGCCTGATTAGGTTGGGCCTTCTCCTGTGTCGGACTAGCCGTTGTCGAGGTTGGCGTCTGCACCGGTGATTGCGGGAGTGCGGGTTGCGGAGTCGAGGTTGTAGCCGCCGCAGAAGCTGGCTGGATTTGTGCCTGATTCGAAGCCGGGACTGATGTCGAAGGTTGTTGAGTTGTAGCTTGAGCGCCGGCCTTCCCTTGCTGTGCAGCCTTCGCAGCCATCTGCATTTCCCTTACATAGGGCGGCAGAGGGATGGGGCTGGTGCTCTGCTTGTGAAAGGGCTGCTTGATCTTTTCTTTTGCTGGAACCGAAGCCGGAGCTGGTGCCGGCGCTTGCATGGGGGTCGGGGACGGGGCAATCGGCACCTGTGCTTGACTCTGTGCTTGAGCCGGGGCAACACCATACGGCATACGGATCGCTGGATGCAGAGGTTGCCCTCCAGCCTGCTGGGCTGAAGCTGGAGCTGGAGCTGGAGCCAGAACAGACTGCTGCGGTTGCTGTGGACGAGGCAAGGTCTGTGGATACCCCGTCGTCTGCGCCGACACGAGTGGCTTCGGGCCCTTGCTTGATGAGCCTCCATTAAGGGCCTTCTGCGCCCTGAGCAAAAACTCGCGCAAGTTCCCTTCATACCCGTTTACAAACCCGCCCCATTGGCCGTAGGGTGTGCGGTATCTAGAGGGATCCCTGATCCTCAAGTCAGCTCTGTCCGCTGCATGACACCACGAAGCGACACAAGAACGCACCTGTTATGATTAAGCTGGAAAAAACTATACTTCTGATACGCACACATGGCCGGCTGAGGCTGCTGTTGTTGAGCTCCTCCAGGTACTTGCTGTTGGGCACCGTACTGCGGTTGAAGATGCGAGGAAGTCATAGGCACAAGAGGCGGCATGTTCGCAGTCGTTTGGGCCACGCCCACTCTGGACTGGGGCTGCTGCAGACCGTAATGCTGCTGCTGAGGATGGTGGTGATGTCCTGATTTCATGTGAGCGGGGGGCCAGGTTAGACCAGGAAGAGTCGGGAATCCATTACTACCTCCGACGGGCGCGAAACGATCCGTAGATGAGAACAGTGATGATGAGTTCTTGGGCTGCTGAGGTGGCTGCTGGTACTGCATGTTCGGGGGACACTGCTGCTGCTGAGGCTGCTCCTTCTGTCCACCCTGCGGCGAGCCATGGTGATGATACATTGACATGGTAGAAGGCTTGTTAGCCTGGGCGGGCGACGGCTGAGGAGGGAAAGGACCAGACGCAGGGACAGAAGTAAACGTCTGTGTTGCGTATCCAGCCTGCGTCCCAGCAGCCGGCGCCACGGGGATCTTGGGCTTATAGAGATAAGGCTTCTCCTGCTTAAGAGCCAACACATCACCCGTCTGCTGCTGCTGCTGCTGCTGCTGCTGCGGAGGAGGAGGAGGAGGAGGAGGAGGAGGAGGAGGAGGAGCCCCCAGTATCGGGGTCGGCGCCACAACCGGCTTGGGCAGGGACTCCAAAAAGTTGCTCTTCGGATTATGCCGCTTGATGGCCGGGTTCTCCGTGTACTGCGCCTTCGCATCGGTCGATGTCTCGCCGAGGTAGTACCAGATCTGGTTCTCCTTGGACAGGTCGACCTTGGTCTGGGCGCGGTTACGGAAGGGCTCGCAGGTGCTGAACTCGGCCCAGACGTAGCCGGGTCCAAACTCCTCGTCCTTGCGGGGCACCTCGTCGTCAGTCCGCTTGGCGTTGATGGCCTTCTGGGCTTTGCGGCAGGTCGGCAGGGGGATAGCGTTGGGCGAGGCCTTGGGTAGACGGAAGTCGGCCGGATCGGGAAGCAACAGCCACTTCCACTCGACCTCGACGCGGTCGCTGTTGTATGTGTTAGTACTCCATCCAATTCTGTGTCTTCAGGTTCACATACCCATTGGGAATGACATCAATAAGCAAGGTTTCCTCGTCAAGATGATTTTCGACAACGACACCCGCAAAGATGTCTCCCCGATAGAACTGCAGCTGACAAATATCATTCTTCTTGAGCGCCTTCGCGGCCTTGCGGATCTCAGGATCATTCTCGAGCGCGTCGCCCTCGAACTTCCTGTCGCGCTTGGTCCGGTGGAAGCGGCAGCTGAACTCAAAGGCCTGCTCCTTGTACTCGGTACCATCCTCGCCAAACACGGGCACCTCGCCCTCCTCGACAAACACACCGGCAGCCGCGGCACATGTCGCATGGTAGGCTCGGGGACACTTCTTGTGCGAACACTGGAAGCAAGCGCCCTTCTTGGAGCGGCAGTATAGGCACTTAAGCTCCAGGCGCGCCTTGTCGATGTTGGCGACGTTGGCGATGATTTCCTTGCCGCCGACCGTCTCGACATAGGTCTCGGGAATGTACAGCCCGCACATTCGATGGGCCTTTCTCCCATCATCGGTATCAAGGATCTCAGCCCCGGGGATATCATTAGGGCAGAGACAGCAAGGCTGCTCAGCATGCGGCTTCTGACGCACGCGGATCTTCTTCTTAACCCTCGGCTCTGCCTCCTCCCCTTCAGCCCTCTTGCGCTTGCGACGTGGAAGCTTGACCTTAGCGGTATGGTCGGACGGAGGACTAGGCAGGCCAGTCTCGACCTCCTCGTCTTCATCTCCCACCTCATCTACCTCATCCTCCTCATCCTCCGTCTCCTCATACTCGGACTCCTCACCCCGCAGCTTGCGCTCAATCTCCCAAGCATCAACCCAGACACTGTCCTGCGCCTGCGCGCACTCGCACTTCTTGGCGATCTTGCCCATAGGCAGCCAAGTGTCCAGGGCAAAGTTGACTGCCTCGGCGCAATTGTAGCCCAAATTGAAGCCCGAATGGTACCCGTACGGGTAGGTAACGACGAATTCTCCCGGATACGAGAGGCACTTGTTCACGGTAATGTTGTAGTGCTGCTTGAGGTGCGAAGGCGAGATCAAGAAGCCCTTGTGACGCAGGAACTGATCGCAGGCCTTCGCCTCCTGCGGCCAGATGCTCTTCATGGCAGCCTCAAAGCGGCGGGCATCCTTTTGCGGGATGCTGTACCACTGCTTCGGGGCGCCAAAGTGCAGGTAGTTGATGCTGTAGAGATCGACGTCCTCCAGATGCCAGGCGAAGGTAGCCTTCCACATACCGAGGTATAGATAAGCAGTGTTCACGCCGGGCACCTTGGTTCCCAGGACATCCAGCAGGTTAGGGAGCTTGTTCAGGTTCCAGATCTCGACACTCTCGTCGAAGAGCGTGCCTGGAAGATCAGCTCCGTACATAGGCGGAGCATAGGTCAAGGTCTTCCAATAGATCTTCTCCAACTCTTCGCAACGCTCGGGCGTGAAGTCCGAGATGTCCATGTTGTAGTCAAAGTCCTTGAAGTGCTCCTCATCGATCACAACTGAGCCTTCACGCCGACTGTACTTCCTCCTCGCCGAGACAGACTGCGTCTTGGGCTTGGACTGCCTGGTGCCCATCCTCGACACCCGCGGGCCGTCCTCTTCCTCCTCGCAATGGCCCCCCCTTCCTTAGCCTCCTCGGCTTCCTGCCCAATGGAATCCAGAACTTCCTCCTTCTCCGCCTCGGGCGAGACGGGCGTCATCGGCCGCTCTTCCAGCTCCTCGTCATCATGCTTGGCAAGCTTCGCCGATTGCCGAGTCACCCTGCATCCCCTTCCCTTCTTTGTCGGAGTAGCGGCAGCAGTACTGCGGGTTACAGGCCTCGAGGGACCAGCCGCAGTCGCAGCCGCAGCTGCGACTGCAGCGCGGGTCCTCGGCGGCTTCTGGTCTGCATTCGCTCGTCTCTCACCTCGCCGAGCCGGCGGTTGGTGCTCGCTCTGATCGCACAGCTGTTTCCACTGCTTCAGGGTATATGTGCGCTGATGGAGGATATTGATTTGGCGGTAGGTGCCATTGTGGCCCATAATCTCCTGCTTGATCGGATCGCGAACGCGGATGCGCTTAATGAGGTCGTCGATCGGGGGCAATGAGTTCTTCCACTCCTCGGGAGCGACGATCTTGATGATACCAGACTGCATGCCGTACTTGTCGACAGCCTCCATCTATTCGCCGTTAGTAACCAGCTCGAGAGAAATGCGCACAAAGCTCGACATACGAAGCGCTTAAAGTCTTTGAACTGGCGATAAGACGGCTTGAAAACGGGCACACCACCTGTCCAATGATCCGGCTCGATCTCGCCAATGTCTTCCTCTTCCTCTTCAATTTCCTTCTGAGCTTCCTTGTTCGCATCTTCCTTAGTCGCATCGTCTTTTGCCTCGATCAACACAGCCTTTTCCACCTCCATCTTCTCTGCCGACTCAACTTCCTGGCATTTCTGCTCAATATCGAGGTCGCCAATAACGCCGTCCAGCTTGCTGGCAATATCATCAAGGTCGCTCAGCTCCGAATCGCTATTGTCCACATCCATGGCATCGGCACCATTGCTATCGGGGGGCGAGTTCAAGCCGAGGTCCTTACTGGAGCTGCCGCTGTCTGAGGAGGAGGACAGCTTTGCATCGAGAGCCGCCGTCGGCGCCGTTGCGCCAATCGCTTCAATGGACATGGTCGCGAGCACTACATGCGTTCCGGCGTCGGATTAAATGGGGGTAGGGGGTTGTCTTCAGTCGGTCTTGCGATCGCTGCTGTGCTGTGCTGTGCTGTGCTGCTGCAAAGGGCTTCCCCGGGGGGGGGGGGGGAGAAACGTAGCAGCAGCGATAAAAATACAGTCGGCTCAATGTTGCGACAGAGCACTCAGCTAGCGGGAGCGCCAGGGGGGGGAAGCCGTCTCACAGATCGACGCAATGCAGGGAAATTCGTGAAGCAGCACCAGAGGCCAAAGACTCGATCGCTGAGATAAAGCCAAGTTGAGTATAGGTTCGTTAGGCGGTTTCGACTTGAGAAGTCGGCAATGTCCCGTCTAAGCAGCAACCGGTGCAGCGACTCTAGTCTCCAACAGCAGCACACTGTTTGCTTCAGCGCACTGGCTGCGAGCGGGGGGGTGGAGAACAGCAGAGGCTGGGTTGCTGGGTCGAAGGGGGGGGGGGTTCCTGAGCTGGAGATGATGCCAAGCGATGGAAATCCCGGGCTGCTCGGACTGTGGATCTAAGCTTTGGAGTGGACAGTGACGGAAGAAATGGAGGAGATGGAAGGGTGGGAATGTTGCGAGAATTTGGACCGGGATTGAACTTTCAGACAAGCTGGGGAGATGAGTGACCGCTATCCCTTTCTCCAGGCCTTTCTCTGCTCGACTTGCCGAGCGCTTCCACTTTCCCTACGCTCTCCCTGCGTGCTGCTAGTTGCTGCAGCGGCGGTGGGTCGATGTCCAAGGAATCTGGGCTGATCGATGCGCCGAAAAGGCACTGTGCAAGGGCCAAAATGCGCGGGAGACAACCAAATGGGAAAAAAGATTTGGGTGGGCAGAAAGTGCTTTTTCGTTTGGGCCGTTGCCGTTGTTGCAGCCAGCGAGCGGCCAGGCTCGGTGGGCGTTGTTTCAGAAACAAGATTCGCAGACGGATGTTTCGTACTTTGGCAGGTTTGTCTTTTTTTTTTTTTGGTTTGTGTGTGTGTGTGTGTGTGTATATGTATGTGAAAGGATTGGGATTTTTTTTTTTTGCGAAACTTGGACTCTCCCAAACTCAAAAGTTAATTTGCAGCGCGCTCCCTCTCTCTGCGAAACCAATCTTCCCTTTCACATTCGGTCCGAACTCCAGGCGCGGGCGGCTTTGTCGCAGCGGCCGTTGTTCAAGCAGAATGACGCCCGCGGAACTGCGTCGGTTGCTGACGGATCTGACTGGCACTTGTTGCCACCTGCTCATGCAGCAGATGAAGTCCACCTTATGAGAAGCAACCAATCAAGGGCTGTCTTTTCTAACCCAGATCTGACAGCGGAGCACAGACCAGCTATGTAAGAACTGAGCTCTGATTGGCTGAAATGTTTTAGTGCTTGCAGGAGCTCTAGGGCTCGCGCTGCGACGTCATGCACCGTCACGAAGCTCCTCAACCGTCCAGCTGCTCTCCGTAAAAAGCGAGGGTTTCCTTCACGAACTCCTCGCTCATCAGGTTTTTGTTTTTTTTTTAAAAAAAATCAATCGCCATATGATATTCGAATAGTCTACATCAATTTGGGAATGGACTTCAAACAGGGTCGATCCGAGGCTCAATGTCCCGGGAGTGATTGCAGGATCGAGTAGTTGGAAAGAGTTATGGGGCAGAATATCGACAAGATTTCTGGAAGCCCTAGAATGAGCTTGGAACAATCCTTTGTCTATGGGATATCGGTTGCAATGCTGCATTGTTAAAAACTGCTGTCGACTAGTAACCGCCTGCTAAACAAAGCCGAGTGTTACCCCGCAGCCCTACGGGTTAACTCGAGCGAGCAATCCAATATGATGCTGCTCACAACAACGGACAGCTCTCAATCATTGTCCATACTACTCCTTTAGCAGGCATAAGCTCGAAGAGAGAAGGCTGGCATCAATGTCCTTGAATATATCAGCAGCTCATCTCAGTGTTAGCCCCAACGGTCGCCGCGTCACCTCGCAGATACCCCAAATGTCGTGCTCATCTGCCGCGATCTCACCAGCAAATCGGAATGTTACCGCACATCAGCCCTATAGATTGATTGATTAGATAAGATGATGCGATGTCCCAAGCTTCTCCTCAACCCGGGTACTGCTTCCTGGGTCCGGGGCCTCAGAGCGAGGCTGAGTGACAGTGAGGCTATGCTCCTGGGGCGGGCAGATCTCCCGGGGTTGGGGAACCACCTGGGTGCCGTTCCCAAACCATGGAGAATCTGGGGTGTTCGGAAGGTGGGGAGGGCGCGGGATGGCAAACGTCCTGGTGGGAGGGCAAAGGGAAGGCATGTAGGGAGTGATGCCACTCCGTGATACCAGGATTTCCTCCGTTAAGGGCTAATGATAGAAGGGCTAATTCCCACTCAGACTCCTCCCTCCCTCCGAGAGTGCGTGAACACCCAGCGTAGCTCGTCCCACAGCCTTTCTATCCCGCATTTCGAGAAAAAGGAGAGGCGTTGGGAACACACATTAGACAACACTTCACATACCCGAATAATCCACGGACCAGCCAAATTCCATTAACCACCCAAGCGTTCCCATCTACCCATCATCCATTGAACCATCTAAAACAGCATCCAGAACGTGTATACCAGCCAAAACAAACTAACAAACAGCAGTAGACGCGCTCCGAACCCCCCCAGGGTCGGGGCTATATACATCCAACCATACAAACCATACCCCATTAATACTCGGCGACGAAACAACCATCACCAATTGACTTTCTAAGCCCAGTACCCCTTGCTTATCTGAGGTTCAAGCCAGGGTACTGTCCCGTCCCCAGGCCAATCAGCTCGAATAGGATGAGGATTGGGTCGACACTGAGCCATCCGATGCCTGTGACACCATTCCGTTAGACAATGCCGTCTACGAATGATCGCTCGCTGAAGTAATCCGCTCAACAAGATACCAGACAATGCAGAAAAGGGAACTCACCAGCATAAACAACCAACTTAGTCACCACCTCAACATCATACCTCACCCTTGGCTTTACCACCCGACTAAACACGTCCTTCTCATCCAACAATTCCTCCTCCTCCTCCAGCTCCAGCTCCCCCTCGCTAACAACCTCCACAACCTCCCCCTGCTCAAACTCCTCTTTCCGTCCGCCACTCCTCACCCCACTCACCTGCCTACACTCCACTTGTTGCTCCCCCTTCTGCAGCCCCCCCACACTCTTCTTACTCTTCAACGCATTTCTTTCCCGGCTCAAACTCTCCCTCCTCTTCCTCTCTCTCCACGCTAATGTCTCATACGCATCGGCGGCACTCTGCGGGCCTACACTCACCGCTCTGCCCCTGCCGGGGCCACGAATACTTTTGACGGCTTTCGCCACGTCCGCGACGTGCGGGAGGACATTATCATCCTTGAGTCCGCGGAGCGGGACGTCTTTGTATTTACTGGCGGGGGTAAAAAATTTTCTTGGCAATGACAACCCGTAGGTTTCAAAGACGCGATACAAATGGGGAAGGAGTTTCAAAAGCGTGGGTTTCATCACCTCCCGCCAGGAGACGATCACCGCGATGCCGAGGACGATACGTCCCAACGCGACGGGCCATGTGAGGGCGGAGAGGTCGAAGGTCGGGTTTGTGCCGACGTAGACTGGAGCGAGCGGTGAATACCGCGCAAAGCGCCATGTTCCGAGTTCCAGGCCGATCATCACGCCGGCGAAAGAGACGCTATCGTCGAAACAGGGACAGTCATCTGCCGGCTCGGGGTGGATGCGCACGAAGAGGAGGATGAACAGCACAATTGTCAGGGGGGCAAGGTAAGACGAGGACTGCAGCCATTCCTCGATCCACGGAGCGCAATGGAACTCGATGAGTGAAATCAGCGCGCCGAGGGCAGAGCCGGTGATCACATCCAAAAAGCCGTGCATGCCGCAGTAGAGGCGGCCGAAGACGATGGAGACGGCGTAGAAGTAGGCTAGCACTTCGAGGGCGAGGGCTGTAGAGGGGGAGAAGGCGGCGGAGTGTTCGCGGAGTTTGAGAAGGGAGTAGACGGCGACGGAGACGGCGTTGGCGGAGTGGGTGGAGGGGAAGCCGTACTCTAGGGCGGCCGAGCCAGACATGGTGATACGGTGGAGGGGAGGGGACAGGGGGCGGGGGAGAGAGAACATGTCTTTGATGAAGCCGGTGAAGAAAACGCCTGTTGCGAGGATGTGGACGATCCTGGGTTTGTATCTGTCAGTCTTCTGTTGGCCTGTAGGTGTCGGTCCGGGGGTTGAGATTCGCACCCCTTGCCGTAAGCCGGCTCGCCGCACCAGAACAACACAGGCAGCATGATCATGAAGAAAGTATGTGTACCGAGGTTCGCCGTCCATGCGAAGTAGTAGTCAAGGGCAGGTGTGCGCAGGGCGCGCTGCAGACGGGCAAGGTGAGGAGTCTCCCAGCGCACGATGGGCAGCAGGCGCTGGCGCAGCCTGTACCGCCATCGGGGGAGGGCGCGCTTGTCTAGACGGAGGTAGCATTAGCAACTGTTCTAGAAGCGATGTCTTGACAATGTGCTATCTCCGCCAACAGCTCGGGCAACACGAGGAGCAACACGAGGGGCAACGTGGGGTAGTAGTCTTTTGAAAGGTGTGTGGTTGCTCAGGGGAGCTCCGGCGACTCAGGACGGAGCTTGTGGCAGATAAGACGGCAGCTCCCGTTTCTTTCTGTGATCACGTCGGGATCAATGAGGACGTACAATGCTCCAAGCTCTTCAACCCGGCATCAACGGTGCCATTCGGCTCTTTCTTCTCCACGGGTTCATCTTTCGGCGCAGCGCCGTTGCTGGCGCCATTCGTCGTTGCTGTGCTCATGGATGGCGACCGAGGGGCGATACAATCGTCGGGCAGGACAGTCTGGCTCGAGCGGGTGTGGCTGGCGATGTTAGGATGATGTAGTAGGTAGCGTCGATGTTTCGACAGCAATGCGAGTGCAACATGGACCTCTTAATAGTGAGGGGCAGCCCACAGCAGCAGGAGGGCAGGTCCGACGATAACCAGTAGTGCAGTGGACGGATGAGTGCCAGACTCCAGCAGCAGAAGCGAACACCTTGACTGCACCCTTGGGCTTGGTAGCTTGACGAATTCTCGGCGGTGGTGCAGCCGAGGCGGTTCGCTGCGGTGCCCTCTAGTCGCAATCGCAATACCCACACTACTGCTTACAACTGCAACAATCCAATCCACAGTCACAAGCCAGGCTACCCGTGCTCACTCTCGCTTTCATCAACCGTCCACTCGCAGCGTCGAGGGGGCAAATTCCCAACTCCAGTCTTCTCTGCAGTGGACAAGTGGACATCCTACCGCTTCTCCCCCCCCCCCCCAACCATTCCAAAAAAAACAAAAAACTCAGCTCTTCCCTACCTATTTTTGCCTACATCTCCCACACGCACGACACTGCTCTGCAGCGCAGAAGACGTTTGACTTGGCTTCTTGGCGCACGGCTTGGCGCAGCCCAAGAAATGTGGTGACACCACACTACCTTGCTTATCGCGGGTGATAATTGGGCAGATCTGGGTCTAGCCCTTGCAGCAGGCCGCGCTAGGGGAGTTTCGAGGGTTAGGGTTATCATGCGGAAGCTCACACAGACAAGTTAGCCAATTATGGTTTGCGTAAATGTGTTTTGGGAACTTCATGAACTGACAGCCATGATGACGATCACTAGCTCAAACACGAATTGATCCCCAACTAAGCCACCTTAACAAAAGGGCCATGTCTGGAGTTTTTCACACCCTTAAAACCCGCCTCGCCGTAATCACTGGTGCCACAGGGACGCTCGGCACACCTATTGCGCGACGGTTTGCGCAGGAGGGTGCCAGCGTCATCGTGGCCAGCCGGAACTGTGAGAGGGCGCAGAAGACATTGGAGAGTCTGAAACTTGAGGAGTCGTGGCCGGGTCAGGAGCACCGGTGTTTTGAGATGGATGTCAAAGAGACGGGGGATTGGGAGCGGCTTGTGAAGGAGCATGTGCGTATTACATTCACGCGTTTCCTATTTCCCCCCTCCCCCCTCCCCCCTTTTTTTTTTTTTTCAAATTCATTCATAGAGTTTCAGCCCGTAGTATAGGATAGTTTGTAGCTCGAATTAATGGTTAATCTCATACCAACCGTATTGCTCGAACAGAAATCCATCGACATCCTCGTTAATTGCGCCGGCCTCGACCAGCACAAACTCCTTGTTAAGATGACAGAAAAAGAAGTTGATGAACTCCTCCAGACCAACCTGACCTCCACGATATGGGGTTGTCGGTTTGTCGGGAGGCAGATGATGCAACGACAGGTGAAGGCTCAACGGCAGAGCCATAAGACAGCAGAGAGAGCTTCTCAAAGGGAAGAGGAACAGCCATTTGGAGGAGCCATCATCAATGTTTCCAGCGTGTTAGCACAGAGAGGAATGGTTGGGACGAGTATTTATTCCGCTGCTAAGGCTGGGATACTAGGTATGTCTCTTGTTTAATATGTGTGTGTGTGTGCGTGCTCTGCTGACACTAACCCCCACCCCACCCCTCCCCCTAACAGGTCTTACAACGTCCCTTGCCCTCGAGCTAGGTCAATACAACATCCGCGTCAACGCCGTCCTCCCTGGTCCGATTACCGGTTCTGTCATGACAGAAAGTAAGTTCGGACTACCCTACTTCCCTCCCCTCTAACTGTTCGTTAAATCCGTCCCCCTGAGTAAGCGGGACACAAATCCTAAGCTTCCTCGGTTCCAATAAAATTATCGAATACTCACCCTTTCCAGAGCTTGAACAACAATCTCACATGGCCCAATCCATCCCTCTACGCCGCTTTGGTACACCGGAAGAGGTTGCTGACGCCGTGGCGTTTCTGGCCAAAAACCCCTATGTAAATGGGTGCCATTTGACGGTGGATGGAGGGTTAACGGCGAATATTGTTGGGTTAAGGATATAGACTTTGGGGTATATCATGAGAGGGAATCGACTTCTTGTGATTCAATTTTCGTATCATTTTCTGATTTGTGTCATCCGGTATCCTTTTTTTTGTTTTATCCCACTATTACTGACCTGGCTTGTAGGCCAGCATGATGGTATCTCGCGAGCAGGCGGGGGCAGTGTCGCTCCCCAGACAGACAGTATTGCTGCTGCCAGCCTGCTCTGATAAGTACTAGGCCGCTCTTCTCTAGCAGCCATCTCCTTTTGTACGCCCAAATCTTTTCACGACCCCATCACTACCCCGTCCCTATCTTAAATCTCAATCTTCATCAATCACAATCGCCCCATCCGCACTTCCCCCTCCCCTTCCACTCTTCACCGTCCCGGCATCTAGAACCACAACATCCTCATCATCATCCACAATCATAATCGCCCCGCCCTCATCACCCTTCGCCTTCTTTACCGCCGCAGCAGCCTCGTCATCTTCACGAGGCCGCTTCGTCGGGACGGACACCGTACTATCCACGGCCATCACTTCCACAGACGTGCCGTTAGCAGGCCCTGAGGGGGGAGGTGACACAGTGGCAGCTTTCTTAGGCTTAATCGGGATCTTGATGGAGTCGCTTGGTACGGCAGGCTTGATGGGCGTGGAGTCGAGTGGTTCTTTGCTGTGGGGAGATTAGTATATCTAATGAGAAAAAAAAATCAGGAGGGAGAAGGGGCCGGGGGGAGGGGGGCGTACGCTTCCTGAATGGCGATGACGACATTCACGTAAGGGTTTTCGTCGTCTTCGTCGGTTATGGTTAGGAAGGAGTCGGGCTTGATGCCTGTATTGTACCGTTAGCTCTGTTCCCTGGATACAGGAACCTATGTGAGAGAGTAACGGACCCAAATCAGTCAACTTCTTATCCAAGTTATCCGTCTCATCCGGATCATAAAGAATGCCGACCTCATTGCTGACCGAGATCTCCTTCTCCCCAAAGCCCAACTCCATCTTGACAAAATTCTCAATCAAATCATTCAGCGTCGCCCTCGACAAATCTACGTATGCCCTTGTCTGGAAAACGCCACAAACGGGACACTCCGGGTTCGGCATGCGCGCCTTATCCGACGCGAGCAACCTTGCAGGCGCAAATGGCGTCAAGAAAACCTCTTTTACTTTATCATACTCCCCGCGCAGCACCTTAAACGCCTCCAACACGCACAACCCAGCAACAATCGCGTTTGTGGTCGCAATGGCAGGGATAATGTTCCCGGCCATCTGCTTGATATCAAACTTGCTTTTGCGGTCGATCCCAAACAAGGTCGACCGGATGTTCGCCGCGGACGCGACAAAGTCTAGAGTGTCCTCGTCGTCCTTGTCGAAGGTAATGATCGCCTCGGCGTCGCCTGCCGCACGCATCTCCTGCACGCGCTTGCTCAACCGCTCGAGACTGTCGATAAACACGACGAGGTTTTCCTCGAGCGTCCACACCCGCTGGTCGTCTTTCAGGACCGCCTCACGGTTGGCCAGCACGCCCTTCTCCTCCGCCTGTTTGTAGACTGTCGCATAGTCCAGCGGCTCTGGAGGCTTGCGTGTCTTCCACATGTCCTCCATGGACCGCAGGCGCAGGATGTCGGTGCTGAACACCTTGTCGAAGAGCATCTGCGGGAACTCGGGGGACCCGACACTATTGCGGATCTTGCGTAGGGCTTCGGACTCGCGCTTCAACTCCTCTATCTCCTTTGCGTTCTCGGCATCAGCCGAATGATCAAACGCCGACTCGTCCTCGCTCGTGCCAAAAATCTCGTTCAACAGCCAGCTCTTTCCCCACACAATGCAATGGATCGGCTGGCTGGGTGTGCTGCGGATGGTGCAGACGGGGAAAGTCTTGGGCGTCTCTTTCGGCGCGCAGTCGTAGCATGCTGTCACGCCCTTCTTGATGACCTGGACCTGGCCGTTGAAGCCGGTCGTGCCGCTTTCGATCAGCGGGACGTCGGCGGCCAGACACATCTTGTTGACGTGCCGCCGGGCATCGAGGTTGTCGAGGGCGTTGAAGACGAGGGTAAAGCTCGCGAACCAATCGATGCCGAACTGGGCGTCTTTGATGTTGGCGTGGTGGGCGACGATCTTGACCGCGGGGTTGAATTTGTCGGCTACTTCTTTGGCGACCTGAGGGTGTCAGCTACTGCCCTGGATAACTTGAGGGACCGGACGTACCAAAGCTTTAGACTTCTTGATGTGTTCTTGTCTGAATAGAAATTGACGGTTAAGATTGCTGAGATCGATTGTGTCGAGGTCGACCACATGGACCTCGCCGAAGCCGGTTAGGACGAGGTTCTTGAGCAGCTCACAGCCGATGCCACCTGCGCCGACTAGCAGGACTTTCGACTGTTTGGCCTCAGTTAGCGGCGCAACGAAATGAGATTCGGGTCCCAACTCCATCACGATAGGAATTGGTTCTCTCAGACCACTCAATCCTAGAAAAAAAATAAAAATAAAAAATAAAAAAAATTGGAGTTGCCAAGCGATAGGACGAGTGAAGTCGGAGGTGGCCCGCGAACAGCAGTCTAGATGGAGTGTGATTGACGTCGGGTACCCACCTGTTTGACATGGGCATTCAGCCCGCGACCAAGAGACTGCGAATTGAAGGCATCGCGCTTCAGAGAAGCCGTTGGACTAGGTGCAACGACGGCGCTGCTGGCTGCCGCGACTTGCGCCATGGCGATTGGTAATGATGATGATGAGCAGAGAGTTGGCGGCGGCAGAGAACGTTGGGAATTAGAACAGAATTGGGTTAGTGATTAGAAATATCAAGAGAGAACTTTCATTGCCATCCGCAAACGAAGGGAAGAATGGAAGAGAAGGGTACGTGACTGGCTTTCCTGTGCAGCCTTGCGGACGTCGGTCGCATCAAGTCGCAGAGGCAGCGTGAAGTGCCCTGACTTCGCTGCAGCAACAGGGTCCTGGTGAGACGCGCCGACGCGGCTGCGGACGGGTGCCCCACATGCAAATTCCGGTTAGCTCTTATTGGATGCCTTCTATTAGGTGATCCACTTTTAGTGCTTGCCGTTTCGATGCAGGCAGCCTTTCTGTCACCGTTCCCGCCCCCCCCCCCGGGGCCATGAGAGTGATGAAGGTTGGGAGGAAAGTTGGGTTGATGGAATGTAGAAACAACACAGGACAGAAATCAGATAGAATAATATTTGAGTGAATTCAATTTGGAATTTGCGATACTTATGTCGATAAGTCATTGTGGCCCAAAAGCTGGTGTTGAATTGGATACCTTACCATCAACTAATTTGGCTCCTTCAAAACGCCCTCCACTGCCCCCTCACTCATCTCATCCTCCCGCGTTCCAACTCTCACCAAAAGACATCAACCTCTATAACCACTTCCTCGAAAGAAATCGGCCCTTCTGTTCCATTAACTCAATTCTACCCTAAGCACACTCACATCGCCTAACATGTCCGACGACGAAGCAGACCCCTCCCTCCTCGAATTCCTTCGCCAGCACCTCCAAGGCAAGCTCTCCCTCAACAGCCCCGACGACGATGACGTCTCCCCAGATACCGGGGTCCTCACCGACGCGGAATGGGTCTACGACCACGGTGCCATCGATGTCGCGCTGGACATGCGCTCGTGCAAGGCAGCTGCCGAATTGATCTACACCCAAATGCAGCAGCGGGGGTACTCGCCCGCGACGTGGGTCAGCGCGCACGAGCTGCATCCGGATCCGAAGATGTTGGGGGAGGGCAAGACGGTGGCGTTTATTTTTGTGATGGACTTGTTGAATTTTTCATTTTGGAGTGAGAAGGGGGAGGAGGAGAGGTTTGCCGTCGAATATAAGGGAAGGAGGTGGACGGGGTATTGGAGTTTGGTGGCGGGGTTGAGGAGGGCGTTGGATGAGGGTAGGTTAGCATATGAAATCCCATCACCTTTCAGAAAGGGCGATTGCTGGTACATCTAGGCCTGAGATACCGTTTGGCCTGGCGTTTGCTTAAACTGATGGAGACAAAGGCTAACATCTGCAGGCATCCCCATCACAGACCCCTACTTCTGGACCGACGACCTTGAGTTCACTGTTGACACCTTGCGACAAGTCTTCCGATCCTGCACCGACGAGGAGATGCCTCTCCTGACCGAGAGGTTCGACTGCCTGCGCGAAGCCGGCCAGGTCCTTTGCAATGTACATCACCCCTTACCTTTTCTCTCATCCACAAGTCTAACATGCCCAGAAATACGACGCCGACCCCCTGAACCTGGTTAAAGCCGCCAAAGGCTCCGCCACACGTCTTGTCAACCTCCTAGCCCGAGACTTCTCCTGCTTCCGAGATGAGCACAACTTCGAAGTAGAGGGGCGCACTAAACGTATCCGGATCATGAAGCGCGCCCAAATCCTCGTCGCCGACCTCTGGGCGTGCTTTGAAGGAGCTGGACCCGGCGAGTTCCGTGACATCGACAAGATCACCATGTTTGCGGATTACCGTGTGCCCCAGATCCTGAACAGCATGAATTGCCTGATCTATAGCCCCACGCTAGAGGGCGCGATTAAGGATAAGAAGGAGATTGCTAGTGGGAGTAGTTGGGAGATACAACTCAGAGGTAAGCTCTCTCTAAAGTGTTTGAGCTACGATGTGGATTGCTGACAAACAGTAGCCTGCAGTATATGGTGTGTCGAGCTTATCCGGAGGGAGATCCTGCGGCAGCACCCCGGGACCAAGATCAACGCTGTGTTGATTGATTTTTACCTGTACGATGCCATGAAGGAGATGGAGGCACAGGGCAAGGAGCGCTTGCCGCATCATAGGACACGGAGTATCTGGTATTGAGATGAGTTCAAAATTTGGGTATATAAACAGCCACGTCATCAACATCCATAGGAGAAGCTAGACTCAGCCATCCATCTCCAATGAAAAACAAGGAAGTATCCATCCATCCCGACATATGCCCGTCCCAATGCCACCCATCGTCAAAAATCAAAACGCATCAGCCACTTGCAGCCATCCATTTCAGGCACATCTTCCACATCATCATTGAGAGCAATGCCCCTATACCACTCACACGGACCCCACAGCAGTCGAGCTCAACAATTCATCCATATGAGCTCTCTGAATCCCCTCATTGCCTTTGGCCTTCTCCTTCATCAACACCGCCAACACCTCAATTGGCGGGTTGAGGCCCAATCTCTCAGCACGCTGCCAGCGTCTAAGCCGAGTAATGCCAACACAGGGCTGTCATATCGTTAGTTCTTAAAAAAAATCCCCTCCCACCGTAAAGAAAACAAAAAAAAAAAAAAAAGAAAAAGAGAGAGAGGGGGGGGTAAAAGGACGTACCCCATACTGCGAACTAACATCAAAATACCTCAGCACCTTCTCCTCCGTACTTAGTCCCTGCCCATGCTTCCGATGCAACTCCTTCGCCATGCGCGACGCCTCAATCCCCTTCCAGTACTTCTCAATCTGGGCGTTCGTCACTTTGGCGGCGCGGCTTTCAGGATCACTCCTCGCATTTTTGACCTCCTTCTCCTCCACCTCCTTAACTTCCTCATTAGTTTCCTCCTCCTTTACTTCATCCTGCTCCTCCTTGGGGGCAGGTTCGGGAGCAGGGACAATGATTTCCTTCTTCGCCCGGGCGGGGGATTTGGTTTCTTTTTCTTTGGTGTCTTTGGCTGTGGAGGAGACAGGCTTGGTGACGCGGTGCTTAAAGTTGAGGGTTGATTGGTGCTTTGTACTGCCGCTGCCGGTGGCAGTGGAGGAGGATCTGGTTGAGCGGCGGGTGGGAGGCATTGTTGAATATGACAGTGTGTGACGTCAGTTGAGTCGGGGAAGACAGGACGGGACAATTTAAAAAGGGAGATTATGAAAAATAATAATCCTGCCTAGAGGAATGAATTGAACAAATTGTTTCTGTCTTACAATTGAAGGCTTTAGAATGTCCTGCCAACGAAAGGGAAGCCTAAGGCACACACTAAGGATGAGAGTCAGAGCCAGCGGCGACCGCCGCTTGAACTGCCAATGCTCATTGTTTTCGCTTAGAACCCTGTTCGTCGTCCGGGCAGGCGCTGACGGGGCAACCGGCAGCAGCCGCGAGCAGGTGCGCCAAGTCAGGTGACTCTTTTTCAAGAGGCTGCAGCTTGGATTTAATACAGTATGTTGTTACCGTGCTAATACTGTGAGAACGTCTGGGACCATCAACAACTTCGACATTGACGAAGATCCAGAAGGATGCCCTTTGCATTGATTTAGAGATATTTGACAGTCAATGGTCCAATGATGTATACATGGAAGTGGTATTCATTTGGACGGGACGCTGGTGATTAAGTTTCTCTCTCATATCCTGAAGTAGAAACCCCGAGCAAGGAATGTCATCTGGAGAGCCACCTTGTGAAGAGAGCCCATAGGCAGTCGAGACTCGAAGGCTGTTTCAAACTGAGATCGGGATGTGACGAGATTGAGTGTTGTCAAGATGAAGGACGACCCAAAAAAAAAAAACAAAAAAAAATAGAATCCCAAATATTCGGCATGCGTTGCAAAATAGAGACATGGATATCGGAAGCTCTCTGATATACTGTGAGCTCGAACGCATCATGAGCCTTCTCACCTGCGAACCCTTTCTTTTCTCTATACCATCCCATATTACTTCAGAAAGCAAAGCCATGGATTAGTTTATCATCCATCCCTCAAGCAGCTTCAAGCACCACTCTACTTCTATGAACCCGTTGCCTCTCTGTAGAAAGCAATGCTCCGACTCGCTCCAGCCGCGCAAAACATCTCTCCTCTCCCCATCCCCGGCGCGAGCGCCCTCTCCGTTTTCGGCAACCACTTCACCGTCCACAACGCAGCCTCCGTCTCAGTATGTGTCGCGACACACGCGCCCCTCGCAACATCCCACACCTTCACCTTGCCATCGAGGGACCCGCTCAGGAGGTAGTCGCCCGTATCATTCCAGTCGAGAGACGTGATCCATGCCGGGCGAGGGTTCGGCGCGCTCATGTTGGCGACGTGCTCGCCGTGGTCCATGTCGTAGATGGCGATGACGCCGGCGTTGCCGGCTGCCGCGAGGCGTTTACAGCCGGGGGAGAAGGAGACGGCACGGACGGGTTTAGAGAGGCCTGTGAAAGTCAGCATCGTTCCATCAGGTGAGAGTAGAGAATTCTTACCTGACAGAGAGTAAACCATCCTCCCCGCATCATTATTGAACACATACACTGCGCCATTCTCATGTCCACTCGCCGTCAACCTCCCATCCCGACTCAAATCCACACACAGCGCAAAACTGCCCCCTCCTCTCGCCCCCGTCTCATATGTCTGGATCTTCTCGCGCGCCCCCAAATCCCACACCACAATCCTTCCGTCACTGGTCGTCGCTGCTAAATACCCCTCATCCGCACTCAGCGCAACGGCCCACACATCGCCCGACACCCCGCCGTCTTCGTTACTCTTCGTAGGGGGGATCTCCCAGTCGAGCTCCCATTCTTCTTTATTCCCTTGAGACTTTTTGCGCCAGATCTTGATCTCCCCGCCGAAGCCAACAGAGGCCGCGACATTCCCTAGGCCGTGGCGCGCGGTGACTAGGTGGTGACAGCCGAGCTTGTGGGCGTTGGGGATGGTTTGGATGAGGGGGAAGGTTGGGTCGGTCGTGGAGTGCACGCGGAGAGAGGACGAGCCGCCGGCGGAGAGGAGAGAAGTTGGGGTTGGGGCGAGGGCGAAAATGTCTGTTGGGTGGGCTGTGAAGCGTTAGTTGGTTAGTTAGGTTCATGGGAGGTAGGTTTGTGCAGCAAGGTAGGAGGTAGGAGCTGAAGCTTTGAAGCTGGGAACGGAGGGAACGGAGGGGCTAGGCTTACCGTCGTCCACCGTGTGGAGGGAGAGATATTGTTTTGACTGGGATGTTAGCTTCGATTTGGAGATTGGAGCGCAATCTAGCTTACCATGGTTGAGTAGGCGGATAGAGAGTGTGCTGTTGGTGTTTGGGAGGTGACAGTCGGGAAGATTTAAAGTTCAGTTCGAAGTTACATTCAGGTCGCGTCCCCGGTGAGGTGGGATGGTGGGGTAGCCCCTCGCAGGCGCAAGCTGAGGCCAGAGAGAAGTTGAAATTTCAAGAAAAGCAAAACCCCCAAACTTCATCCCGACAGGGAAAAATAAAGAGAGCAGCACAGTAAGCATAGGATCAATCCGACTTTTGCTTCTTGACCGTAATCCCGTCAATTTCGTTCCCGAACCCTGCAGACCATCCTGGAGCATATGGGTACATCACATCATGATAATGTTACAGAGGTATATGTACATAATCGCCAACTCTATGCTAACATGCCGTCCTGGTTTCCGTCCTGGTTGCTGTCCTGGATGTCGTCCTGTTTATCTGGCCGTCTTGGATATCATCTCTCCCCTGCCGCATGCCGTCGCCGCATCCCCCCTACCACATCTCCTCCCTTCCACTGCCTTATGAAGAGTTCTGCTTCGCCTTAATCTCCTCGTTCATCAGCCCCCTAAGTTCTGTAAAAATGTCAGCCTAGTCTTTCCGGACACAGAGTCCCCATATTCCTTACTATTCGCGCAATGTGGGCAGAGATAATGCATCCTCTTGAGCTCTCCACAAGCCGGGCACTTGCACAGCGAGGTGACATCCTTCAGCGCCTTGCCGGCCATCTGGCGGTGGCGCTTCTTCATGTGCGATGTCTTCTTCTTGGGCACAGCCTTGAGGATGCCCTCCCAGATGTCCTGCAGCAATTCCTTGACAGATCCTGGCAGGCCGATCTGCCAGCCGGCGACCGGGACGGCCGGCAGGGCGAAGGGCAAGGCGAACTGCCGCACGTAGAGCTGCATCCGGGTCGCCCAGAACATAGTCGAGGGCAGCAGGCGGGGGAACAGAGAGCCCGTGCCGGCGATGCGGAGCGGAACGGCGGCCATTGTAATTATCTTGGTGGGATGTTGGGCGGTTTAAAAAAGGGTAGGGCAGATTTGGCTAGGTGGTTCGTGTGACGTTAGACTTGGGCCGTCGCGTCAATTGATAGTTGCTCGTGGTCCGGCTCAGCGAACGGGCTGCGGCATGCCTTGCTGGCGAGTGTCGACGGGCGTTAGGGCTGCGGCTCAGATCGAGAGACTCTTGTCACCCAAAAAATGTCGGCGGATCGCATCGCAAATCTCGACGGCGCACAGGGGTGTCTCTGCCGCGATGCACGGTCCACATCGGGCGTTCTCTTGCCAAGAACGCTCACTTCGAGCTGCTGGACGAGCTAGCCCCAATCGGGACGCGTACCTGGGGCAACTTGGCAAGCGGACCCACCATCGTGGACAGGCCAATTACGAGTGGCCCACAGGAGAAGGCCAGGGGAGAGGCTACCACTGGTAGAGCAGCGGCCAACATACCCCCTTTCCCCAGCCGGTTCTCGCGAGACCAGAAGACCCCAGGGCCCCCCCCCCCTTGACGCTAGAAATTATTGCTCCCGTTCCCACGTCTCCAGTCGGTCCCGTCCCCAGCTGCTGGCACGAGAGCTGCCCAGGAAGGCGCTGACATTCACCCGCTCCCCAATCCACAGTTCACACTGCATCCTCGCAGGCTCGCTCCGTGTTTGGACTCTGGCATCTCCCGGCTCCCTACTCCCTGGTGCATCACGTCCATCTCGCATCTCAACGATACCATCTCCCATCTCTCTGCTCGCCACCGACATCGAGTCGACTGACCCATTGACCGATTGATCGCCGCCGAAGCACGTAGACGCGTCCACACCACAGCATCAACACCCCAAAACTATCACCAGTCTCACCAGTCATCAATCACAATGGCGTCGGTCCCTCCGCCCACTATCTACCCGCAGAGCCATGTCGGCTTCGACAGCATCACGTCCCAGATCGAGCGCAAGCTGTTGAAGCGTGGCTTTCAATTCAACATTATGTGCGTTGGTGCGTGCTGCTCCGTCCCCCCTATTTCATTGTCTTGCTTCCCGCTGACCAGTCAGGCCAAACTGGTCTCGGCAAGTCGACGCTGATCAACACCATCTTCGCCTCGCACCTGATCGATTCTAAGGGCCGTATGGCGCCGGACGAGGAGATCCGCTCGACAACCGAGATCCAGGCGGTGTCGCACATTATTGAGGAGAACGGCGTGCGCCTGCGGCTGACCATCGTCGACACGCCCGGCTACGGCGACCTTATCAACAACGACCGTTGCTGGGATCCCATCGTCAAGTACATCAAGGACCAGCACTCGGCCTACCTGCGCAAGGAGCTCACCGCCCAGCGCGAGCGCTACATCCAGGATACCCGCATCCACTGCTGCCTGTTCTTCATCCAGCCCAGCGGCCACTCGCTCAAGCCCATTGACATCGTCGTGCTGAAGAAACTGTCTGACGTCGTCAACGTCGTGCCGGTTATTGCCAAGGCCGACTCACTCACGCTCGAGGAGCGTCAAGCCTTCAAGGAGCGCATCCGCGAGGAGTTTGCCTTCCACAACCTCAAGATGTACCCGTATGACAACGAGGAGCTAGATGAGGAGGAGCGGACGCTCAACAACCAGATCAAGGTGAGCCAGCTTCCCAGGTGATCTCATGACGACGTGCTAACCTTCCAGTCCCTCATTCCCTTCGCGGTGGTCGGCTCGGAAAAGACCATCATCGTTAACGGCAAGCCCGTGCGCGGCCGGCAGAACCGGTGGGGCGTGGTCAACGTCGAGGACGAGAACCACTGCGAATTCGTCTACCTGCGCAACTTCCTGCTGCGCACACACCTTCAGGACCTGATCGAGACGACCTCCCAGATCCACTACGAGACCTTCCGCGCCAAGCAGCTGCTCGCCCTCAAGGAGAGCAGCGCCGGTGGCCACAGCTCCAACAACAGCCGGCCCATCAGCCCGTCCGCCGGCGACCGTGACCGCGAGGTCTCGCGCAGCTCGCAACGGCAGACTATGAATGGCTACTGAGCGCGGTAGTTATTTGCTGCTTTAGCGAGTTGAGATGGTTCGAGTCTCCCTTAATTCATGGCAGTTGTGTGTAAATGTCCCTTTCGTATGCCGGGAGACCGTACGATGGGATGATGGGAACGGGGCAGAGGTGCGGGGAGGGAAAAAGAGTTAAAGAAGAAGCGAGAGCGCGGCGCAAACGTGTAACGTTCAACGCTTTAAAAGGTGTCAGTCTCACATCATACCCCCTTTTTTTTGTCTTTTATTGTTGTTAAAGAGTTAACTGTTGATGGGGGTGCTGGGGTAAATTGTTTGTTGGTGAAGCTTTTTACCCTTCCTACTTTTTTTTTATTTAGTCTTATTGCTTCGTTCTTCTTATTTACAACTAGTACCCCCGTACCCATGGCCATGGAAGCTCCTTCGCATCTCTGCTCCTGTTGTTGTTGGTTTGGTATCTTGTATCTGGTTGATTGCGAGAGGAGGTGCGGTCGCTGACCTGGTTAAACTTAATTCGTACGTACGTACTCAGACGATGCAAGCATGATGTACGGGTTTTTTTTCTTGTAGATGGTGTGAGTTTTGATACCAATACGGAGGGTGTTTTTATATAGAGTCTCCTGATCAAGACTGTGTGTTGAGGAAAGCCGTGTGCGGCGACGCTCTCCTCTCCTTTCGGCGATAAATCCCGGGTTAGGGTTGGCCGAGGACGGGCTTACTCGCGGCGAATTAAACCTCCGTCTTCTTCATCCTCAACTTCCGTAGGCAACTACTTTGAATCGGCTCCTTGTGTAACCATCCTCGCTCTTCTAAGATAAGATTTTGCAGAACCATGGATCTAGTTGGCCATGCGTTCTTCAACTGTCTCTAGAGTCCAACTTAAATCCATTGTCTAATAAGAGAGGGAACAAGATTTGTAGGGAGAAGGGACTCAAACCGACCAGAACTCTCATGGCCAATGTTAGACCTTAGCTCGCCCTTTACATAATTCCTTGCCGGACTCAACCACGCTGCAAGCAGTACGAGGCCGGCATCACTACCCACTCGCAGTCTTATCCTAGAACCAAGCGTTTGGGGCTGCCCCTCTACCAAATTTCGCCACCATACCTTACAAGCCTTTCTCATCCCCAAACTCAAAGAGGAAGCATACACCAATCCTGCCAAGATGGCAGCACCGCCCCCAACCCCGTCCCCATCAAAAGTGCGGAAAGTCAGAATCACAACCATCCCTTCCCCAAACTCAAAGGGTAAGGAGCCGGAGAAGGTTCTCATAGAGAGTGAGGATGGCATCGTCAGCTTGGATCCAGACAACCCTGTGAAAAGAAAACCTCTCGTCAGGGATATACTACGCACAAGGTATGTGGTGCCGGGGTCGGTGTTTTTGGTGGAAAGGATGGATAGGGAGTTATGGGTTGATGATGATGATGATGAGGAGGAGGAGGAGGAGGAGGAGGAGGAGGAGGAGGAGGCGAAGGAGGGTGAGAAGAGTAGAGAGGGGAAAGAAGGGATTAGGGGTATGGGAAATAAAGTTGGTGAGGTGAAAAAGGATAGGGATGGGAAAGGGATGGGTGAATTGGGTGCGAAGGATGGGTCTGCTGGGACGCGAGTAGGACCAGAAGGAGGTTCAGATCGTCAGCGTGAGAGCGGGGAAGACAACGGAAACGATAACAGCAGTTCCAAACCTTCGATTTCAGGGCAGGGCTGGACAGATGTCAGTTTTACTACAAATGACGCAAGCAGTCACAAGCAAAAACATCGCCAAAGGAAACGAAAGAAAAGAAGACGCTCCCGCTACCGCCCCCGTGCAGTTGCCCTATTCCTTTCCGACGCCGAACTCTACATTCAAGCGCTCGTCCGACCAGAATACCACGTCTTTATCGACTCAGGCCTGATCTACGAAGGCGCCTACGTAAGGCTAGATCAGGGCGCGGAGGTGGTTACTGTTCCTAATGAGGAAGAGGAAAAAGGGGATATGATATTCCTGATTGTCGGGGATATGGAGGTCGTTGGGTGGGATAAGAAGTATATGGAGATTTTGAGGGAGGAGAGGGAAAGGGAGATGAGGGGGATTGTGGGGTTGGATGCCGGAGAAAGGCTTGTGGAAGGGAGTGAGGATGAGGATGTGGAGATGGAGGATGAGGAGGTGAGTGACATGAAAGATCAGGAGATGGATGAGGAAGAAGAGGAGGAGCGACCGGTAGAGGACGGAGAGATGGAAGAGGATGAGATGGATGAAGAAAATGACATGCAAGAGACGAAAGGTGAGGAGGAGGCTAAGGAAAAAGAGGGAGTGAGCGAGACAAACTATGAAGAGGAACAGGACAATATGGCTCTCGACCAGCCCGAAGAAGTGTGCCTAGATCAAGGGAACGAGGTTGATCAACCGACGGTTCCCTCTACGCAAGGGTCACTACCGCCATTCCCCCAACTTCATCATCCGGCGTCTCAACGGGTAGCTCAGTTCTCCAAAGAGAAAGAGACGAGACAACAAGACTCCGAGCCAAACTATATCGATGACGACGATCTTGATCTTGAGGCCCTGCCGCTCGAGGACCAAACAACATGTGAACAGCAAAGAGCCCCTTCTCCAACTCCCAGACAGGATATCATTGACCAAACGTCTTCCTCAACCCATTCTCCGTTTTTCACGGCTACCCTGAGCCTCAAGCCTAAGCCAAAGCCCGATGCTAAGCCAGCGTCTGTCATATCACCGACTATGTCTCTCCCGCAGGCAAATCCTCTCCTCAATCCAAGTCCTCCTACTTCAGCGAAAACTGCCCAACCTGCTCCAGAGCCCATTCAACCAACTCTTCCCACGAACAACAACACGACCAAGCCTCTTTCTAAACTATTGAACCCAGGCATGACTTCGACCAGCGCAACCACTGCGGCAGCAACGACTGTGACCAGCCTCGAAACGGATTACACTTTCACTTTCAAATACCGTACTGCTACCGCCACATCGGCTGGTCGGCCTGCTTCGAAGCCCTCAAGCACAATGATGACCTCGTTGAATGCCACAACTACCTCTACCACAACAACAACCCCCAACAACATGACTGGTGCGGCCTTTAAGCCCAACACTTCTACGGCTAGATCAGATGGGCAATCTTCGTTCAAAGCTCCGAACCAAGCTACGGCCTCCTCCAGCAGTACCAGAGTGAAGCCGCCTGTTAAACAACCTCAGCCAGCGGTTATCTTGAACAACGCAACAAGCCTATCTCCACAACCCCTCCAACCGGCCGCCGTGACCTCCTCCACAACCAACACAGCAACGATCCCTAAACCCCCTCTTATCCACTGCCCCGTCCACAAACCAAAACACAAGGCCAAACTCCCCTACAAGACCGATAACCCTTTTCAGCCCGTGAAACTCACCCCCCTCGCGGCCCTCCCCACATTGCCTTACAAACAAAACTGGCTGCTCAACACCCTTGCCGTAGTTTTGTCGGTGTCGGATGTCCATCCGTACCATTTGGGGCCGACATATCGCGCGAGGAGTGTGAGGGTTACTGATGCCAGTGTTTGGCCTTGTGAAGACTCGGATGGTTCGAACAATAGCGAAGGAGGTAGTGAAAGGGCTGGTGGGTCTGCCATAGGAGGAGTAAACACAAGAGGGGGGGATACAGGGCAGAAGAAGCAACCTACTCCGAAGATCGATAAAGAGGGCATCCTATTAACAGTGCTTCTCGACCCAGACAGCTTCACACCCGAAATCGGCAGCATTATTCTCCTCCTTGGAGTAAGGAACCACACGGCCGAAGGGGGCTCGATACGCAAGTATATTAGCGACAAGCCCAAGAATGGGACAAGTTGGTGGATACAAAGACCAGAACAGCTGGGCTGGTGTACAGAAGAAGTAGAAGAGATGAGACGGTGGTGGGCTGCCGTTCAGGAAAGGGAAAAAAAAAGAGCAAGCGAGGATGAAAGAAGAAGGCAAGTAAGTAGGATAAGTGATGAATGGGCTGTTGGATAAGAGGTACGAAAACGTTGTGATAATGAGAACGTTGATTAGTTACGATGGATTAGGACGGTAGTTTTTGTCTAGGATGATCGAGGGAGCAGTGGAATAGGACTAGCCTGGAAAAAAAAAGAGCGTTACAGGATATGGATAACCAGTCCTTAGGCTTCATTCCATATAGTTATAGCAGACTACGTTAGGTAGATTCCTCGCGGCACAGCCGTAGAAGAACAAGCATCTTGGGATAGCAGACAAGCTAGACGATGCTCCCCATTCTTGTTTTGGTGTATTCCTAACCACGGGAGTAAATGTTCACTCAAGTCAGCAAACCGAGAAGATCTTTCCTAGCAAAGAATTGACCACCCTCCCACCCCGAGGTCGGGGGGTTCAACTCGAGTAGGAGGAAACGACTCTGTCCTTCCCCAAACTTCCACCGGACTGAGGTAGTGGGTATGCCGGTGGACTTTTTTTTTGGTTCCAGTTGTGATCAGTCCAAACAATAGCACGGGATCAATAAAACAAGACAGCTTGAATAGTAGGTATATAGGAAAGAAACCAATTCCTTGGGTATCGCAAAAACCTGTATGCTAAAAAAAAAGAAAAAAAAAGAAATAGCTACCTGTACCTAATCTACCGACTACTCCATTCATCCGTCCATCCGTGCCTCTGTATAAGATTTGTGTCTGAAGTGCTCATTTATCAAATGAACCCAGTTTACATGAAACTACCGCATCCGTAGTGCACTGTGTACACACATGCCACGGTGAGTGAATGAGACATTGGGAGCTCACTTCCGCAGCAGTTTGACCACATAAGCTTGTATCGTCATGCATCCATCCATTCAATCATCCATTCAAACGTCCATCCAGGTGGAGGATACCCGACGGTAGATAGACTGTGAATCGGAGACGCAGCCTTGGTTGCCAAAAAAAAATTGGTAGGTTGGGTCGGAGGAGCGCTATGAGAGGTCGAAGTATATATGATCAAAGTTAGAGCAACGTACTAGGGACGCAGGAACGTAGTCTTGGCCGAGGAAATCAGGTTGAGCTGTAGTGATGCTTCGACGAGGTTGAGGGAGTCGAGGTGGACTGAGGCGGTGTATTGGAGACACAGTCGTGTCCGGTTAGATCGAGCCAGGTGAGAGAGAAGTCGAGAGAGGTTAAAACGAGCAGGGCCCAGCTGTGTATTGATAACAAAGCCCAGCACATGGATTCAAAAGGAGTCGTTGCATGAATGAGCCTTGAGGAAAAACTGGAAGAGAGCCATACTTTCAAGAACGTTAATTCCTGGAAGTGTAGACCATTGCCAGCCAGCTTCCCCCACGAGAGACCGAGGACTCGAGAAGCCAACATCAACACCGTTAACTCTCGCCGTCCCCTTCAAGCCGCAGCGGGAATTCTGCTCCCCTCAGCGGCCTTCTGCCCCTCAGTCGCTTGCTGGCTCCCACCAACATTCATAAACCCTCTCCGCTCCGCCTCATCCCTCGCCCTGTCAGCAATCCCTCCCTCCCGTTTCTCCCTTCCCCTCTCCCCCTCCACAGCTCTCCGCCTCCTACTCTCTACCTCTTCCCTCCTAACCCACCGCCTCAGCCCCTCGCTAGCCTGCACCAATCCATCAATACTAATCGCATGATCCGTCACCATGCCATGATTGATTAGCATGTACACTTCCGCAGCGCTCTCGCATCTCAACAAGAGGTTTTCATTGAGCTTGAGGAGGGCCAAAGCAACTTGGAAGAGGAAAGCCCCGCGGTCGTGGGGCTCGCACAAGACGACGTCCCACACGCGGAAGAGGGCTTCGGCGGAGAGGACGTCTGTAAATAGGGAGAGGAACCACTGGAAGGTCATCGTCTCGAGGTCGACTCCCAGACGGCGGAAGTGCTCGTCTAGTTTTGGGAGGATCATCGACACAAACGAGCGCAGGACGGACTGATCCGCGCGAGAAGCCAACAGAGTATGCGTAAAGTACTCCTGCGGCAGGATGGACTCGATCAGGCTGGCCAGAATCCAGAACGCTTCCTCTGCGGAGGGAACAATCAACAGCAGATTGGCCACGACCAAGTTCATGCCCTGGCAATACCCCACGCTGGGGTTTCTTAACGAATACGCCAGCAGAACCTCCCTCAACCTAGCAACACCCGGCTTGCCGGGTCGAAAGAAAACGTTATCCGTCAATGTCCTCGGAATGTCCGCCGCGATTTGGGCTGCCGTAGTCGGGTCGACATCCCCCGTGCCGTCTCCCCCGGAGGGGTCTTTTGTCCTTGCAACAAGCGAGTCGTAGTACCCCGGTACGCGCAGCGCTCTTGCTCCTGAACACTCGGCCCAGATTTTGGCGCGGTAGGCGACGGGAATGCCGCCGAGGAGCAGGGAGTGGAATTCGGCCGCTTTTGCGCGGCCCATTTTGCCTTGCAGGCCGAGGGATGCGATGCCGATTAGCTCGCCGTCGCCCAGCCGAGCTTCGGGGAGCAGGATGGAGGCTGTGGCGCGTTGCAGGCGGGGGTCAGACGCGGCAGTGGAAGAGTTGGACTGGGCAGCGGCCGCGGCAGCAGCTTGGCCGTCGCGGCGGCGTTCGGCGCGCACTTTGCGGAGGAAGTCGTTCCAGCGGACGGTTTTTTCTCTCTGAAGCGTATCGTGCAGCTGGTTGAGGCTCTCCAGCAACTGCCGCACGGCATCAGCGTCCTCCTTGGCCAGCGTGCCCTGTGCCTGATCGCTCTCCGACTGAACCTCGCTATTGATCGCCGTCGCAACCGTCGCAGTTGTCGTCGTCGCCGCCGTCGGCAAGAACCCTCTTTCTTCGGGCGTGATACCCGGCGCCTTAACCGAACCCTCCGCCGCCTCAATCACCTCCAAACTCTGCGACCCGATCGACGGCATGTTGCTGAGTAACTCCGTTGGGAACGTAGCAATCTTTAGATAATCCTGCCACCTCTTCCCCTGCTTATCACCCTGCTCCTCGACCTGGCCAGCCGATCCCTCCGTCTGCGGCTCGCCCGTAAGCTCATCGTCCCACAACGTCGTCGGCGACAACGGTCCCCTCCCATTCGCCACCTCCGCCCTGCTCCCTTTCCTCAAATGCCTTGCGATCTGCGCCGCCGCATCCCTCTGCCTCTTCTTTCGTCTCTGATCATATATAAACCCAAACCGGTCCGTCAAAAACTCTGCCCCCGCATGATTGTTGTAAACATTCGTCAGCGTAGGCGGCTGATCCTCCGGCGGCAATATGGTATCCATCTCCACCGGGCCATAGCTCTGCGACCGCGTTAATAAATCCGTCTCCGGCGTCGTAGCCATCGTGTCCCATCTATCGCTGGCCTGCATGCGCGAGGCTACCGCAATTGGGCGGATCGCGGCTGCACCAGCGGGGCCACGACGCATGGCCATTAGGGATTTGGGGTCGTTGGTGGACACAGAGCGAGATGAGGCTGTCGTTTTGATGCTTGCGTTCGATGGTGTGCGTACTGTGCCGCCCTGGGCGCTGGCTGCCCGGCCGCGGGGCTCGGCGTCGCGGGTAGCACTGCCGCCGCCGGCGACTAGGCGTAGGGCGAGGCTGGCGAGGGATGGCTTGCGTGCGGCATCCTTTGAGTCTTTGGAGTGCGAGCTGCCGGGTCGACTCGCCTCCTGGGGGGTTTCAGTCCCATTGGGCGGGACGAACAAGTCCTCCTGCAGCGGGGGCCGGCGCTCGGGGGCAGTCGCTTTCACAACAGCCGACTTTTTCTTCACGCCGCCCGTGCCCCAGAGGTACTCCTTCCAGCCGCGGCCGCCGGCGCTCCTTGTGGTGTCGCCCGACAGAGGGACCGAGCTGGCGCGGATTGTCGCATCGGCCAGCGACTCAAGATACGGGTTCCTGAGGTCGTCGGCCATGGCATCGCTCATCATTTCGGCCAGGCTGTTGTCCTCTGTCTTCTTCCCATTGGCCTTGGCTTCTTGCTCGATGGCGCGGAGACGGGTCTCCAGATCCAGACTCGATAGACCACATTCCAGAATGATCTTGCGCAGGGCGCGCTCGCGGTCGTCAGCCCGGCGGCGGAGGCTCGCCATTTGGGCGTTGCGATGGGCCAGGTCTTGGGCGAGCTGCCGGACAAGGTTGACCGCGCCGTGGCGGGCGATCAGTCGCTGGATGTGTTCGTCGTCGGCGTGGTGCAGGTTGCCGGGGATTTTGTGTGATGTTAGGGGGACGTCATCTTCAAAAAGGGCACCGCGCGTCGGGCTTGGCGGCTCGGAGGTCAAAAGAGATTGCACAATAACCTCTGGATTCCTCTGAGCATCAGGCTGATCCTGTGGAATAGTCTGGTCCGAGGTCTTGCGCAAGCTGATGGTCAACGAATCGGTGGCACTTTCGTCATCTCGCAATGCACTTGACGACTCGCGGGGCGATTCGGGGGAAAACGACGGGAAGGAGGTCAGCGACTTGTCAGAGGCGGCGATGGACGAGCCAGAACTCGACGGGCAGGTCAGCTTCTTGCGACGGGGGCCGGAGCGATGGCTACGGTTGGTCGTGGACGATGCCGCCGACTGCTGCGAGACGGAGCGCTCGAGGGGCGCCGCTGCGGGGGCTGTGGATGAGCCCATTGCAGCGGGCCGGTTATTGACTCTTTTCCTTTTAGATAAAAGGGGGGGAGGGGGAAAGAGGAGGGAATTGTTTGTTTTTGTCTTTGGTTGGCGAGTCGACGTCGATGATTCCAACGGAGATTCGGATAGAGGGGTTGGCCTACGAGAGGGTTGCGTAAGAAAACAAGCAGTTTATCGAAAGTCGGTGACAAGCGGAGTCGCTGAAGTCAACGTTGACGTTGTGGTTGGAGGAATAATGAAGTCGCATTGCAGCAAAGCAACAACAACGTCAGGGCCAAGTCAAGCGTCAACGGTCAGTGTCGAGCGTCAAGGTCCAGTCAAGCTTTGGGCCAGACGGCTCGGGCTCAGGCTCGGCGATGCAGGTGCGTCGGATTGGACGCCGAGTGTCAAGTGGATGCATCTGCCGATGGGACTATGTGGGGGCTCAGTGGGGCGGCCCCGGGGCCCAGAGCCAATATCAGCCGCTCTGGAGCCAGCTCTGCCCCGGCACGTGGACCCTGCGTCATAACGGCTCGCTGATTGGCTGCCTGGGGAGCGGCGCCAAGACTCTGGCAACAACGGTGGCCCACCGATCCAAGCTGCCGGCTTCGACCATGCTTCTTTTGCAGCGTCACCCGTGGCCTTCGCCGGATCATTCAAGAATTCAAAATCGCGGAGAGTCGGTTCAGAGACGGAAGGATTGGATAACGTTTATTTCTGTATAGTTGGTTTTTAGTTTCATATTAAATCTATTTTGTCCTTATTTTCTCTCTTTCTTTTCTCATCCAACCGGCTTTCTCCTGTTTATATTTTTTTTTCCCCCTCCTATTAGTCAAATGCCATCTTTCCCTCCCTCACATCTCACTGGCACACACACAAAAGATGAGAAAGAAAGATATTGCCGCCCGCATTCTGTGGATTTTCATCTACATGACACGCTCGTCAGACGCCAAGCTCCATGCGCCGCGGATCCCGCTGCCCCCCAAACGGCACATTGTCCTCTCCCGATAAACCCCTGCCAAGATTGACATCCGGTTTAGATGAATCGGGTTCAGCTTACGGACTAGACTGGGATTGGGTAATGATGAGGACTCTATTGAGATCATGATACACTAATAGAAACAGCACAGCAACTTCTACTTATATGATGTTTATCATCTCCTTGGTTCAGCCCTCCCAGTCCCATCCCAACTCCCCCAGCTTTCTCTCAACCCTCCCTCCGACTGCTGCATTCTTAGTTGCTGCTGCTGATGCTGATCCCCTCTTCCTCCCAGTTTTTTCTCTCTTCTCCATGGATTTGTGCTCACTCCATAACCCCTCGCTAATGTACTCTGTCCCGGGTTCTGTCCCGGCACGGGACTCGAACTCGACCTCAGCCCCCAATCCTGATCCTCCCCCCCTTGATGATGATGCCCCCTCACCGGCGACGACACACTCCTCCCTGTTCCCTTCCCCCTCGAGCTCCCTCTTGGCGGCGGCGGCGGCGGAGGAGGAGGAGGAGGGGGAGGAGGAGGAGGGGGAGGTAACGCTCGATTCGGCGGTGGTGAGGTAGGTGGTCCCGGGGGAGGTGTGCTAATCGGTGAGACTGTGATGCCATCGTATCCTGGAGGCGGTGGTGGTCGTGGAAGTCGGGTTGGGGCTGGGGTTATGGTCGGGGAGGGGCTGCTGCTAGGGGAGGTGAGAGGGCTGGGGGAGGTTGGGGGGGCGGGGGGAGGGGGAGGAGTGTGAGATCCTGTGTTGGGGCGATGTAGGTGATGAGGTTGGGGAGGAAGGGTCATGGAGAGAGGGATTGTTGCTTGTGGTGTTGTTGGTATGGTTGTCTGATCGCGAGCGTGTCGGGCATGACGTGGATGCTGCGACGGAGCTGGTGTAGTCAACGTGCTTATCGACCCCCCGCTATAGTAACTCCCGCTACTACTGCTTCCCGTGGTTCCCCCGCTCGCCCTATTGTACCTTTGCGGACGATGTTTCCCACCTGGGACAGGAATCGGAAGCCACAGCGCAGCAGCATCATCCTCTCTCTCCTCCCTCGCAGTACGGATCTGCCCAAGACTCCCCTCCCTCCTAACCATCAACGGCGTCAACCTCCCGTCAGTAGGATTGGGATACCTCTCCGCCGGAGGGGGCGGCGCCGGGCCTAAAGGTGTCAAAGGAGGACTGGCACTCGCACTCCTCCTCCTGCTCCCCACTTTTAGTATCGATATCGACTCCAGGAACTTCCTCCCCCCTCCGGTTCTGGTACTACCCCTCCTGGCAGGGGAGATCAACGGCGTGGGTGATCCGATCAAGGTGGTAGCACGTGACAGTTTGCGGGTGTGTCCAGACCCGGGGATGGGGAGGGTATCATCATCGGGGAAGGTAGATGGGTTTGTGTTGGTGGCATTCTTGAGTTTCTTGCGCCTCCGGAGGCAGAGCAGGGCACAGAGGATAATTGCCACGACCGCGAGCGCAGAGCCAATTGCTACGCCGGCTTTGCCTAGACTTGATAATGGACTTGATGACGTGGTTGACGTCTCGGTGGGCAGGGGGTCGATGAAAGAGGTTGGTTCTGCCGAGGAGGGAGAGAGAGAGTTTGTGTCGGCCGGGTCGGTTGGAACAGCGGCGATGGAGATGTTGTCGGAGCTAGCGGGGATGGTGGCAGAAGAGGTTGTGGGGAGGTCTGCGGCAGCGGCGGCGGAGCAGCGCTCGAGGTCTGCAGCGGAGGTGGCGCAGTGGAAGGTTGGAGGGGGCGGTCCGGGGTCGAGGATGGAGGGGAAACCGATGCTTTTAGGGTTAGTTTATGCTCGTTGGGATGATGAGAGCAGGTAGGGACTTACTTTGCACACGTGCTGATGATTAGGTCGACGTTTGCTATCTCTATCAGCATATTCACTCCCTCTTTGATCCCCCTTTCCGCTGAGAACACTCACGATCTTGCCCCTCTCCCCCGTTCAAGTCAATACCCACACCACAAAACGTCGCATCGCACCAGTACAGGGCCCAAAAGCCGCGCACCGGGCCAGTGCCGTTTAGTTTTTGACAGCCATCTATCCAGTGGTCGGATAGACTCCACTTTTGGTGAATGGACTGCAAGAATTGTGCTTCACAACTGCGCAGACAGCCTTGTGGGTCGTCTTGCCAGCGCTGGGGGCGAATGGCTGATGGGTTGATGTAGCAGGGGCAGGTGTCTTCGGGCGAGGGTGATGAGGAGAAGTGATCCATTTTGTCTTTATTAGGGAGGATGGTATAAGTTAGGGTTTATTAGGTATTCGGTGAAGGTGAGTTAGGTGTCAACTGATCTTGAGGCTGTAGATATAAAGGGGCATAGCTCGCGGCCAAGTCGATGTCGTTTTGCTCAGCGTATATAGATCGTATCAAAAGCCTCAAGCGCCTCTATACGATAATTGTTTTGAAGCTGACCGAACTCCACTGGCAGCAACACCTCCCAAACCAAGAATAAGAAAAGCAAAACTTCAGCTGACGTACAAAAAAAAAAAACCAGGACACCCCATTCCTTAAAAAAGCGACCCCAATCCCGTCCAGCCCTCCCCCTTCCCTCATCGTACCCCTATCAATCACAAGTGTCTAAAGCACCCTGCCGACGACACGCAGTACAGTCCCGCAAGATCTTGCTGCCCGCCTTGTGCAGCCGTGTACCTTCCCTTCCGTTCCGTCCGTCTTCGAGTACCAAAGTAAATGGATGCTCAAAAAAAAAATAAAAAAAAGGACGCAGGACGCAAAAAGGACAAACGTCAGACGGCCATGTGGGGGTACTTACCGGAGTACCTGGGTAACGTTGGGCAGAACAGAGAGTTGGGAGTACAGAGGATGTTGTGTGCGCAATCGATGGATGCGTAGTGAGTCAATGGTTTTGGGGTACACAGAGAATGAATGGAATCCTGATAGCGAGGGCAGAGGAGAGGTGGTATCTAAACAAAGGGGGTTAATGAGCACCTGACTATCCAACTTTCAGAGATAGGAGATACTTCCCCTAGGCGCACAGCTAATGGAGAGATTAGGGAGTTGAATAGCCTTCCCCCATCCAACAAAAGTCTCCATCTACTGGTCTCCCAGTGACAGACTCTGTCAGAGATAACCGAAGTCGAAAGCTGCGTAGGATCAGGGGCTACCGGTCACACCATTTCTGCGGTGTCCCGCTCGTACCCGTTATACCAGAAAGTACTCGACGATGCAAGTAAGTAAAATAGAGAAGGAGGACGGGGACTTTGTCCGAATCCTGTTCCCCATACAAGGCAAAGCTGGAAGAGGACAGGCTCGATGTTGTTGTTGGGGGGGGGGTAATGCATGTAACCGGTTGCTTGCCCGGTTTTAATCCTTATGTCAGGGACCAGGTTAGCAAGTTTGATATGAGTAAGTAAAGGGAGCTCCAAAGGTGAATGATTCTGTACCTGTTCTGGCTCAATGTCGTCCTCTACCTGATCTTAGCTACTGCTGCTGCTGCGGACAGCTGCTCACTTGTATCGTGCGGATTTCTTGGAACAGTTAGGAGGTCTAATGACAGCTTTGATTGGAAGTGTTCTTTTGAGAACTCCAAGACATCATCAGTTTAAGTTACAATTATCATCTTCTGTCGTCCTGTTGACAGGATCTTTGGACTACGCAAACGAAGTTATCCATACATCCTCATGCACGTCACATCTCTCACCTACCATTCTTAGATCTAACGTTAGAAAAAAATAAAACAACGGCCCTGGTATACCCCACGGTACAGGTATCCCAATTCTATATAGCTTTCGCACGAAAGGTTTGTGCTCAGGGTGAATCGGGTGGGTCTAACCTGCGAGAAATGTCTTGTTTGACAGTATGGTCCTTGTGTTCCTGCCATCATCCCATCGACCCTTGAGCACCGAGGCCCTTTCGGTTTAGCTATGCGGGCAGCATCAGAGTGTACCTGCATGAGATAACACTGGTTGTGATGTGGCAGTCATCTACCTATGTACCTAGTCTATGAGAGAACTAAGATTCGGTTCCGATAAGACTCAGGCAAGAGATAGCAGAAGATGAAGGGAAAGATTGTCCATACCAAGTAAATTGACACTGTATGGTCTATCTAATGATGCTGATAAAGCCACGGTTTACATATCTTCAGAGGTTGGTGTTGAAGGCGAGTGGTAGAAGTCATTACCCTTCTTCCTTGTTCTTGTCCGCTTTCATCAGCTCAACTTCCCGTTTCTCCGTTGAAGAAACATCTTTTCACACTGACAAATTCCATAGCCACCAAATAGCAGCTTGTGATACATCACATTGTCCCCGCCGAGCCTTGCCTTGCCTCGCATAGCATCGTATCTTCCCGATCCGATCCGATCTCCGATGTGTTGGCTGGCGTTGATCTTGTTGGCCAGCTAAGCTTGCCTGACGTACACCAGGTGGGAGTACCCTCAACCGAGCATTTGCTTAAAAAAATAGACTCATAAAGACCATGCTTTCGCATCATGCCATCCTTCTTCATTGTGTCCTTAAAGGTTAGGCAGGGGCTGATTCCCCTTGCTAACATATATGCTCCCGAGTCTCGGGCAGGGGGACACGGCCGAGACAACCCCGAACAAAAGTACCCGTCCTCTCAGTCCCGACACATAGAACATTCAAGCCAAAACCAAGAAACACACACAGACAGATAGAGTGTGAGTGAGTGAAAGAAAAAGCAAACCTTCCCCGCACACCGCTCGCGTGGTGTTGGTGGTGGCTTTTCCGTGAGACTCAGGGAAAATCCGTGTTTTTTTTCTCCTCCAGGTGATCGACAACATTCTCGAAAGATTCTGGATGAGATAATCCCAACCCCTTCCGCTGCCACACCGTACCTTGGCCTTGCTCCTCAGCCCAAGTCAGCTGTGAAGGAAAAGGCTGAAGCAGGGATCTAGGTTAATGAGGATCATTCATGAATGGTTGGGCCAAGAGGAAGCGGGAGTGTGCATGTTCGTAGCCGAATATGCAGGAAGAGGTTGGAAGCCTCGAAAGGGAAAAACTCGCTGGCTGCCTTGTCATCGGGCTGCAGCTAGGCGGCGGTGAGCACTAAGAATGTGCATTGAAGGCTGTAGATGTTAGGGTGTATGCTGGATGTTTGCTCGGCTCATGTATCCTGCGACGGTCCCTGGGAAGCAGATGGCCCCTTCATTGCTTCGGATTAACTGTCAGAAAAATCAGAGAGGTCGTCTTAAATTGTGAAGACATTAATATTGACACAATCTCCCGCCCTCAACCCATCAAGCTGCTCTTCGCCAGCCGTCCAGCGCAGAACAGCCCAACCTCTTACCTACCACTACTCAGTCCTCCTGCTATTCGTCCAACCCGAACGGCCACCAGCGAGGCACCCTCCCGCAATGACCGCTGATCAACGCCGTTTACTGCAGCGCCCGGACACTGACTCACCCACAAGAAAACGTGGAAGCCACCTAGTGATCGCCGAGCACTCGGCATCATGTCACAATACCAAGCTAACGGCATCAAATGCTGTCTGCCAGTCTAGGTACCTCGCGAAGGGTGAGCAAACAGCCACTGTATGACAAGCGCTCGTGTTTCTGCTCTTCATTCGGCAGATTTTGTTTCTTATGAGAGTTACTAACGGTTTTTAGTGGATATTATTAGGAGATAGGGCTTCTAGAACCCGATTCGATCGCGATCCCGAGTTCATGGGCGCTTCGATCCCGAGAGCCAGCCAGCAATGGGCGTGTGCCTGATGAATTGAACCCCCTTACAGCAAGGTTCCTCTCTCTCTCTCTCTCNCTCTCTCGTACGTCTCTCTCTCTCTCTCTCTCTCTCTCTCTCTCTCTTTCTCTCGGGGATGCTGGCTAGTCGCCTTCAGCCATCATAATCGGCAAATACTCTTCCAAGAAAGGGTTTATATCCTGTTCCAGGAAGTTGTGTGCCCTTTAAATCTCCCGAGATCGTCGTCACCGGGTGGTTATACGAAGGCCAAAGCGCGTAAAAGGACCTGGTATATCCATTTCAGGGGCGGAGTATAGGATTGTAGAAACATAGAGGACTTCTAAGAGAGAGGGCCCCTCGTTTCGAGCCTCTGACAGGATATCCGCTGCTTATGGAAAGGGGGAGGAGGCTGCAGAAGGGGGTCTTCCCACTCCTGAAAAGTCCGGAAAGACAATCACTTAGTATTTCTCCCAGGATCAGCGAAAGATGATTCTCTCGCTAAATCATCACTGACTTGATGATTAGGGGGACAAACACTGCTCTTTTGGGCTCTAACCCTCATCACTCCATTGTCTAACATCACGGAGACTAACCCGCGCGACGCCACCCCGTTGATGCGCTCGATCGTTCCGGCTGAGACACTCGCTCAAATCCAGAAGCCTTCCTGCTTTTCTCCGCCCATCGAAGCATCCCGAATCTGATCGAGTCCGGTCACCAACACCCATCATCTCAGACATGCGGTATGCCTGATCTCACCGCTAAGAAAGACTATGAGCGAGACATGCTCATCCGCTTCGAGTCCTCGATTCAGAGAGCTTTAGTCAACTGCGGGAAGCGTAGCCTGCCGCTTTTTCTTGGCGCATCAGAAGGAAGGGGAGAGAACCGGGAGGGGGGGGGGCTGGAAGCTGAGGTAAGACAAATAGGCAAGTATCTTGCGTAAGACCCGGCTGCGCGTGTGAGAATCGCTGTTCGTCACAAGGCCAGGACTCGACTCAAGATCTCAAACACACAGCTGAGCGCTGAGAAGTGAGGAGCTCCGGTTGGGCGCCATGGGTTCGTGTTTCATCCATGGACAAATATCTTTGTGGTTTATGGATTCGCATGTCCTCAGGGACTCTCTGGATAGATCACCCATCCTCATCTCCTCTACGTGGCTTATAGCATCTTTGATAAAGAGATAGACATCAGTTATGGGCCGTATACTCAGAGTCGAGATTGGGGGTAGGTGACGGACCCCTCACGGAGATTGGAGCTCGGGTCCGGAGTAGGCTGAGATCACCACCCCCCCCCCCTCCAAAAATGGGGAAGATAGAAAGGGGGAGGGGGGTATGGGAGCCGAAGTGCGTGTCGGCCCGTCGGGGCACCCGAGTGCCGACGTCGACAACCTCACATCAACAACGCGATAACGCGATAACGTAGACTTCTCCCCATCATTAAACAAAAGTGCTTAATGACAGTGATGGTCCATTAATCCTCTGTAAATTATAGAGGAAATTTAAACCCAAGTCTACGTAGATAGATTGAGAGAAAGGAACAGCGAATCCGACCGAGGTGCCCATCCAATCGACCTCGGCCTCGGCCCACTGCTGGGGACTTCCCCGCGTCGCACTGCCGAATGACAGCCAAACAGTACCTGGACCCCCTGGTTGGAGTTGAGTCTTAAACTACATCTAGCTTCCCAACTCCCGACTTACATAACTGTGTTTGTGTTTCTCTTAGATTGCTCGCTGCCTTAATCGATTATTTTGTTTGTTTTGATTTTGTAGTTTTGTTTCAAGCCAACATGTCCGACTCAGCGCAGCGCCGCGTCCAAGCCATCAGCAACCAGCTCAAGAGCGGCGAGCTGCCGCCCGTCCACCGCGTGGCGGCCAAGGGGCCTAGGGTTGCCGGGAAAGTGGTCATCATCACGGGTAGGCTTGATTGACCACCAACCAACTTATGTCAAGTCAATACTGATATCATATGCAGGCGCCAACTCCATCCTTGGCATCGGCCGCGCCACAGCGCACCAATACGCCGAGAACGGCGCGCGTGCCATCTACATCTGCGACTTTGACGGCGCGCATCTGGAGGCTCACAAGCGCGAGATCGAGGCAAATTACCCCGGCGTGGACATCCACGTGCGGCAGTTTGATGCCGCCGACGAGGCGGCCGTCAAGGAAGTGATTGACGATGCTGTGAAGCGCTACGGCCGGCTGGATGTGTTCTTTGCCAATGCGGGTATCACCGGGCCGAATGTGGTGTTTAAAGAGATTGATGCGAAGGCATTTATGGAGGTTATGAGGGTTAATTCGTTGAGGTACGTCCCCGCTTACTTACCTTAGCCCACTATGAACGCAATACTGACAGAACAAAGCGTTTTCCTCGCAATCAAGCATGCCTCTGCAGCCATGCAGCTCACCTCGTCCTCCAAGCCCTCTCCCTCCGGCAGCATCATCTGCACGGCCTCCGTCGCCGGGCTGCGCTCCAACGCGGGCAGCACGCCCTACTCCGCTTCCAAGGCGGCCGTCGTCTCTATGGTCCAAACAGCTGCCTTCCAGCTGGCAGGCACCAACGTCCGCGTCAACGCACTGTGCCCTGGCCTCATCGAGACGGGCATGACAAAAGATGTCTTTGAGTATGCGCGGGCGAGGGGCACCACGCACAAGATCGGGCAGCTGAACCCGCTGAAGCGGGCGGGCCATGCCGATGAGATCGCGAGGGTTGCGCTGTTCCTGGGGAGCGACGAGGCCAGCTATGTGAATGGCCAGGCGTGGGCCGTGGATGGTGGATTGAGTGCCGGGCATCCGTATGTTCCGGGGAGGATTGGTTAGGGCTGAGGGTGAAGATTGGTTTTTTTTTAGTAGTTCGTGTATACGTAATGAGAGAATATGAAGTCATTTTATTGCAACAATGGAACGAAAAAGGAAAACGCTGTTTTTTTTTTTTTAAAAAAAAACCTTGGTTCATTTAAAAGGGTATGGGAAATTTCGAGAGTCGCGATCATTGCGAGGAAAATGAAGGCAGGGTTTAGGTTAACTACAACGCTACCCTCGCGCCAACCCCCAACGTCGCGGGAATGAGCCAGTCATGCGGCAGCTCCCCCAGATGATGCCGATGGATCTGGGGTACAGTGCATCCAATCTGGCGCGAATGCAGTTTTGGCTTGCTTGGGTGCCTTTAATACATCCAGTGCCGTTGCTGCAACATGATATCCCGCTTGGCTCTTACCCCATCTCGCTTCGAAACGCCGCCAACCCTCGGCTGCCACGCTATCGACGTCCGGCGCCAGGAGGCTCTGAAACGACAAATCCGACGTCCAAGAGCCAAGTTTGGGCTGTGAGAGGGGTGCCGGTGCTTGCGGGGACGCGTCGAACCTTCGAATCCGATCCGTCGCCTGACTGTCAGTTATTTGGCAAAGGGCTATTCTCTTTGGGCAGGAAGCTGTTGGGAGTGATAAGTACTTGCATATGATCTACGAGGATGCGCGTCCTGACGATCAGATGTCGGCAATTTCGAGCAAAGCAAGCTGGAATAACGTCGTCCTGTTCCCAGAGCAACTGGCGCCGACACGTAGATATGCTGGAGCCTTGCCTGATTCTACGGTAGATACGGGAGGAGATACGGGAAGGAAATTTATTTTATTTTATTTTATTTTACTTTGTTTTTAAGTTTGGGGGAAGGGGGGAAACAAAGTGGAATGAAACTCTTTCGTATCCCTAACGGAGGGTTTTAACGGAAAAATAATGTTTTATCAGATCGATGATTGCGGCTCAAACATCGGGTACCTCAACCACTTTCCACGTCAGTGGCATGATTGTGCTCAGCGGCTTTCGAACCCGCTCTACAGCTTCTACCCTCCAGCAAAGTGGTGTAGTCGCGGGGTAGGATTTCTGTAATCGATCCATGTAGAACCATGCTTGCAGCTGGGTGACGAAAACATGTCGCGGCTACACCCGCGTTAACGCATTTTCAGAATAACATCAACATCTGTGCTCACAAACGTTCCCAGATCCATTTTCCCAAATCAGATCTCAGATTTGCCCCGTATATCATCCCTCCTGCTTGGCACCTCTTCCCCTGTTCCCCGAGTTTCCTCCAGGTTCTTGGTTAATTTTAGCAAGCTACTTCGGACTCATCTCGGAGATCGACTCGAGCCTCAACTTTCGAGAATCCTCACCTCGCCGATCAGTGAGCATTTCTCCTTGAGGTCTTCACTGATCCGGATTATTCCAGAGCTTCCCAAGGCTCCGGATCACGTTGTGGAGGAGATTTCAAGTGGTTACATGCTGTAAGTGCTCAGTCGCAGCCGGCCCCCTCCGTCATCATCCCACTCGGCTTTCCTTGTATGTCCGGGGATCCACCTGAACTATTCCAGAACCAGTTAGCGCCTCAGAGCCCCTCCAACCCTCCTCTCCCCTCCCCCCCAAAAAAACCCCACCGTCCGCCTGCCTCCTGCTGTCAAACGTGGAACTGGCAGACAGTACACCAGTGCAGCCACAGACCTACCACCAGAGCCCACAGCTCACAGCCCACAGCCCGGGCACAGGCCGCACAGCACAGCGCACAGCGACCAAACTGGAAACGAGGAAGCGCTGGATGCTGGGCAACCTTCCACGCAGCCACACCCTTGTGCACGACCCAGCAGGAGACGGAGACCCTCTAACAAAAGGCATGCATCACGCCGCTGCTTGCCTTTTCTTTTTGTCCATCTCCACAAGCTCTCTTTCTCTGCTCTTCATCCCCCTTCCCATCTGCCACTCACCGCAGCCAATTCGGTCTGCCATCGTTCGGAAGCCCGAAGAGCAGCGCCCGCTGTTTCTCCTGGCTTTCCAAAAGAGAGAGGATCGAGCTGTTGCTGTCATCGACGTCACTCTTCCGTCTTTCCGCTCTTCCCACCGTCAATCCACACCCAACCATAACATTTGATCGGAGGTTTCGCGCAAAAATGATCATATCAAGTTGAAGTCCGACTCGCCCTCTCGCTGAGGTGCTTTAGGACATCTGCAGTCCTAAACTCACCTCTCTTGGCCGTACAACCTCTCTCTCTATTCCCTCTCTTCTCTCTCTCTCTCTCTCTCTTCTTATATATATATATATATATATATATACGGGCTCTGCCGGTTCTTTTCGCCGATCCCACTTTCGTTTTTTTTGCGTCCTGGAGCTCATTCCGATTGTCCCGGAGATCCCACGACAAGCCGCCGAGATACTTTCGTTTTATTGAACCTCGAGACAACTCTAACCGCCATGTCATCCATAGACGTCGATTACTCCTCCGACAAGACGACGGTGGTGCTAAAACGCAACTCCAAGCCATTCGTCGACGACGACACTGCCAACATGGAGGATCGGACGAATGACTCGCAAAAGCGCAACGAGGCCCAGGGCCTCGAGCTGGCCAGCATGACAACTACCCCGAATGCCCAGCCGGCGCCCTACTCCCTCATGGGGTTGCGTGACGCCTTCCATCCCCCGAGTCCCTTTCCACAACCGGTGTGGTACCCTCCCCACGAGCTGGAAAAACACTTGCCCTCGGAGGGGTCCCGGCCAGAAAACTTCGGCGTGGTAGTCCCGGGCGTCTACCGGAGTAGTTTCCCGCAGACGGCGGACTACGCGTTCATCCAGCGGCTGGGTTTGAAGACGATCGTCACGCTGGTGCGCAAGGACTTTCCCGAGGGCTACGACGACTTTTTGCGGGCAAACGGCATCCGACATTGCGTCTTCGACATGAAGGGTACTAAGAAGGAAAGCATCCCGTTGAAGACGATGAAGTCCATTCTACGGACGGTGCTAGATCGCAGGAATCATCCTCTGTTAGTGCATTGTAACCATGGAAAGGTACACTACACTCCCTCGAGCTTTGCACTGTGTGACACGACATGATGCTGATGGTTGATGTAGCACCGCACCGGCTGCGTCATCGGTGTCGTTCGCAAGCTTTCTGGTTGGGATGTCAGTAGCATCATCAGCGAGTACAAGGCCTATGCCGAGCCTAAAGCCCGCGAGTGCGACATACAGTACCTGAGCGCATTCGAGACCGCTGAGCTGTCGAATCTTTTCCAGGAGACTCCGTCACCGACGTCACCCACTGCAGCGCCCCTCCCTTTCTGGTCCACGCCCTCACAGCCACAGGGACAGGCGCAGCTGCACAACGACTATTGCTATTCGCAATCGCAGCAGCAACCCTCGGTGTTCTACTCCTCCTCCTACCCCTATTCGTATGCGAGTCCCCCCTCAAGCGTCCAACATGGAGGAGGGTTTATCCGCGCGACTCTTTTCGCCTTCATGATGCTGCTCGTGTTTTGGGCCACAGGGCTGCAGATGTCGTCGACGTCGTCGCGCGAGCCGAAGGGGTGAGGCCTCACCGGCTGGGGGGGGGCGGCGGGGGCCGGGCGCACAGTTGAGTCAAGGTAGCAAGGATGCATGAGTCAGCCGGCCGAGCCGACCGGCGGAGTTGCCGAGTACCGGTTGCCTGGGAGGGTTTTGGCTGATTACGGTACCATCGAAGCACGTCGACTGTCTAAGAATGACGGGAAACTGACGAGCTGTAGTCGAGCTGTTGATGCGATTACCGCGTCGATACTTGGCCGATGATAGGCACTCATTGTGTGAATTACCCCTCACATAACTATCTGCATTGGGATGGCCCTTGCTGGTTGAACATAAACATCTACCCACCCCTCATACATGCGGAGGGACACTACATGCATCACCACATCGCATTACACATCACATTGGGGGTATAAGTACATAGATAGGGCGAACATGGTGACATGGACGGGTTGGTTGACTGGTTGGTGGGTCGGTTTTGTTTGGGAGTTTGAAATCGATAACTACGGACGGGATGGGTCATAAGTTGGTTGGGAGCAGAGGCTATCAAGTGCTGAGATGTCTTCTGCTTGGCGTTGCATTCGGTTTAAGTATACAACATCATCATCATCATTATCATCATCAACATCATCAACAACATCATCATTATCATCATCGTCATCATATATCAATCATACACATATTTGGTCTTTTACTTGTTGAGGGTATATGTGTCTAGTCTTGAGAAAGATGTACATTCGTTGGGTTGAGTGCTGTACAGTTGAAAAAAAAAAATACACGGTTCTCATCTCTTCTCGTACACATGTGGAATCTAATGACTTGATATACAGGGTTAGTAAAACTCGCTGGTTCTCTTTGCCTCATGAACCATGTACCATCTCCATCTCACTTCGCTCCAACATTTCTAGTAAATCTCTATCCTCCCTAAACGCTCAGTCCTTATAAACCCCCCATCGATTTTCCTCCCTTCTCTCTTTCTCTTCCTTAACCCTATCCCCAGTCGCATAAACCCACACGCCCGCCATACAATTCACTACGGCCAGTGTCGTCGCCCCGAACCGCACCACTCCCCTCAAATCTGGAAGCCTTAGCCGCGGCCTTCCAAGACTACTGCTCTTCTGCCACCGCCGCCACTCCAACAATACATACATACCGCTCCAGGCGGCGGTCATGCCCGCACCGTCGATCTTGAAGCCCGCCAGGGTAAGGTAGCTGCTGAAGGCGAGGAGCGGGGGGAAGAGCATCGGGAGCGGGCGGAAGGGACGAGCGTGGAGGGAGGTGATTAGGGTTAGGAGGGTCATAGAAGGAATTGGGGATGCTGGATTGCGAGGTTAGCAAAAGTGAATAGCAAAAGTGAATTGAGAGGGGAGTGGGAGGAGGTAATGGAGAGAATAAGGGGAGAAGGCATGAAGGGTTATGAGGGGTATGAGGGAAATGAAAGGATGCCGTGGGAAGATATAGTCAGGGAGAAGAGCCAAGGATCTGAGAGGCATAATGAAAGGCAGGAGAGAAGAAAGATAATAAGTAAGAAATAAGAGAAGGGTGGATGTAAAGAAGTGAGGGAGAAGGAAGAGTATCAGAGAAAGCCGGACTTACAGCCCCAAGCCGTGAGCTTCGAGGCGAAGGGTTTTTTAGACTCAGGAGTTTCGGAAGACATAGTGACTGTTCGTTTGGATTCAATGCTCAAGATTAGAGAGGTCGTTGGCCTCAATCGGCCAAATCTTTGATTCGAAAGCTGGCTCCAAACCTGAAGCCTATGCTCCCTCTCCTCAACTTCGAATCAATCTCTCGGTGTACCCGACAAGCAAAGAATCAGACGACGGCAGCTTACAACTTTTGCAGTCCACCCATCAGCCTAGTGACGTCCATGCCCCCCTCCTACTCCTAACCCTGAACAGCGTCGTCGCCAATAAGCCACCGCTTACTAACCCATGTTCTTATCGATAAGCTCTGGTCCCTTTGGTGCTGGGGCGGAAGCCTTGTCAAGGACCCCCACTTTCGTGTGATCCGAGACGCCAGCGATCATTCTCTCGTCAGCGCACGGACTCTTGTTCTCTGGGCGACCCCGGGGGACAGAAACGAGCCGAGCCGCCGCCTTGCACTTTGTTTTGAGGGTGTTGATCCATCGAGAGGAAGGTCATATCTACAAAGAACCTGACGAACGAACGAGATCACTGTGGCGACGATACTCACGACAGCGACGAGCACGCCGGTATTTTGTCGTGAATAACTGGACAATTGCTTAAGCACTGAAAAGGAGATTGTTTTGGGGGGGGGGGAGAGAAAGGCTTCGACGGTGGCTCTACCAAAAAGCCACGCTTTCAGTATCTATCTACGGATATTTTGCAGAGAACGATTTCGAGAACATTGCATTGCTTTTGACGCACCACACTGGCTTTGAATAACGACATATTCGATCGCTCCCTACCTCTGTGAGCTCGTTCGTTCTACGACGGGTCTCCTCGCGTCACCATTCCCTTAACTGCCGGCGAATTCGCCGCCGCGCACCTACGTCCCCTTTTCTCGACTGCACTACGGACATCCACACCAACACCTAGAAACTACAACTCACAAGTCCCACGACAACCATGCCGGACGCCTCAACAACCGGTGCCTCCACCAACGGCGACAGCGCTCGCCGCCGTGAGCATAACCAAGGCAACCAAGCGCGCAAGTACACGCCGGAACAAGAGGCCACGGTTCAACGCATCCGCCGCTGCAATCCGACCGCCTTTTACGAGATCCTGGACATCCCCAAGACTGCTTCTGACGCCGAAGTCAAGAAAGCATACCGCAAACTTAGCTTGCTAACTCACCCGGACAAGAATGGACACCCACACGCAGACGAGGCGTTCAAGATGGTCGCACGGGCGTTTAGTGTGCTGGGAGATAAGGAGAAGAGGGAAAAGTTTGATAAGTGGGGGACGGATCCGGATAGTAGATTTGCGCAGGCGCAGGCGCAGGCGCAGGCTGCTGGTGCGGGGATGGGGGGAACTGGAGGGAATCCGTTCATGGGCAGGAGAGGGCAACCGATGTGGGATGAGGAGATTAGTCCGGAGGAGCTGTTCGCGAGGATGTTTGGCGGGCCGTTCGGTGGGTTTGGAGGGCCTTTTGGAGGTGAGTTGCCTACCTATACCTACCTACCTACCTGCCTACCTACCCACCTGAAAGACTGTATAAAAGGGACATTGCTGACTTTCCAGCCTTCGACGGTCAACAATTTGTTTTCAACTTCGGCGGCGGCCCTGGCATCCGGGTTCACCACTTCGGCGGACCGCGCCCACGAACCCGCCCACGCAATGCGCAAAATAATCGCGATAACAACAACGAAATCCCCTGGTGGACGCAGCTCGCTGGCTGGTTGCCCATCCTCATCCTCGTCTTCTGGCCTCTCATCTCAACGCTCATCTCGGGCCTCACATCGACCTTCACTCCCGCAACCCCCTCCATGGCGTTTGACGCGCCGAACCCCCCGCTGTACACCCTCGAACGTACCATGCCTAACCTCGGCTTCAAGTACTACCTCAACCCGGCGGACGTGCACTCGTACAGTGCACATAAGCTGGCTAGTCTAGATAAGAAGGCTGAGGTAGTGCTCGTGCAGCAGTTGAGGCTGCAGTGCGAGAACGAGATGGCGCATAAGGAACGGTTGCGGGAGGCGGCGAGGGGTTGGTTTTATCAGGATCAGAAGAAAATGGAGCTGGCGAATAATTATGATATGCCGGCTTGTAGGAGGCTGCATTCGCTTCGGGTGTGAGAGCTGTGATTACATTGGAGTGGTTGGAAATAGGGGAGGGTTTAAAAGTGCTTAATAAGATGGGGGTTGGATGGCTGGTCGGTTTTCTGTACAGAGTTACTGAGCGCTCTAGACTTGCTTGTTTGGGGAAGGTTTAATGACCGGCCCAGGCGTTGGAGGTGCATATAGCGTTTGGTCTTGTCTGTTGTTCAGTTCGTTGATGTGATAATGCATGTGTCGTAGTCAAGTGTTCATGCTCATGAGATCAAGTTGGTCCAATGGCTTCGAGTTGGATAAGTGCTGGAGTGTTAGCCTTTTAGCCATAGCCAGCCAATTTTCATGATAATATATATGACTTGGCTTAATTGTCGTCCAGCTATTCGATGGCGGTTCCTGATGACGAAATTCCCATCACAAGCTCTCAACATCAACAACCTTCCAACAGCTCCTCGTCCAAGCCACCGGCCAGGGGCGCTGTGGCAACAGCTGCACTGCCAAGGCCATATATGACGAACCGCTGTGGCGCAGCGGGCTCTCCCGATTGGCCAGATACCTATCATTATCCCCACTGCAGACAGGCGTCCCCACCGCAAACAGTGGGGGAACAACGCTGCTCGCTGCGGGGTGGGCGGGCTCTCTGAACACTGGACGCCTCATAAGACTGCTTTCGCATCGGAGAGGCAACCCTCCCTCCCATCGTCATCCAATCCAATTTAACAAACCTCCGTCCTTCCCGATCGTTGAAGCTACTGTAGGAAAGAAAGAGCTCATCGGTTCAATCCGCTATTAAGGCTGTGCTGCGCGTGTTGTGCAGCTGGTGGCGTTGGGGATTGGATCGATCCAGCCGAGTCCGAGATTACTTTGTCGGGCGGTTACCTACCTACCGATATATATATATATATATATAGTTTTTATTCGGGCTTGAGAGTGTTCTAGGTTTTGCGTTTCTTTCTTTCGAAGCTGAAGCTTCGCGACAAAGCTTGGTTAGGATTCGAAACAGCTCGGGCAAGCTTTAAGCTTACGTTGCGCCACGCAGCTGCTTAGGACAGGTTGACTTGAACGCTTCGAGCTTTCATGTTGCCTGTATAGCAAGCCATAGCAATTTACCGAGTCGTCGAACAGAAGGATTACAACGCCAGTGTGCTGCGTCGACACCGGCGGCCTCTTAACTACTTGACAGCATATACGTTACCTGCGTCAACCGACTCACAGACAGTAATCAATCCTTTCGATATTTACGTCCCACTTCCTTTCTAACAACTCGCAATGATTACACGCAAGCCTCTACCCCCCGACTCTGTCCTCGATCCCGCCGTGGCAGCTCGTATTCAGACGCCATCACCATCCAGCCCAAGCGACCCTCAGCCGCCTGAAACTCCCAAAACACCCCAGGACCCTGAGCGAGCACAGGAGAAATCGGGCCTAGATCCTAACGCCGTCCCTTCTCTCCTTCGCCCGGGTATTCGCTCGCCCGGCTCACCCAGCACCTCGAGCAAATCACAACAGGACCCAACCCAAGATGCCGACCCTTCTCAAGCGAGCGCAAGCCTAGACCCGGCCATCGTGCCCCCATTACTACGCCCTGGGATTCCAATGCCTGGCTCCCCCGGAACCCCAGGCAAATCCCAACGACAATCTCCCTCCCAAGACCAGACACCCGATCCCGAACCAGCACAAAAGTCGCCGACACTAAATCCCTCCACTGTTCCCCCTCTCCTCCGCCCCGGCGCCACGCCCGTGACAATTAAAAGCCTAAACGGCGACGATGACGAAGAAGACAAGGTCGACACCAACATCTGGGCACGGGACGTCCCTGCATTTGGGAGACCTCGCACGCCGGACTTGGATCTCGATCGCGTGCCAAGTGTTTTGAGGCCCGGTAGTCGGGGGAGGAGCTCGGAACGGAAGCACGGGCAGCAACAATCGCCGTCGGTGCCGGATGTACTCAGGCCTGGGAGTCGTGGGCGGAGTGGGGAACGTCCAGCGCAGCAACAGCAACAGCAACAGCAACAGCAACAGCAACAGCAGGCGGTTTCAGTGCCATCCATGTTATTGCCTGCTGGAGGGGGGAATACGATGGAGACGAACCCGTTCAAGAGGAAGATGCAGGCTGCGAAGCACCAGGTGCCGACGGAAGCGTTTGCCCAATTGGAGATCAATGAGCAGGGGGGAACGAACCCGTGGCAGGCTTCGTTGGATGAGAGGCAGCAGCAAAGGCCAACGGCTGTGCCGAATCTGGTTGACCAGGACCCGAATGTCTGGGCATCGAGGAAGCCCAGCCCTACGCCGGCTCCCACAGTCGGTGTTGTTACCCCCGACGAAGGGGCAGCCATCTGGGCGGACGAGCGCAAGCCCCCTCCTGTGCCTCCTCCTCTTCCTCCGGTCATTACCAGCGCAGATGATGGTCGCGATATTTGGGGCGACATAGGGGCACTGGATAAAGGAAAGGCGACCGTGCCTGCACCGCCTATCCCACCCAAGACCCCGCCCATTGCGGAAGGGAAGTTGGTTGATACCGAGCCGTCCCCCCCTCAGCCGGGGACGTTGTCCAGGAAGAGTACGTGGGAGGTGTTTGAAGTTGAGGAGGAGGGCACTGTGGGATCGGAGCCGACGCCGGTTGTGCCGTCTGTTGAGAGGAAGGAGGTCGGGAAGGAGACTGAGGGGCAGGGGGGTAAGGAGGAGGTTCCGAAGGAGGAGGCGCCGAGAGAAGAGCCGCAGGAGTTCTGGACTGCGCAGCTTAGGGCTGAGACGAGGGAAGCCCCGAGGGAGGCTTCATCACAGCCACTTTCTCAGCGCCAGATTGATCTCTCCGAGACGTACCAGATCAAGAACATCAACTGGTACGATTCGACTGCTAAGGAAAATCCACGCGCGTCGCCGATTCTAGTGCAGAATGCCAATGGCCCGTGTCCGTTGGTTGCTTTGGTTAATGCTTTGACGTTGACTACTCCAGCTGATCAGCCTAACACGGTTTTGGTCGAGACGCTTCGCTCCCGCGAGCAGGTTAGTCTAGGGTTGCTGCTCGACGCAGTCTTTGAGGAACTCATGCGTCGGACGCAGCCTGATGCTACGTTACCTGATCCGGCTGAGCTTTACGACTTCCTGACGGGCTTGCATACTGGCATGAACGTCAACCCGCGCTTTGTACCGACACCTGAGGTACTGGAAGCGTTCAAGCGGACGTCGCTGACACACTTGCCCGCCTCCGAGCGGGACGCTGCCCACGTCCCAGGTACGTTCGAGCACACCCGCGAGATGTCCCTCTACGCTACGTTCGGGGTCCCCTTGATTCACGGGTGGTTGCCCCCTCCCAGCGACCCAGCCCATGACGCATTCAAACGACACGCGGGAAGCTACGAAGAAGCACACTTGTTGTTATTCCGTGAGGAAGAGCTCGAAGAGAAGCTCCGCTCTCCTGACCCGACGCAAGGCCTCACCACCGAAGAGCAGCAAGCCTACCAGGACATTCTAACCATCAAGTCCTTCTTGTCCGCCTCCGCCACGCAACTAACCCCCTGGGGCCTCGACGTCATCCGCGCGTCCATGAAACCGGGTAGCGTCGCGATCTTGTTTAGGAACGATCACTTCTCGACGCTATACAGGCATCCACATACCCTCGAGTTGTTTACCCTGGTCACGGACGCGGGGTATGCCGGCCATCCTGAGGTCGTGTGGGAGTCGCTCGTGGATGTGACGGGCGAAAGCACGGAGTTTTTCTCGGGGGATTTTAGAGTTGTCGGTGGGGCATCGAGTGAGGGAAGGGGAAGTAACGTTCCTGGGGCGTGGGAAGCCGATAACGAGGAGGGATGGACAACGGTGCAGAGTTCGCGGAGGAGGAGGAATCGTGGCTCGCAGCAGGCTGGAACGTCGGTAATGGTAGACGAGACGCCCCGGTCGCCGGTCAGTGAGCAGGAGGATCGGGATCTTGCGCTGGCACTGCAGCTGCAGGAGGAGGAGAATGAGCGGTTGCGGGCTGCGCAGGAGCAGAGGAGACGGGAGGCGTTGCTGAGTGAGCAGTATATCGAGCAACAGGCTAGAGAAGGGAGGATCCAACCCCCTCGCAACGGAAGAACTGCATCTACATCCAACCCGCGCAACTCGACGCCCTCTCTTCTTAACCGCGGACAGCCCTCCCAATCCCAATCCCAGACGCGAAGCCAAACCACCAGTTCGGGGAATAGAACTGCGACCACCAACAGACCACGTCAACAACCCCCCGTCCGATCGATGCTTGACGTAGCGGAAGAACCTGCTCCCCCTCCAGAAGGTCCACCGCCCAGCTATGAGCAGGCAGCACGCCAGAAACCGTATATCCCCCCTGCGGGACATCCTGCGCATCCCGAGAGTAATCCGCTTGTGGCGGCTGCGGCCGCACCGTATACTGGTGCTGCTGGAAGTTCTTCTAGTGTAGCGACTGCGGCTGTGGGGGCTGGAAGGGGTGCCGGAGGGCAGCCGCCTAGACTTCCGCCTAGACCGGCGGGACAGGCTTCGGGGGTTACTGGGGCTGGGGCGGGAAGGGGGAGAGGGGGCAAGGAGAAGGAGAGGGATTGTATTGTTATGTGATGGGTTTTGGGTGAATGGGAGATGAAGGAGAACGGGGGACAGGTACTGCAGCATAAGGGTTAGGTCTGGAGTTAATGAATGAATGGCGCAATGAAATCGGATGGCATGAAATGGTATGCGAGCAGGCAGGTGTTAGTCTCATACTTGTTCACGTTTCTCTTGAATGACAACTTTCGTATACATTAATTATACTGATACGTTTGATCTGAGGTGTGGTTGAGACAAGAGGGGCCGAGAAGTAGAGACTGAAACGGGGTACAACGGGAGAGATTGAGATAACACTGTGTGTTCGACTTCTCTCGGAACCTCACAATTGCTTTGCAAGCGCATAAGAATTTCGTTCTCTATCCAAGGTCAGCCCTAGGAAGACCAAGGGCTTCATCTTTCACTTTCTCTCTGCGAGTTAGATAAGCACAAAACGACCTTCCAGGTCTTCATCGAACATCACTAGTCTACCAAGTGTCGAACCATTGACCACCTGTCTAAATTACCTCATCACCAAGTCACCTTGTCTGTCGTTTTGCCAGCACGCTGCCCTCGTCCTTCTTCCTTCTCTGAGGCCTTTCGCCTAATCCTCTCGACTCATCGCCCGGACCATCATGTCACAGAAAGCGCACATTCGACGTCGACACAAGCGGAAAATGGGCACATACTAGAGAGGCGCTGCGTGCGGGGCATTCGAGGAAAATTTCGGTGCCCTGAGGGCAAAAATATTCTCCGCCTGTCCCGGCTCCGGCCCGGCGCCGGACGCTCTCAGGGCAAGCAAGGACCAAGGTTCGTAGTGACTCAATCATCCAACTATCAAACCGTCGTCAGAACAACAGCAACAGGTGCGAGGCTGGCCCGCCGCTGTTCAGGCGAGCGATCATCCGTCGAGGAAGCACTTGCTGGCTGCTGGGCGCACAGCCAAGGGTTCGGTTCTCCGCTGTCCAGACGACAATCTCAACCGTCCAGCTATAAAGCCACTAACAGGGGTCGGTCTCAGCTGAGGGAATGGTAGGCCGGCGGGCCCTGGAGAGGTCATCAGGGCCAGCCCATTCGTTCGGCGACGTATGGGCTCTCGGCCGCCGGCTGGCATCCGTCACGGGCGGGATTCATCACCACCGCAATCAGAACCCCCAAACTCTTGAGGAGTCTGATAAAAACGCTTGCTAACGATTTGTCGTCATCTTCAACCTCCTTCCTGCCCAACAAGGCCAGACATGATATAGGACTTGCCCTCCCGCCGCGGGGCCCGCCGAGGCACCGTTCTTTAATACTACCATGGTATAGCTGATAGTGAGGTGCTCCGATTCGCAACCGCACTCTCTCCCTCGGAGGACGAGGGGAGGGAGGCCCTTGAGGATGGACAAGACAGCCCATTGACTCCATAGGCAATTGCTTCTGCATCCGAGGGAATTCAACCGGCCGAAGGGCACACGAAAAGCGTAGTATTTGAGCTTGAAGAAAGAGTTCAAAACGTCAACGTGAATTTCCAATTGCCGTTGCAAGCTCTGAATGAGTACGATCCTGCATGTGATCTATGGAATACTCTACCTACGAGAAGGAGGGTAGAAATGGTGGCTTATATAAGCAAACAAGGAAACGAGTGTGAGCAGTTGACCCAATTGCCATATATGTGGTGCTCTTGGAGCTAAATCCCAAGTGTTTCCTACTGGCTGTCGTCGGAAGCTTGAGACATAGGAAAGGCTGTTGACCCTTGCAAATGAGGACGACGAACAGCACATGAGATGCCGGTGTTGAGAGGGAGTTGACTGGCAGGATAGATCTGTGAGTGTCCTGGTAGTATTCTCTCCTCCATGCCTGCGTCGACCAAGTGTGAAGATAGATTTGACGAGCCATCTTCTGGGAAATATCAGCATCATATCCTTCAACACTCATGAGGCCATCATCCAGGGGTGATTGACATCCCCTTGCTACGCCATTACCTCTTATCGCGCCGCGTCGCCCACTAAGATGCCGTTTCTCAAGTCCATCCATCACACTATCCTATAGACCTCCGCGCTCACACCTTCAAACACGGTCGGTCCATACATCTGAAATTTACCCACACGATGAAACTCCCCATCCTCCCCATGCGGCTGCAGCAATAGCCCATCAACAAGTGAGCCCTTCCTCGCCCCAACCTTGGTCGTGCTCATAGCAAGGCACTTTATCTTTCCCTTCCGTATGGGCACATCTGGACGAGCATCAAGCACTCCTTCTCCAATGATATACCTGCTGTCTCCCTCCCCATCTACAAGGCGGACATCCGAATTGCCCGGATTGCCTTCCTCGAGATCGTGCAGCTCCCAAGTGAGGTCGACCGCGAGGCCCTTGACTTCGAGGAATCCGGACTTGACCTCTCCGAATGGAAAGCCCCTGTTGACAGGCTCGACCTGGCACTGGAGAATCTCGAACTGGAACGGTTGCCGCTCTTGCATATCATCGTCTAGAACGGCAGCGGACTCGGAGGCGATGCTGCACCAGCTCCATGACGGGGCGATGTACTGGTTTTAGCAGGATCAGGGTCAGGTTCAGATGGCGGGTTGCCGCTCGCGTCAACATCCTGGATGATTGGCGGGACGTAGTCGCGCTTTTTCTCGCATTCCCAATGGAGCTCCGACAGGAGCTTCTCCCTCCACATGCCTGCCAGGTACGTCCATCCGGTAAGGCGCGCCACCTCTGCAGCGACAGCGGATATCGCAGGGAGTTTGTCCGTCGCGTTGGTGAGTTTCCTGCCGGAGTAGTCGTTGCGGATCCTGTACCACAACGCCAGGATTACGTCCTCGTCCGGTCCCGACTCGGACTCGGCCGCAAGCGGGGCCAGGATTTGGAACGGCCGAGGAGCTTCTTCCGCGGCGCTGGGGTTTATGTGCATCTCTCGACACATCCACTTCAGACCGTCGTAGGAGAAGCTCACGACCCTGGTCGAGAGCACGCGCTCCTGAAGACACCATGCACGGGAGTTCGCCGGATCTGCCGAGGGGAGGTAGTATTTGCGGTATGCAAGGCGGATGATTTCCCTCTCGCCACGGGGTCCGAGTAGTGGGATGTCGATAGGTTGAGCGAAGAACCTTGGAGATTCTGAGGGATGGAGGAACCCCTCGTTGGCGGATGGCGCGCTTGCGGCGATGATTGTGACGGCGCTGTTCCGGTAGATGTCGCCCATGAGCGGCAGTTCCCTGGCCTTGTCGTCTTTGGAGTCTTGGATGATGCACAGGGCATCGACCCAGAGGTAGCCGAGGTTGAGCTGACGGGTAACGGTGATGGCGTCTTTGATGGTCCGAGAGAGGAGGGTCATGTCGATGTGGCGTTGTTTCTCCTTTAGCGTGTCCTTTGTTAGTTTATACGCCTGGTCGACACCCCAAACGTAGCTCAGGGCCGCATAGGGGCGTAGCTCTCCAGGAGTTGTGAGGATGAGACGCGCTCCGTCAGGGTCCGTGACATCAATCAGGCGAGTTGGCTGAAGCGACCTGGTGGGCTTGCAGGATTGATGGCTACTATTGCACGCCGACATCCAAGTTCGTGCTAGCGCTGGCCACGTTGGTGAAGTCGGAGAGACGTTTCCCCATTCACTGGGAAAGAGTCTTGAAGTCGACCCTACAACCAGTTGAATAACTGTGAGCCTGAGGTGGATTAAGAGTTGGGGAACGTGGGAGAACATGACCTACCGGGAGATATGACCTCAAAAGATAAATCCACGGCATCGTCCCCAACAAGGCCTGAAATAGCACAGTCTGGATCACGCGGGTTCGGCCCTGCAAATTCCAAGCGCACCTTTAGGGAATTAAAGAAGTTTGCATTTTGTGTGGCAACGAAAGTCATGTCGACCTGGATCTCAGCGTCACAATCCAGATCCTCCAGTATGAGAAATCCGGGCTGGTCGCGCCTCCGTGATGAATGTGATGACTCAAAGTGTGATGAGTCGACTGATCGCGGTTTGTCTGCTTCGAGTTCTTCGTCACCCGCCGCGGGCTCCCGGGGCTCCATGCTCTCATCTTGTTCTTCATCCTGACTTATCCCGTCGCTTCTTTCCGGATCCTCCTCATCATCAAGCATGCTCTCGCCATCGGTATGACTGTCCTGCCAGGCGTAGTACCAATAATCGAGCTCGGCACTGCTAAGTAGCGCGTTTGCCAGGACTGTGCACCACAGACAGCCATCCACCGTCCCGCGGTAAATGTCGCTTGAAACGCGCGAATAAGATGATGCAAAGCGTAACGTGCTTGAGCGTTCCCCCACAGCCGTCAACAGACCATTGTACGTTGAGGGACCAAAGACATCCGCCACGCAAAATGAACAGAGGGTCTGATCACCTTTATGTTTGGGTTGGACATTGCAGTTATACCTGCGTGGGAGTTGGGTAGTGCCGTATCGGGAGAGCATTTTGCGAGCACACAATACTTGTATGTTAGGCTAAAATGCTATGAGGTGCCCTCTGGGTTACAAGATCCAAGGTTCTTTTGCGGCCGCGCACTATCAGGCTTGTGTTGTCTAGACAAGGCTGTCACTCTTATCTATACGAAGGGACACCCTCTTCAGCTGCTGGTGAGCTTCCGGGTCACACGGATTTCAGAGCCTCACGAGGCTTTCGGAGGCTGCCCCGCTCCGGCCAAGAGAGGCCCCCCACCCCAATCCATATGGAAGGTTCTGTTTAAGTATGAGCGGTCTGGAGCGTTTGAGAAGATGCAGGACTCGGAGCTTCTCTCCAGAGGCACACTGCAGCGTGTTCAAAGTTATGTTTCTATACACTCAAACCGCACTAGACATTGCCCATCGATGTTGCTTATATATAGGGAAATCATATCTGCTCCCACGTGACGCTGACTCCATTGAGGAGTGTGAATACTTTTTAATCAGAGCATCAGCATGAGCTCCACGTTCTGGAGCGTCTTGTTGAGAAACTCATAACAGAAATTTTTCCAATCTTGATAGATGTATGATGAGCAGGCTATCTAAGCTCAATATTCTACATTCTGACTTCAAACCTGGAATCGTATCGTATCTTCGACCCGTCTCACCCTTGAGGATGTTTGGTCGTGCCAACGACAGCGGCGGGTAAGAGGTGATTACGGGCTGCCTAGACTACACTATATACACGTGGGGAAAATCAAAAAGGGAAAACCCGGTGTGTTGTGAAGGGATATCATGGAGGATGGGGGATAGGGTTGAGTGGGGAGAATACCAGGAATGTGAATATCCAAACTAGACAGTTCTGATTCTGATTATGAGTCGCCGATGGTGTTGTACCAAGCGAGGTGGGGAGACATGGGAGCGTAGGGGTGGGAATAGTTCGTGTTGGATGTAAAAGAAAATGGTGAATGTGGATGGGAGTATTTACTTGGGCATTGCCCTGCAAAACACGCGGCCCTGAGGGAATCTGTCAAGCACAATGGGTGCCGCAGAATAACAACGTTCTACCTTCTAAACTACACACGCGTGAGGGTGGATGAGCATGGCTCCTATATAAGGTCCAAGTGTGCACCTGACCTCAGTGTAGCCTGAGCTGACCGAGGTAGGTCAACGGTGACCACACCGTGGTCACTTGCAGCTAACAGTTCGTCCCGTCTGTTCATCTCGGTCAACGCCATAAAGCTCGAGTTGCACTCTCCTGTTTTCAAAAAGTTATTGCAGATGCCAAAAAGCTCTGGGTTCCAGACGCCCTGAAATGGGGTTATTGAAAGATGAAAGGGACATCTTAGGAAATGGCTTCTGGAGGTTATCAAACCATAACTGCAAGTTTTGATCGCACTTGGAGGGTGATTGAAGGTGAGATGGTGCTCTAGAAAGTCCCGTGTCCAGATGCCTCCGCGACCCATCTAGCCAGACACTTTCTGTCGAAGAGAGCGAGGAAGGTTTAGCTGAGGGGCCATCCAACACGCTGCACTGAGGCTTGTTCGACTGCCACCATGATGCTATGTCAGGGGTGGGGTCTTCCGTTGTCTGAGGAGGCTTGGGGGTAGCCCTAGCCAAGCTCGAGGCCCGGGTTACTGGGGCTTCCAGACAGGGCCTGGTTAGGCGTCGGCGGATAATTAGTGTAGGCGAGACCAGCCTTTGGACGGTGGTGACTGGAGTCTCCTCCAGAGGGGTTGATCATCCAGACTAGAATAGCATCAGTGACGTGACGTCTACTTACCGATTTCTTACCACGAGTTGACCCCTTCCGGTAGAAGTTAGGCTGATTACTGTGTCGAAGATAGCGAACCCATAGGTCATCAGGCGCAACGATACCGATATGGTTGAACTTAAGGGCTCCATAGTGAATGACGTTTTACTGTGCGAGTTCATGATCTAGAACCGGCAAGGCTGAGGAGCAGTTTGTGGTCTTATCCTCATACGACAGCGGGTATGAGGCTGCGCCAACGTTGAACATCAAGCATCCAGGGTAAGGTTAGAGCTTCATTCATCCAGTGACTTCGTTCACGAGGCTTTTTGGCTGCTGAAGTGATGCGCGCCATGGCCCCTTTGGTACCGGGAACGGCATTGTTTATACGATTTGATTCTTTGGGCCATATAATGCTCCTCGGCAGAGGACGACAATGCGAGAAGATATCTCATCTCTTCTCTTGTACTCTTCTATAGGCAAACTCAATTACAGCCAACCTATCATCAGTCACGGCTTCATGCCTACTCCTTCACGCCTGAGACTTAGCGCAGTAGCAGCTGTTGACTCGAAACAATGAACTCTGGGTTGTTTAACGTGACGACACAAGGCAATGGGACCACGCTCTTTAATCATAGCGATTCCAATCTAGTCTGCAAACCGGGAACTATTTGGACGGTTCTGAAATTTTTTCTGGCCAACTATGTAGCACATTGTTTTACTATCAGGGCACTGCCAGGGGAAAGTCCCGGTTCCTATTTCCCGAGCGCCCTAATCTCACTGCTCTACCCAACGTCTGACCTAATGCGGGCTATCGATGGCATTGCTCGTCACGCGCGGTTTGCTTGTGGCTGCAAAAACGAAGTACAGAGAGCTATCCGTGCTGAAGCACTCTTAATGCTTGTCTGATCCATTTCGTAGAAACCAAAAGTTGGTTGTTTGATAGGAGGTTTTGTAGGTGCTGATGATATTGTCTCGGATGCATCTGCTCCATGGTAAGGCTCTATCTCTGAAAGCACCGGTTATATGTCTCAGTTTAGACTAAATCATGTGAACAACGCTAACTTTGATGAGTGTCGAAACAAAGAAGATCCAGCTGTGTTCTGCTATGGCCTTTACAACGATTCTCCGTGGCTCATGGAGAGGACTCCCAGGGGTGCCCTCAATTTACAGCTCGTTTTTGGCTATAAGCGCATTGTTCATGGCTCCTACTGCATGCCTCCTGGTTACAGTTTTGATCAAGTTCCCCATGGAGCTGAATTAAAGATTACAGGTGCCGACGAGGCCTCTGACAGCATTGCTCACAACTTGAATGTACCTGAGGGCTGGAAAGAACAGCGGTTTACGATACCTTCAGTTTACAGTGTACTGAAGGCTTTAATGGACTTGGTACAAACTATATCTGCTGGTTATTCACTTTATCAAGCGCGCGGAGACCAGATTTTACGATACGGCTATGCAGCCTTTGGGCTCACGGTGATACCTTACCTGGTCATGTCGATATTCAACTGTTTGGCCAATGCTTTAACACCCGATTATTCATGTTGCTATGTTATACGGTCGCCAGATATGGAAGAGGCAGAGCCCTGGCCCGGCTGTTATTTTGAGGGTGTGATTGGCCATCTGATTCCAGAAAGGCCGCTCGTTCCGGACGCACCACTAGCTCATAGACCCGATGATGAGGCCTGCAGTCGCATTATTAATCCTATATGACTCACTGGACAGTCAAGTCTGGATTGGAGCCTGATAAGTGGCTCATTGAGCCGACGTCAACAGTTAGAGCAGAAGGTGCGGAACACGTCGATTCTTCGTCGGCCAGCCAAAGGGCAACCCGTCAGTATATCTTGAGGGCGCCACGTGAGCTATTGGCAGTCATCGAGCCATCCCAAAAAATAGCCAGAACAAAGTTCATGTCGATTCCACAATGCAGCAATTTCAAAAAACGGTTTGAAAGTCCGAGTCAACAAACAGCATCATCAATACGCTATGAAAACTATCTATTACCTTGTTTCATCATGACTGCTGTTGGTCTCATCATTATTGGAAGCTTGAGCAAGTTTCAAGCTGGGGATAGTACGATCGCACAGAGGGGATGGGTCCTCTCCTGGATTATCTTGGGGCCATTCTTTGGGTTGTTTTCTGACTACTTTGTCCTGCATTTTTGGGGACTCTACCTTCGAAAAGGGCCATTGAATCGAGTAAACGAGTGTTGGAAAAATTTCGCGGAATGATAAACGAAAATGGCGACCATGATGATCCCAGTGGTGCCAACAGCTGGCGTCGAGGGTACACAGCTGTCTGCCGATTTCTCAAGAGGATTACATGGTACCTTCTTGACGCTATTGTGACGATCATTTCTACGGCAGTTGTGAATATCGTGATACCATTTCTCCTTCCGTGTGTTCTAATTCTTGAGCAAGCCTGGGGTTGGATCCATATGATAATGACTCTGGTTAGTCTCGCGTTATGCACAGTGGCAATTGGCGGCATGGTTGTTGTGGGCAGAATGATTCTTGAGTTCGGCGATTGCAAGTATGTCGGTTAAGGTAGAGTCTAGTGCTGGCTGGGTATTTGGATACGTATGTAGTGAGAGTTGTCTATTATCAGATGATTTCTACGTGTTAGGCTGAGGTGGGACCTCGTCATAGGACCCACTGTAGGTGGGCATCAATACACCCCACTTTTCTTTGCTTTCCTATATATGGATACTATACTCATTCTCACTCGTTACAATGAGCTCAATAAGCACTCTTTTCTTTCGGACACACTCATTTAAGACGGCTCTTCACCCACAACTTCCCTTGACGGTGAGAAACTACGTCTTACAGGATCCAGTACCGTTCTGCCCATCATCATCATATCACAGGACGCCTGAATTTGGGATCAAGTGAACTTTTTTTGAAACTTGTACACATACCATGACAGTTTCGGCACACCAAAAGCAAGCCTTATCCAATGTCCAAGACGGGAGAGTATCACCGACCAGATACTCAGGCAGACTAACGCATGGGGCGAATGGTGGGGATGAGGAATGGTCATGCGTTAAGGTGCAGGCACGTGGCAGGTTGTAGTCTCACTCATCCTTCCCACCAAGGACGGAAGACCACATAAGAGGGTTGTTAAAGGAGGAGAGGGGGCACGAAGGAAGTGGCCTCTTGTCACACGGACACGGAAGTCCAAGGAAAATGGGTATCCCTGAGTGCCAAATACAAGGGACACCGGAGATAGAATGATTGTGAGCGGCACAAACCCGTGGTTGATCCCAGGATATATCTGGAAGCCG